AAAAAGGACAGAAGATGTCCCTGTACTGCGATCAAAGAGCTTACGTTATCATAGCTTCTGCTCAGCCACTGTCCATCGCCGTCGTGCAGATGCCTCACGGTCCTCCAAGGAGGCTGCGCTGCCCCAAAGACCGCGTTGGGAGCTGGTTCGTTTGGGAAGTTGCTTGCTCCAGCCTGGCCGCTCGGCCGGGACGGCGACCGAAGCAGCAACAGGAACAGGAACAGAAACAGAAACATTCGGTGTGGCTGAGTCTTGACTAGTGGATCGGGGGTCGTTAAAATTGGGCACAAGGTCATCCGCATCATCATTATCCTTCCCAGTAGGCGAGGTGATGGAGCTCCAAAGACCCGATGGTCCTCGCATGGGACTCGATGTTCGTGGAGCCATCGACCAAGTTCGAGGTTGGGATCCTCCGGTAGCCGTGGAGAAGGCTGATGTTGAGGTCGTGTTTGTAGTCGTATTTGTCACCGTTGAGGTGGAATGAGGTCGAATAGCAAGCGGGCCCTGCATCACGGAAGGGCGAGAGCCGAGGCGATTGCGATATGTGGGGCCTGAAGGTGCCGACCGCGACGGCGGTACCGAGGGAGACAACAAGGAAGTGAGCTTAGATGGGTTCACCCCCGCGCGCAGATGGTCCGTCGACGCCACCAGTTGAAGTGCATATTCCTGGCCGACAGCACGACCCTCGTGACGACTTGGGGGGTCGCCCGACCGGTCCGAGTTGGGCGTACTACTCTTGAGCCGGTCATGTCGTACCGCCATGGTCAGAGAAGCCGTGTTGATATCAAGCAAGGCCGAATGACCGGCGATGGAACTGATCAAAGCATTGCAATCAGCTCCATGGGTGATGATGATCAGCACCGTCTGGGCATTTCGATTCTTGCGCGTAAAGCCATGAGAAGTGGCCCGGGATAGCTCCATGGGAGAATTTTTGGGTTGTCGATACCACTCGACCATCTGTCGAAACCCGTTACGCACTCTATCATGCATGCTGCTCCATTCTTCGCCGTAATCGCCACCGGTACCCCAGAACGGCGCCCGCATGCTGTCCCACATATAATCAACCTTTGTGCAAGCGTCTCGCGCATGGGCCACGTATCCAGCGGGAATTGGATCAGAGGGAGAAACGGCATAGCTAGGAGTCGGCGGCACATAGGCAGAATCTGCAATAGCTGGCAGATCCGTGTACAACCGACCTAACCTTTTCGATAGACCACTAGGCTTGGTAGGACTCTGTAGACTATCGCTATTGGCCCTCTGTCGCGGCCCCAATGACCCTAGGATGGCCGAAGATCCTAGTGTTTGTAGGAGGCGCTCATCATTCTCGTTGGGGGATGGTGGATCGGACTGGCTACCCCAGCCACCTGGGAAGTGGCCCGACAAGGCTCTGGTTCCCTCTCTCGGCGTGAAGATAATATCGCCACGACGAAGTAACTCTGCTTTCGCAAAAGCCACCATTCGGTCCGAGGCTGGGGGCGGGGTGATTTGATCAAAGTAGTCGGGTGACAGCCATTCGCCTAAAAAGGCATCGACGCGGAGTAAGGTCCGAGGGTCTGAAGCGGTAGTTTCAATCATCGGCAGAGGCGCGGCACTAAGGTCATCCTCAGCCTCGGAGCCCGATCGAAACTGATTTATACCCGCACCGACAGCTATTGAAGTTTGGAGGCACCGAAGGAATGGGGAGGTATGAATGACGACATTGTATCGATCGTAGAGGTCTGATTCCTCTGAAGGTTGGAGTTGCGCCGGAAGGTCTGGCACCGGGGGTTGATTCGGTTGGTTTTCTGGGCCTGTTCCTGTATATTCTGAGGCTTGTAAGAGACTTGCGATGCGAACACCGAGGGCCCGAGCCTGGAGCCAGCCGCCGTAAGAGAGAGGAGGATCGTAGGGAGTTGGAGAGGTCAAATGCCAATCCTTATCTGCGGCGTCGAGGCGCGCTCCATGTCTAGAAAGAGAGGTATTTAGCGATTTGGAAATTCTTGAAAATTGGAAGATCCCACATACCTAGCAATGAAGACAATGGGCGGCGATTCAGCCGTCGATTGATGTGAAGGAGGTGGGGGTGGAGTTAGACAGAGAGGAGACAGCTTAGGGAAAGCCGCCTCGCCCATCTTGAGAGATCGATTTTCAGGTCAAGGTCAAGGTCAAGGACAAGGACAAGGACCTCGAGATGTTGTTTCAAAAGGACATGCCAGCAAAAAAGGCTCGGGAACCAAGAGATCTGGGTGACAAGGCTAGGAAGTTCAAAGTTCAAGTTGGAGACGCGCAAAAAAAGCGAAAGCGGCGCATGTGATTCTGCTTAAGTAAGCCTGCCCTACCTTATCAACTTGAATCAATGGAAATGGAAATGGAAATGAAATGAAATGAAATCTCTAGGACTAATATTCTAGAGTAATTGCATTTTGATAATTCCCCTTGCTGTCATCACATGGCAAGCATTCCCCACCTGACTGGACAGAAGAAACTTTCATGCTACAATGACGTGGGGCTAGTCATTTCACGGACTAAGACCGAGTACTCGTATTTACATGAATATCGAGTACTAATTACTAGTAACTAACTATCTAGATAACACCTAGGTGGTCACTTGGAACTAACAGAGTGGGGTATTAAATACAAAGAAATATTATGACATATCGTAGAAAACAGAAAGAGACCGAGAACACCCACAAGCTACTACCACCTAGGTACTTGAAGTATAAAAGAACCAAGTACTACTAGTAGTAATAAATACAATAGATAAAGCCCTAAACCCCCACCACTTAGTACTAGTAATTTGCTCGACTCAATCGAATGAACCGGCTATACCCATTAGATTCATTCAATTCCGAAATAGTTCCGACATGGCTTCTCAGCTGAGTGACACCACATAATCTCGCAGGATCCGTTTCCGCGAATCTCTCCATTCGATCATCCACTAAAGAACAATCACCCCTTTCCTACTAAATGAGCCCAGACCATAATGACCGTTCTTTTTCTTCTTTTTTTGCAAAAAAAAAAAAAGAAAGAGATGAAAATAATTTAAAAATTATGGGGCCTCGGTATTCAAGCAGTCATCCCGATCTGGGAACCTTGGAATATCTTGTTGCCCAATTCTAATGTCGACTCTAATATCAATCCATGTGCATGCATCTACGTGACCATGGACGTGGAATTCTTGTTGAATCTACTTATCCCTGACCAGGACGAAAGCTTCGGGGATGACGTATCTTTCGTTTCGAGCAACCTATCTAAAGTAGAGAAAATATTCAGATATCTATGTTGAGTACTGGTAGACGATAAAACAAACATTCAATAGAATATTATTGGAGTCACCTTTATTCGTAGGTGGTTATGCTTTCCATGTGCTATTAGTAGTTTCTCTTCAAGGTTCAAGGCATCTGGCTTTCCTTTCAAGTTCCGCACTGAAGAATACAAGGACCGACCCCACACTGCCTAGACAACCATGTATCACTTGATCTACTCAAAGGCCTTTGAGAAAATGATTCTAATTTTACTCCAAGTTTATTTGTCATGAAATAGTCGAAATAATGATGGATCTAGTCGATCTGCTATCATTTCTTTTTCTTGGGTCTATTCCAATTCTTCGCCAACGATCTCGCCTTGAATACCTAGGTGCCTATACGTAACATATCATAACACTATGTCGTTTCTGTGTCTCAGACCCAGCGATACCCTCCTTTCAACAGAGCAGACCCGAGAGCGCTCCAAGGGTGTCCTATCCCACGACCCTAGTGTCCACTGATTGTAGGATCGGTCTCGCAGTGGTGTGTCGGGTGGTTTTCAAAGTGTTCCCTTGTCGCCTGCGGCCAGGGTTAGCCCCTCCTGAGCTCTCGCTCCAGCCGTAGCCCTAGCCAGCGGACAATGCTGGCCGGTGGTGACTCTTCTTAGCTCTGCAAATACCATCCAGGCTAGGTATTCGCAGGTTCCCAGCCGGCACCACGGGGAGGTGAGAGTCGTCGCCGGCCACGCACTCTACAGTCGTTCTCGAAATCGGCTTGACCAATATACACAATATAACTATTTTCTGGACCCACAGCCAATAAATGAAAGCCTCATTGCAATCATAGTAAAAACGAGAAACCATCACGCCGCCGAGGCAGTATCTTCTGTCCGAGAGTTATACCATAGCCAGCTCAGATTCCTCCGCCGAACACCCCGCATGTACTTGACTTGATCCGAAGAAATGTCTCGAATGCCATATGTCGGCATTGTTTCAATAAGTTGTCGGATTCCGCAATATATCATAGTGGTGATTGCACCCCCCCAGGATGAACAGACCAACAACTAAGCTGCCTTTGTCATCGCTGTCACTCTTCATGGTAGCTGTGTAGGCCGTCGGTTCAACTGGTGCCTTTTTGGTTTCCATATTAGAGCTAGTTACTAATAGTAGTCCAGCTTAGGTTTAGACTCACAGGATCGACGATTGTATGAGGTTGTGGCTAGTCCGTAGTCCCACTAGAACTCAAGTTCAAGTTGCTTAGAGAGCGAATTTTTGACCCTTCGGAGTCTAGAAAGTGGCTCGGTCAAAAGGAGCATACAAGTAATAACTACATTTGTGCGCATTTCAGATCTTTTATTACCTTCTCGGATGGTGTTTATCCCTCGGTTCCCTAGCGTGATCTGACATCGTAGATACATGTCGCACTACGTCAGCCAATCATGTTATAGAGCGAGTATCCACTCCTTCCCACGTAACCTGAGACCCGCCCCTCAGTTCGCCATTCGATCCTCTGCATTGACGTTTCACTCGAGCACACTCTATCGTTACGCTATCTCTACTGTGTATGGTACTGTGTATTGATTTATGACACTTTTACTCGGCTCTGTCCAAAATCGCTTCCACGTACCTCGGATATTTCTTACATTGGCTGGTCTTTTACCTTCAGGGCATGGAACCTACCTTTCGTCAGTCAATTCATCGATCTGTAAAACTGAAATCCCGAACAGGCTGTATAGCCTGTAGGTGCGTAGTGATTTCCTCCACAGGGGACCATCTAATGGACTATAGGACCCGCAAAGTGAAATGTGACGAGGAAAAGCCCTATTGCCTACGCTGTCGAACCTCTATCCGATCCTGCTCATATGACAATGCCTTCGAGGCGCCGGGCCCGGCATCTATTCTGCGTACTTACTCTCCGCTTGACCTATCTCTTCGAGAAAATCGAGAAGAAGTAGCACTTAAGTACTATTTTGAACGAGTCGGTCCTGCGATCGGAGGCTGCTTTGATGTCTCCTTTTGGCAAGGAATCGTCCTAGAGACTTGCCGCTCTGAACGAGCAGTATGTGACGCCATTATTGCTATCAGCGGGCTATACGAAGATGGGGACCGCCTTGCTCGTACATCAACGGTATCTACTGCAACGGAACTAGGGCCCAAACAACGCGAAGCACTCAGGTGGTATTGCCGATCAATTTCCCAAATGCGTCGGCAGATTAAAAAAAATGCCACTGGTATGTATATCGCGCTTGTGACCTGCATCCTATATATCTGTATCGAGGCTCTCCAGGGTCATTTTGAGAAAGCCCTACATTTATATGACCAGGGTGCTAGTCTCATCGCAGCTCTGCCTGATAGAAGAGATGCGTCTTGGGATTCGTCAGTCCTGCGAGATGTTATTGTCCCGTTATTCCTCCGGCTGGGTACATTCGCGTTGGTAGCTACGCAGTATCCGATTAAAAATTCGTCAGCAATTATTGCATTCACGGAGACTGCGCTTTGTACCCCCAACGATTATCGAACAACGATCATCTCGCTAATAGCGGAAACGATGCTTCTCCAAAGAGAAGCAAACAGACAAACCCGTGCTGGAGAGGTCGTGAGCAGGTCGCCCCTATTCCAGTCGCGTCAATGGGATCTTCAGTCCAAGCTCCAGCGGTGGAGGGTCGACTTTGCCATATGGGGTGAAAAGGACTCCTCGTTCGCAAGAACAGCTTTTGCAGCAACTCTATTGAGTTGGCACGCAGCCATATCAGTCATGATTTCAAGTTGCCTTAAACAACATGAGACCGAATATGATATGCATTTTGGTCAATTTCAGTCTATTGTTAGCTGGTCAAAGCATATTCTAGATCTCTCAGCGACGCCAGGTCGATCACAATCACCGTTCACATTCGAAATGGGCGTCGGCATGCCTCTATTTTTTACCACTGTTAAGTGCCGTCATCCGACCCTACGCCGAGACGCACTGGATCTCCTTCGACAAGCGCCTTCGGTACAAGGTTTCTTTAACTGCCCATTATGGGCTGCTCTGGCCGAGAAGGTCCTTGAAATTGAAGAGGGACGGCTTTCCGAAGTAAGGAAGCGCGTACTGCTGAAAGGAAGGCATCTCAGTTTGCCTCCGCGCGAGGACGAACTGGTCATGGTTGCGCCTGAAGAGTGGTACCCGTCCACTGCCGACAGGCAGCAAGAACTTATTCCAGAGAATTACAGAGTCCATGATTATGGAACTTTTCGTCTAGCCAGTTCACGCCTTCGAGATGGTCTGAGCTCAGACGAAGCGAAAACGTTTCTTCGGTTTACGCGAAACAGACGAAGTGCGAAGGGGAGTGGTATTTAGAGGAGCTTTTCTGCATGATGTCTTGAATAGCGGTTACCGAGGCTTACAAGGTCTGCACGCTGGATACGTTGGCAGCAAGAGTTATCGTTGCCATTGTTACCCAATGGCTGTTTACAAACCCACATCTATCCATTTTGGCTTTAGCGACACTCTAGGTTCTTCAACTATAGCCACATCCGTGACCGACTCGAAGATTACTCTTCAACACATATATAACGAGTGAAAATTGACGTAAAAGAGGCTTTGCATCATCACTAGCTACAATAGAATTCTTCTGAGCACGGCTAGCCTGGTTGGTTACTGACGAACGCCGGCAACAAATGAAGATTTCAACAGAGAAGCTATGGAAACGAAAGACCGAGTCACCACCAGGAAAGTGCGACAGCTCATGGACACCGTGAAGATCACTCTAAAGCGTTCCAGGAGCAAAATGTAGAATAACAGGCGTTAGGAACTGGCAGCTTGGATTGAATCTTCGGATACGACATCGAGGACAAAATTTCGATATCTATAGCTCCGAGGGGTTCTATTTTAGAAATGTTTCGAGCGGTCGCGAATACACGGTCGCCTCGTCGGTGGAAATCTTGGGCAAGTGCTGCTCCTATGCCGCCGTCGGAGCAGCCAGTAATGAGAATGGTGCGAACCATCACGTCTAATGATAGGGCAACGTGAGAGGGGGTGTCAACAGTAGTGTCTGATGTATTGCAAATACAGCTGCATGGAAAGATCTGAGGGCCCTGGACCCTCATATCCAAATTACCAATCTGCGGATGGAAATTCGCTCGCACGGAATACCACTAAGCATCCATTGTGGGTCCGCTGTATATGTATGACACGGAATTCCGGGGATGACCAGCGACTCGGAAGTCAAGTCATGGCCAACATCTAAAGCCGGGAGTTCCGTTTCTCAACATCGGACAGTTTGCGATCTCCGTTCCCGGCGCTTGAACTGTAATGCCGTCGGTTCAATTGTCTCGCCGAGGCTCATGGTGGCATACAATTAAGAAATTCTCGATCTAAGCTTGGAATTTTGGTCAAACTGAAGATTTAAGTGTATCGACTATTATTGATATCTTTAATGCAAAATGTGCTGTTTCAATCCAAAGTTGATTGAGAGTTCCGATTTGACACAGCGCCGTATTACCGGAATTGCAATACAATATGCGGTCGCAAAGGATTCCACACGTGCATCCTAAGCTCGAATAATATTCTACTTTGACGTCGTTGACTCTTAACTATCGGCCTATAGTTAATTGTGTCAAAACTGATTTCAGCAGAGTAATTTCGCCACCATCTTCTTTCTGTACAGAGTGTGCTCCCACCATCTCAATCCTTTGTCTGGGGAGTATATCAACCACCGGAATATCAATTCTTAGCCAATTAAATGGGGCATTTGGAAGAATTTTAGAACTGTAGATACGTATTTACTATAATACATAGGGGCCAAAGGTATTGAAACACGCTAGAACGCGTAGACCCACAACAACAAACCTCCCTTCTTCAACTACCCGCTTTCCTATCCCTCGAAAAGGGTATATCGTCTTCCAAAATTGCCTAGGATCATCATATCTCGTGCGCATCTATTTACTACACCAAGAAACGCTTTCAACAGTCCGGTAGCTTTGAATTAAAAGGTCGCAACGGTCGCCCACGAAAGCTCGATCACCGATCGTTAAGCGCGTAAGAAACCTTATTAGAGCTATATCGCAATAGGTACAAACGTACCCGAATCTTATAAAAAAGTTTCAAGATCCTCAATTAAGTGTCTGCGAGGAGTTCGTGGTGTCCTGTGAGATAGGATAGCTGCTTGGCTAGAGCTGTACAGTCATATCAAAATTAGCTTGACCAATATACACGCAATAACTCTTCTCCAGCCCCACCGCCTAGGCCTTAGTGCAAATTTTTTATTAAGAAGACCGTATTAATTAAGGGATATTCTAAATGCACGTTGTGTAGTAAATACCTTCTACGTTAAATTACATAACAAAAACAAGAATTAAATAGAATCAGTTAAAACCTATAGTGCTTATTGGTGCCTTGTACTTCGATGATCCCTGGGTGATTCTAATCCTCCCTCTCAGGCCTAGAGGGTATCATTCTGAAAGATACTATATCAGGCTTAGGTGAGAGCAGACAGAACTAAAGCTTATTTCCTGCATACAGGCCTTGATTGTTAACATTTAGATAGTTGATATTCTTCGTCTGACAATATATTCTAATTGTAAGCTAGGCTAGCACTTTAACTATTTCGTTTGTATAGATAAGATTTCCTGAGACTTTCCTTGATCTCTTTATTTATCCACAGCCTATTTTTGGATGTATAGTTTTCTAGTAACTTTATACCTTTGATAGCTAGTTTATCTTCCTAAAACTATACTATCGAAGAACTTACCTTAAGCTAATTTATGGGTATCTGTATATTCCCTATATCAACAGAGTATCTCCAAAGTTTATACTCTAATACTATCTTAAAACCAGTAATAAGTGTCTAATATATCTTTTTAGTAGGGATATCCAATATTTATTCCAACTAAGTATGTTCCAAGGTAACATATTGGTCGAATGGCACGTTCCTCCGTGCCCCGAAAAAAAACTGATATCGACAAATTTCTCTTATTGCATTCAGAGCATGGCGGACCGAAGGGTTTCCGGACAGAAGTGGACAGACTCCCATCTAATTAGTTTCTCTAACCAATTTTCAATTGAGCACTATATGCTGATTAGTTTTAACAGTATGATAATCCCTGGGCCTTTTCTGCAAATGCAGCTATAGTCCATACGATTCCAGAGGTAAATGACCCGGCTTTCCCCCATTTCAGCTCAGTATGTTCCGATTTATGATTATTTCCCCAATTCCTTTCATTTCTTGAATTCTCGGGGGTTTGAGAGCTGATCATTTGGATACAGTATACCCTGCAATTTAAACGTCCAGGATCTATCAATACTCCAAGTACAGGCGTTGGAATCAATCTATCTGTCATTGACGATAATGGATCCACTATAATAATAATATACGAGGATGACTTGGATTTAATATCTGCAAACGAGAGTGGAGTTATACCATTGTTGTATTTCATACAATGTTTGTGGGAGTAGGCCATGTGTCTGTTCGAAGCTATGGCGTCATATTAGAAGTTGCCTATGTCATTCCACCAAACACTGTAGCAACTGAGTTTGCTAGATGGCCCGTATGGGTTGTAGAGGGCCCACGCGGTACAAAGGAAAGACTTGGTCGGCCCTATTTACGGCGCATGTTCTACGTTGGATCGGAGCCTTCGAGGCCATATGATCTGGGTGTCGCAAGTAGTGCTAGGAGACTAGCTGATATTTTGCCAACCCGAGATCAAGCCGATACAACACCCGACCAATTTGACATGCCAGTTAATGACGATGCTGTTTATCCTGAATGGGCAAGGAATCGAGAAGATCTATTCTTAGCAATCCCTGCTCTCCCGGGACCCCTGAAAGCAGTATTACCTGGTGGACACGGACCTTTACCCGGAGGGGCATGAGGACGAAAGAAACAGGAAACTACCTCAAATTCTTTCACCACTGATCTTCATTATTTGGTGTATAGTTATAGTCCTTTTGAACTTGTTTTTTTTTTTCAAAATTAGTTCGACGATTCCAATGGACTCTAAGCTATACTTGTAAACTCATCTCTAAAAATGTTTACGAACCTCACGAACCGCATCATACTAAGTGGTTTTCGTCAACAGCGTCAAAGGATGTGGCAATTTTAGTAACCCAATTTTCGCGATTGTCCCTTCTACCTAGTATCATAACCTTCTTCAATGCTGATGACACTCGCCACTCCTTCCTCGGACTCGCCATCCAGCACAGGCCTCCTTCATCAGTCTGATCACCTCTCGGAGAATGTGTTCATGTCATTTGAAATTACAGCCTCGTCATCCTCTAGCCCACTGTATTATACTATCGATGGTCTGCGATACTTAGGTATATTTCAAGTTTCTGGAGTCTCATTGTTTCAAGTTGTCATCATGTCTCCGAGTCCATAGCTTCCACCTCCGAGTCTCTTCTCCACCACAGCAACACATACTAGTAATAGCAATCCACTGTCAGTGCTTTCCACTACTACTAACACACGTACTACTACATTCCGTACACTTTAATTTATGTATTCCCATGACTCTGGTACGTCATTAAAGATTGGCTACCAGGATGCTTGTTGCCACAACGGGCTAGAACAGAGTCCTTGCCCTAGGCACAGTACAAACTTTTAATGCACATAGGTCATACAGAAATCATCCAAGTACTATTACATGACGACCATGGGGTTCTCGGCATGATCACATGATCGAATAATCTGGGCTTCATGATGGTCTCAACTAGTATGTGCTTGATGCAAGTTCAAGTGGGTATGAGCTACTAGTATTGCTGTCGGGAATTAAGAACCAAATACTACCAGTACTTTCAAGGTTAGTATACATCTAAGAGACATACTATAAAGTTCGGAAGTATGCAAAACTACTCCAATATTTGTCTGGAGTAGTAATTGTGGTGCTTCTCCAATATTACTCTTCTGGTGATCTACTCCTCCCTATCCATATCAGCGAGTGGCAGGAATGCATGTGCGTCACCGCGTATGGAAATCCCACATTCCACTGACATCACCATGGTCTCAATAGGCACTGCAAACTAATGCGAACTAGATCTATCCTATCTACTGAACCTAGTCTCTTTATCTGAAGGCCAGGGCAAATTTCATTGGTGATTTGCTATCTACATGAGGCGATTCAAGTTGATCGGCGTCACATTGACACGCGGATGTACAATAGATGATGCAATTAGGTCAGGCTTGTGTAAATCATCCTACAAGGCTGCCAGAGATATAAAAGAGTAATACTGGGAGCACTCGTCTTGAGCTTGAACTTGAATTCCATCACAGAATAGCCCTGGAGTATCCGCCAACCACTATTTATTGCCATCAACCCGAACTATCTTACGTCTCCAACAATCCACAAGACTGAGTCTCGACAACCAAATACGTGAAATACAAGATGCATTTTCACATGATTTGTGCCATTTTTGCGGCCGCCGTAGTTGCCATGCCTCATGGTGGGAACCAAGAGGTAAGAACAAACATCTCCCAAATACCAGGACAGATTTAACATGATCTCGCAGCACCAACATGGAGTAAATCATTCCCCGAAAGCTCACATGTTCATAGTTTCTCTCAGATTGTTCTAATTAGTATTATTCAGAACATGGAGCAGCCCTCTAGCTCGTCAACGTCTATGTCATCTATGACAATGCCAATGAAGCGATCGACCCCGACGACCAATGCCACCCCAACCTCCTCTGCCTCGATGCGAGTTGCGAAATCTACTGATAAACCAATGAAACCCCAGGATTCAATTATGATGATGATGTGAGTAACTTAGAATCTCCCTTTGTAAAACGCTCATGACTAATGACCCGATTAGGTTTTGATATTGGGCTCATGACCAAAAGATGGACAGAGGTAGTATTGAGAAATGGATGATTACTAGTACCCAACTACCCCCTATCTTGTACTTTGATAACGTATCTATGTCTTTATTTTGATCTTAATGTTATAATCTTGCAGTCTTAAGAACGTAATAACTGGTAATGAAATTGGGAAGATTCGTGTGGTCATTCTCTTCTGAAATTAGCGTGGTTTGCTGGCTATGAGGCTTTGTTTGTTTTCCAGCTAGGTTCATGATAAAGCCCGGTATATGAGCTAAGCTAATATACAAAATATCTTTTACAAATTCATGAAGTCATACCAGAGCCAAGCAACCATCGTAAGAGTACAAGAGACGTCTTCAAACTTCCTCATGGTGTTCTGTCTGGCCAGATTTGGCCGATTCGACAGCCGTCACTGCTGCCAGTTGCGCTTTGGTAACACGCGTGTGAGGAATACCACGATGTCCAGGTTGGTTATAGCCACTATAACTGTTGTCAGTGAGAGTCTGATATACCAGTTGTTCAAAACGTACAAGATCATGTCCATTTGCTCGATGGTCAACCCCTTGGTTTCCGGGAGCAAGAAGAATGCCCAAATTGTTGCGATGATGAGAATACTCGCGAAAAAGAACCATGTTCCATATCCAAGAGATTTGAAGATGTATGGGAGGCACTTGCTGATGATGAATTGAGTGAGCCACTGGACAAGAGCCGCCCAGGTACCAGAGAAGTTTCGCAGTGCTCCAGGGAAGATTTCGGCTGAGACAATCCATGGAATTCCATTTAGGCCGAACGACCAGAATACAGCATATATCATGATCATTGCTGTAGCTGCTTGTCCACCACGGGTTGTGGAGTCTGACAGGGCATCTCCAGCCTTGATGGCTGCCGCAGGATTGCCAACCTTCACGTAGGCACCAATATACCACAAGCAGAGAGAGCAAGCAACAGAGGATACTATGACTGGTCGGCGGCGACCAATAGTATCAATCAGGAAGATATAGAAAATCAGCGATGCTACCGCTTTCACCAATCCGTAGATTCCAGTATAGAGGGACGTATCCTTGATTCCAATGGAGGTGAAGAGAGTAGGAGAGTAGTAATTGATCGCTGCATGACAATTAGCAAATGGACAATATTTTGAACGAGCTATACATACCTGCGGCACCAGCAAAGTTTTGTAGAGCAAAAGAACAGAAAACGAGGAAAACGCGATTCCGCATGCCTCGTCGAGAAAACTCGTCCATCGCACCCCGGAAAAACGCCCACGACCCAGTGCCGTACTTGCTGGCCACGCTTGCCTCTTCATTCAAACGGTTCTGAATGAGACGCACTTCTTGTTGGAGATACTCGTGCTCGATCGGAAGCTTGCGCAATGTTTCCAGCGCTTGATGCGCCTCGGCATGGCGTTCCTTGCGCATGAGCCAAAGCGGAGACTCATGAAGGAAGAAGCCACCAACGAGAAGAATACAACCTGGAATAAGCTGTACGGCCATGGGAATCCTCCAGCTGGTGGAGCTCGTGGCCGATATGTTTTGTGTGATGCCATAATTAATCCAAAATCCGATCAGTGAGCCGATTTGATAGGCGCATTCGAAGAATCCTGTCAAAATACCGCGGATCGAGGGAATTGATAATTCGGCGATGTAGCTAGGTACTGCTGCAGTGATTGCACCACATCCAATTCCAGTCAAAACGCGGCCAGCATCTGGAATGTAGATATCCCATCAGTATCCTATGTAGCAGCAATCAGCGGGGGATGAAACTGACAAATTAGGCCAAGTTGATGAGTAGCAGCGGTCATTAGCACTGCTCCGATGATGAAAATGAAAACATTGATCTGGAGAGCCCATTTTCGACCAAGTCGTTCCGTGACTATGTATTCTGTTAGCAATCCCACGTCACTAGTACCTAAGTAGTGACATGACAAGTTGGGAGATTAGACTGACAGAAGAAACAAAAGATAGCCCCAAAGAAAGCACCCGCTTGGAAGACAGAGGTAATGTTACTTGAAATTGCACTGCTGTTCGCGGCTGTAATACCAAAGTCTGCCAGAAAACTCTCGCGCGAGATGGTAGTGCCAACAAATGCCGAGTCGTAACCGAAGCTGATTGATTGATAGATTCCCGTCAGCGGAGAGAACACCGAGAGAGTCACCCGTAAACAAGCACTTACAGCAAAGAACCGGTAGCGATGACCATAGCCTCAATGTACAAGCGCCAATTGTACACTTCCTTGGGCGTGGGCCGATCTTCCACAGCTCGGAATCCCATTGTTCGTCACCGCTATACTGCGAGGAAAATTCAAAGACCGATCAATTGCCGATCAGGTGGAAAAGTAGGTTACCGAGTGGCACCACGAGCGATATTTTAAGATGTCCGAGTCCCTTGCAGTGATCTTCTCTCGGCCGTGTCGGGGAACCGCACCTTAAAAGACCCCCAGGACAGTCGTCTGGGGTATCGCGTGGGCAGCTGGCGTGACTCTGGAGGCGGGGCCCCGGAGTCAGATCGTCGGGCTTTTGCCCGGTAAAGTACAGAGCCGAATCATGCTTGGAGTTTAGAGGGGTTTCCCACCAATCATGAAGGACCTACCACATGGCCGAGACCAGCAAGTGGCCGATCGGCTTAAATCCCGAACGGGCGATAGCCGACGGGGAGTTGAGGCCGAGAAAAGATCGGGAACAATTCAATGGATATCGGGACTCGGGTTCCTAGGGCTAACGTGTAGACAATAGTAGGACTTGAGGACTTGAAATACGGTGATGCTAGAATAGTATAATAATCTAATATAATAAAATGAAAACCCACTTCACTCATCCCTGCACTGATCTTATACAGTCCATTATCTTAAATCACCTACTAGCAACCATGACAATTACGACAAAGAAACCATCCACCAATCTGGCTTTATGTGTCACTACTGAAGACTTTGAGGCTCCTGCAAAGGAGGTTCTCTCAGAGAAATCCTGGGTCTACGTCTCTAGCAGCGCGGCCTCGGGTCTGTCGCTGAAGGCGAATCTGGATGATTGGTCACGCATCAATTTCCGACCTCGCATTATGCGAAGTGTGAGTTCAATAAACACAAATCAAAAGATCCTTGGACAAACAAGCAAATTCCCCTTCTTCGTCTCCGCCATGGGCACCCTGGGAAACGCACATCCCGGTGCTGAGCCACTACTTGCTCGGGGTTCGACGCGCAAAGGATTACATATGGTGGTGAGCACGGCAACAAGCAAACCACTGGAAGAAATTATGGAAGCGCATCAAGAGGAGCAGCGTCTTGTGAAAAACCAAAGCCTTTCCAAGTTGGCATTTCAACTATACGTCCCTGTCGATCGATCCAAGGCTCTATCTTTGATTCGACGTGTCAAAGCCGCCGGATACCAAAGTTTATGGATCACTGTAGACACATCTGTTCTGGGAAAACGGACTGCCGATCGATATCTGCAAGCCCAAGAGGCCTTAGATCAAGGTGCAAAAGAACGAGAGGCTGCAGCTGAGAACGAGTTCAGTCCAGCTTTTGGAGGACGACCAGTACCAGGATATCTCGACCCAGGGTTAAGCTGGGAGGATCTGGCGTGGATCAAGCAGGAATGGAACGGTCCAATTGTTTTGAAGGGAATCCAAACGGTCGAAGATGTAAAAATTGCCGTGGAGCATGGCGTCCAGGGAGTACTACTAAGTAACCATGGTGGACGCCAGATTCACTCGGCGCCGAGTGCCTTGATGACACTATTGGAGATCCGAACTTACTACCCGGAGGCTCTGGACAATTTGGAAGTCTTCATAGACGGCGGACTTCGTGATGGAGCAGATGTACTGAAGGCGTTGTGTTTGGGAGCGACGGCCGTCGGTGTTGGAAGGCCGTACTTCTATGCCATGGCGGCATACGGAATGGAGGGAATTGAGAAATGCACAGATGGTAAGATATGCCCTTGGATATAATATGAATGCGCGAACAAAGCTGACAGGCTTTGCAGTCCTCGCTGAGGAAGTTGAAATCACCATGAAGATGCTGGGAGTTTCATCGCTCGACCAGCTCCGGCCGGAGATGGTCAACACAACTCGACTGTTGAATGAGATGTGGCGACCAGAGCTCGTACGACCTAGGCTATGAAAGCTTGAAAGAAATAGGTAACATTCTTATTCCATATGCTAGAGAGCGGGGCTCTAGTAGCATGGCTGTTTTGAAAGTTTAGAGGCTAGCCAATAGATGTCAATCATGAATTATACACCTAAGAAAAGCTATTTATCGTACAGGGAAATGAGTTATAGGTATCATTAAAGAGAACATTCAAACATGCCAAGTTCATAGAAACCACTCCGACAAGCTTCAAGCTTATTGAGCTCCCACTGGCCGCGCCCCGGCCAAGTTGACCACTCGACCGCCTCCTCCCAGTGCAGCAGCAGCACCCAATCCAGTCGGCTCCCGGATCCGAACCCATCCAGGAACGTGGGAATCTTCCTTCTCGCGCGTAGCTATGGTATGCCAGACGTTGGGAAATCCGGTCGGGAGGGCACCGCGAATACGAGCACCGGGAATAGCAAATCGGGGATTGCGGTGGGTAAGGTAGCCACGTATGAGGCCTTGGGTCAATAATGACGCAAGGATAGACTCAATTTCCTGCATGAGCAATGACGATTGATCTTCTTCATCCCCATAGCCTGAATCGGCATACGGGTCGAATTCACATCCTTCGTAGTCTGTCTCGGGGTCTCCGTCAATCAAATTCCCAGGCGTGTTATCCTGCCAATTGCCTCCCTCATCAAAGTATCCATCTGATGCTAGATAATCGCCGTATTTTTCAAGGATTTCACGGTCGGTGTCCGGGGCCGTCACAGTATCTGGATCAGCAAGGCCGGAGTACTCAGGGTCTGTCGGATGGGAAATCGTCTGGGAACCATACTCGTGAGACTCTGCTCCGGTACTGCCGTTGCTGTTCGCATTCACGGTGTGTGCATTATGTTGTTGTTGCAGCCAGCGGGTGGCGTCAAGCAATTTTTGAAGATATAGGAACGGTGGAGGGCCACGCTGCGCCTGCGCTTGCGGATCCCCAAGATACCCCCCCATGTATGAATACCTTGCGGCAAAAGGAGCGCCATACGAGAATTTCGCATCTGTTGCGCAGTGTGAGCAGGAGGCCTTTGCGTGCGAACCACTGAGCGGTCGGAGAGTTGACTGCAAAATGCTCGCGGAACGCTAAATAGTCTCCACGAATAATCAAGCGGCACAATGGGTCAAAGTTTTCCGCCAGGCCCCGAGCTTCCGGTCGTTGTAGAAGTTGTCGCGATGGAAACCGTCCCATGATGATGTTGCACGGGACCAGATATGTAAGAATCAAGTTTCGCTGGCTGAGTGCTTCCCTATGGCATTGGTCGTAGGCGGATTGTAAGGCGATTTGCGCGGGGTAGAATAAATTGTTGGAGAAAAGATAACGGCCGAGGTAGTAGAGATATGTGACGCGCTGTGAAGCGGGAAAGTGAGCCAGTGGAGGAGACTGGGCACTGATACTAGAAAACATCTGCTCGGCATTACGCAGTTTTCCGCACTGTATTCTTGTTAGCTGCATAGCGACGAGGTGGGTAAAGAGACAGTGAGATACCTGGAAAAGTAGCTTCAGGCACAAGTTTGCCATCAGATATATCCCCTTCCTCTTGCCCTCAGGCTTTGCCTGTGGGCCTGGCGTGCCGCTGCGGTCGGTCAAACATTTGATGAAAGCTTCGCGCACCACATTGGCCGATTTTTCCACCAGAGTAACTTTCTCAATACTCTCCTGATCGTTTCCACCTTCCATGCGAAGAATGTGGGCGATCAATTCGGGGCGTCGATCCAATCCCATGGCTAACTTTGCCAATACCTTGGATAGGTACAAGACGGTGGGGAGAACAACAACTCCCATTTGACTATCTCCGAGGGCGAGAACACATTGACTATATTCGGGGGAGGGAAGCAGTATCAGCGATCGAGTTCGTGGGTTTATAGAGTTATTCGAATTTTCCAGGATCTCTCACTTTAGGAGGGTCTTCAGTAGGTTGTAGGTCTCAAGTAGATTTTCGACGTTCACATCACGCATGAAGGTGAAGTAAAGTCGCATAAATGTAGGGAAGGCCGACCATGAAGAACCACCCTTGGTCTTGGGGACCAAGACTTCGCAGCGCTGCTGAAGCACGGTGTCGCTCTGGGGGCCGGGTGGATATCGCTGGCGTAACTCTGTAATCATCTGCTGATAGATATCTGAAAGGGGCGGCTCAATCTGGAGGAAGTCTTGCAGTTTGGCACCATCACGATTCTGAATCAGATCAGCCACGCTGCCGAGGAATTGGTCGAGGATTGGAGTAGTGGCCATGATCGCGTGGAACCGCGAAGGTTCGGGGTCGGAGGTTTGGAGGGTCGGAGGATGTTTGGAGAAAGGTCGGAAGGAGGAACAGATTCCAAACTATCAGTTCAGATGTAGAATCCAGTCATTTTCGCATGATCAGATACGATCCGTACATCTGAAGTGATTTGTTGCCTTATGTCGCGGGATGTTCAGAGTTGAAGAGGGATCAAGTTGCAGTTGGGGAGAGTCGCGAATCTAAAGCTCCGATGGAATAGATCCGGCATAATTATGTCTCACCGCGTACACCGCCCGAAGTATACAGTTGAGTGGGGGACAGGAAGACATTATATGATGAATATTCTGGAGATATATATTATTTACTGCGTGAAATGTAACTAGATACCAATCTCAATATTATCGATACATTATATTTGAATAAAGTAATTGAATTACTTGCCCAGGTGGTTCCAAGGTTTATGGTAGTATATTCTAGGTAGGAAAATGATGCAGATCAACAACTGCACCCGCGGGCATGACATATATCCACTCACTATCCAACCTTGGAAGTAAAAATACTTGATAAAGGTAATAAACTGCATTAATATTCCCAATTCCATCTAGTTTCTAGGGCTATTCATACTATATATTTTCACTTGAGCTGTATCTGTAGTACTAGTATAGTATCCTCAGCACCGAGGATCCGGATAGTATGGTATGACATCATGGCATCAACCGCAATCACATGAAATTAAAAAAAAGGACCAAAAGAAGCCCTTTACTTGTTCTTTACCAAATTGCTCCACTGGTCACGTCACGCCACCCGTGAATCTTGTCAAGAATCTTGGGATACAAAAATGCAATGCCTCCTGTTTCTTTTTTCTATCCTTCTTCTTCAAGTCCAGGAACAATGGCGACGCAATCCCCCATCCCCGCCATTATTCGGCACCCATTTGTCGAGACCTTTACCTGGCTCTATCTGATTCTCCAGGCAGTTCTTCGATACATTTTCTCCCCCGTTCCCCCTCCTCCAATAAAAGGCAATGAAACAGACGCGCCCAGAAAGAAGGTGGCTGTCATTGGAGCTGGCGTGACAGGAATCTCCTCGGCGGCCCATTGTGTTGGCCATGGCCTTGATGTGCAGATCTTCGAGTCTAGACCTCAGGACCAGGGTCTGGGTGGAATCTGGAGTGTATGTTTCGCTTCAACTATAAGAGTTTAGTCTCAGAATGTTAATTCGGAACAGAGAGTCAATTCCACCTCGGCACTTCAGGTACACAGTTTGATGTACCGGTTCCATCCCTCCGTTCACTACGACAGTGCCTATCCAAGTCAGAAGCAGATCAAAGACCAGATTGTTCAACTCTGGAAGCGCTATGACCTCGAGCGACGCACCGTATTTGATACTCGTGTCACCTCAGTCAAAAAGACCAAAGATGGCCAATGGATTATCAACAATGACGAAGAAAAGTACGGTCGCTTCGATGGAGTGCTTACTGCCATTGGTGTTTGCGGAGATCCAAAAATGCCAACGCTACCCGATCAAGATAAATTCAAGGGTCAGATCTTCCACTCCTCCAAACTAGATGGAAAAGATGCCAAGGGCAAGAAGATTGTCATTGTCGGCAGCGGTGCCAGTGCCATTGAAGCTCTCGAATTTGCCGTCAAGTCAGGTGCAAGTGAGATCGATGTTCTGTCTCGATCAGAGAAATGGATTATTCCCCGGAACATATTGGTGCAATCCTTATTGGCGTTCAACATCTTCGGGCAGGAGACATCGCTTTCCTGGATTCCTGAGTGGCTCCTCCGAAAGTTCTTCTATCGGGACCTACAAGATATTGCCCCCACAGACGATGGAATATTCACACAAACCCCGATGGCCAATTCAGAGCTCTTCAACCAAATTCGAGAAGGCAAAGCGCGCTGGCTGCGTGGTGACATTGTCTCCCTGGAGGAAGAGGGGATCCTTTTCAACCACCGTGCGAAGGGGGTTCCGAAAGGTGGCCCTGGAAAGGAAGCTGTTGTTGAAGCTGACATCATAGTCATGGCTACTGGATTTAAGCGACCTTCTCTGAATTTCCTGCCTGATGAAGTCTTCGAAGAGCCCTACGGTCCACCTAACTGGTACCTGCAAGTCTTCCCGCCGAAGTATCCAGACGTATGTGCCAACAACAGCACCTATGTCAATGCCATTGGCACCGTCGGGAACATGCACATCGGGATATACACTCGGTTCCTGATCATGTTCTTGACTGATCCCTTGACTCGCCCTACTGAAGGAAGGATGAAAACTTGGATTGACTTCACACGATTTATGAAGCGACTGGCACCGACGAATGCGTTTGACTTCTTTACTTATTCGGAGTTGATCTATTGGTACTTCTTCATTCTTCTCGTCAATCCATTCCGATGGAAGTGGGCCCTGTTTGTTTTCTTTGGCCTAGGCCGCTCCTTGCCCTTGATGGTGGTCGATCAAGAGAATTCGTTCCGCGAGGAGCTGCTCAAGCAACGGAAGCTGCATTAATGACTCTAATTTAACACAGCAACATGAACGCGAATTTTCTGGAAAGGAGAAAGGTAGTTGCAAGTCTTTGAGCGTGAAAACTAAATGTTATGTACTTGCTTGTTAGGAAGCGCAAGGATCGAAAATCGCAGCGTTTGACGAGGTAACTTGAAACTTTCAAATAACTAAGAACTAAGTGGATATCGTAGAACTAGTAACATAACCATATGCCTCAACCGAATAAGTCCACGACTTATTGGTTTTTGATATCCGGAATCTTGTTCTGGATACTATAGGCCAGGTTTCCTCCATGGGCAATCCGACTGGGCAAGTAACCCTTCTCTTCCAACCAGAGCATCGGCCACAAAATTGTCACACCCAGTAGGCAAAAGAAGGTTGCAATCAGGTGCCAGATAATGACTATCCAATTGCCAATATGCGGTATCACGAATTTGACAAACTCCGAAGTCTGGTAGAGATCTTCCTGTTTGGCGATGTAGTACAATGTACGATCGCCATTGGTCGGGGCATTGGTCTTCGAGGCGTCCGTCGTGAGATCCAAGACAGTTGTCAATGTCACGGGTGCAACATGAAATGGAACGATCCAGATGGTGAAGATTTGAGACATGTGAATGTAGAGCTTGAGGTTATTCTCATCGAAAGCTGGAGGGTGGTCAGCGCTTATTGCTATTTATGTGAATTGAAGAAATAGATAAGAAAAAAAGAGGCAGCCATGCAACATAACTAATAGGATGTAGCAGTGGGAAAACACGAACCGATTGAATGAATCTCCATCTCAATTCGAGGGGACATGATCTTGTACCATTGGAAGATCTTCAACACCCACCACCTACTCCCCTCGAAGCTTGGAACACGGCAAAAGGGATGCACGAATGAAGCATCGCGAGTAAAGTATTTTTCGAGGGCTTTCTCTTGTAGAGAGGGGGTTGATTGGGTTAGAAGACGGATGACCGTCGGGATATCTTCCACTATACACCCAAGTTTGATTCGCAGGTCAGCCTATAATAGCTTTCTTGATCCAGGGGAAACTGACCTGGGTTCTCCATAATGTGATCTGATTCTAATCCAAAGACCTGAGAGTGTAGTTTGAATTTCAAGCAAGATCAAGTTCAAATTGTGGTGTTGTTGGAATGTTCAATCAGAAAGATCAAGTTAGCTAACCCAATGACATCATACTCAAGTTCCGACATGTGAAAGCCTCAAGTTTTATTTCTGGGCTGAATGTGAATGAAAATAGACAAAAGTACCTTACAGTGATATCCTAAATGCAGAATGTAAAATGTCATCAATGTACTGCTACATACTACCTACCTAGGTAAGTAGGTAGTACCTTACTACACTCCGAGTCCGTAGTGTCGATTCTTGTACTCCATACAGTGACGACAACTGGCAGCCGAAAGCCAGCTTGAAGCCAAATATTTTACTTAGGTCGAGTGAGTAGCATGAATTGGTAAAGATACATGTTATACAGTGCATTTGTATTGGTATTCGGTGCAGTAAATAGAGAACTGAAATAGTATCAGTGCGAAAATGGATTTTGGAATGCCATGCCAACTCCGTTGATGAATGATCCTAGACTCGAAACCCGGTCCCAAAGATAAACAAGAAATAAAATATCATGATCGAAATTTGAATGTCGCCATCTGAAAAACACCTTTCTACCGCTTCCAGGTATCAATCTTCTTGCGACGCTTGTCGAACATGTCACCCATTCCAGCACCGTCGCTGCGCTCATTCGCCTTTCTCTTACGACTCTTATCCAGCACAGCACCGCCATTCTTCGATCGTCGGGTAAGACGCTCGATACGGTCGGCACCCTCTGTGAGTCCCCTCCATTCATCTCCACCAAAGGTAGAATCCTTGTGGCCGCCGCGTCGCTTCGCCAGATCCTTCTTGGTCTCCTTGGGCAGGCGGACAAAGTTGGACTCTTCGTATGTGGTTCGCTCGTTCTCACGCTCACGGTCGCGCTTGGACTTGGTTTGACGACCACCATCGATAATCGTACTTCCGATGCTGGGTTCAGCCATGGGGGCGGACGACATCTCAGCGCTGACGAATTCATCGATAACATTCGACCTCTTTGGTCGGCGATCCTCACGTTCGCGACGTTCGGTCTCCGTTTTGGGGAGTGCAGTGGGCATGATTCTTGGTGGCCGATAGATGCCATCGTTGGGGGCGTCCTGGTCGGCTTGGGTAGCTCTGGTAGGCTTGGCCTGGTTTTGTAGAGCCTCGGCCTTGGCTTTGGCAAATGCGCCAATGTTGGGACGGAAAGCCATCTCGTCCAAGTCTTCCCCGTCCTCCGAATCATCTTCGCTGTCGTCGCTTCCACTCTCGTCCTCGGAGCCCTCACTGTCTGAGCCCTTGGCTTTCTTAACCTGCTTCGGCTTGTTGGACTTGACAGGGCGATCTGTGCGCCCCGCATCCTCTGCTGCCTTGATCACCTTATCCACCTGGTACTTCAATCGTCCCTCGAGCGGACGAACACCACGATCCAGGAAAACACGGAGTTCGACGAGCTTTTTCACGGCATCATTACTGAGGGAGTTGTCGGCAGTGTCCGAGCTCTGTTTGGAAGAGCTTTGTCGCAATTGGAAAATAATCAGGAAAACGAGATTGTGGAGGTAGGAGAGAAGAATCTCGCTTTTGGTGTCGAGGAGGGAAATGCCATCCTGCGGAGGTTCAATCGAAACGTCGGAGGGCGCATCCTTCTGGGGGACGGGCAGAGATGAGCCAGCGGTAGTTAAGCATGAGTTGAGATTCTCGAGAAGAGCAGAAAGATTCCGAGCCCGGGATGGCGCATTCTCTGTGGAAGTCATTGTGGGTGTTCTGTTGGAGAGCGACAAATAGAGGGACTTTCCTCTTTTGTATTCGCTGGAGATATTAGAATCCTCCACCTTTTTGAGGCCGGTAAGAAATAATTTTGAGATTGCAATTTTCCCCAATCTCTCCGCCTTCCTAAAATGGCCAGCTCTGTTTATCACCACGTGACCAATACATATCTCATCACGTGCAAACCCGTGCCGTCATGGCAATCGCATCGTCTCCAAATGAACTACTCTGTTCTTCTTAAAACTACAAACACTCCCTCATTTCCACTCCCACACCCCCTCCCACCACACGCCCATGCGTGATATTCCTACCATTGCAATTGGAATGTTATGATCGGCTTGCATGCTTAACGACTAAATTCAACATCTCCATAATCAGGGAACACTTTCCCTCATCAAACAAACACATGAGGCTGAACTGAAACACCTCCCCTCATCATGCGTTTCTCCGACCGATTTCCCCTCCTCGCATCTGCTCTCCTCACAATACCCTCTCTATCATCCGCATTTTATCTTCCTGGCGTGGCTCCCACCTCCTATGATAAGGATCAATCTGTGCCAGTCTTTGTCAACAGTTTGACTCCCGGACTATCGCGCGACGACCAACTTCATTCCGTTTTCTCATTCGAATATTACCATACAGCATTTCATTTCTGTCGCCCCCAGGATGGATATAAGGACGTGAGAGAATCGCTCGGAAGCATTCTCTTTGGAGACCGTATCTATACCTCTCCGCTCGAGGTCCATATGGCCAAGAATGAGACGTGTCGAGCCATGTGCGAGCAAGTGACATTCGAGGAGCGAGATGCCAAGTTTACCAACCGTCGTATCTCTCAGGGATACAACATCAATTGGCTTATTGACGGACTGCCAGCGGCCCAGCTGAACCTGGATGCCAACACCGGCACGGAATTCTACAACCCGGGATTCGCCCTAGGAAGTTTGGACGAAAATGGACTCGCTTTGCTCAACAACCACTTCGACATTATCATCGATTATCACCGCGTCGGTTTCGGCGGTAAGGACAAATACCGCATCGTCGGAGTGCTCGTCCAGCCCGATAGCCGCAAAGATACTCATGCCGGGGCTGTCGAAGGAGAAGACGCGAACTGTGGCACTCGTGGGGAGACTTTGACTCTTAGCGAGGATGGGGATACTACCGTCACTTGGACCTACAGCGTGACTTGGAGGGAATCGGGAACCGCCTGGGCCACTCGTTGGGACAAGTACCTGCATGTCTACGACCCGAAGATTCACTGGTTCTCGCTGATCAACTCTGCCGTCTTTGTCGTCTTCCTCGTTGGAATGGTCAGCATGATTCTGGTTCGTGCTCTCAAGAAGGATATTGCACGCTACAATCGACTCGAGTACAGCCTAGACGATCTTGATGGCACCTCAGCCGCGGTCGAGGACGGTATTCAGGAAGACTCTGGATGGAAGCTGGTCCATGGCGATGTATTCCGTTGCCCCCGGTCTCCTCTGCTGCTGAGTGTGCTTCTGGGCAATGGTGCTCAACTCTTCATGATGACTGGTGTGACTGTTGGTGAGTTACAAGCTGCTCATTATTACGATTAGCTTTACTGTCTATGCGCTTCTAGCTAACTTTCACTCTTCAACAGTCTTTGCACTTTTGGGTCTTCTTTCCCTGCCAACCGTGGCTTCCTAGCAACCGCTATTCTCTTGATCTCCGCCGTCTTTGGCGTCATCGGTGGATATGTCTCATCGCGCGTGTACAAGGCTTTTGGCGGCGAGGCATGGAAGCGCAACATCGTCATGACTCCGCTGCTGATTCCAGGATTCATCTTCGGCGTGTTCTTCCTTCTGAATCTGTTTGTTTGGGCTAAGGGCTCTAGTGGAGCCGTTCCCTTCGGCACGATGCTTGCGCTACTTTTCATTTGGTTCGTCATCAGCGTCCCGCTGAGTGTAGTTGGTAGTTGGATTGGATTCCGTCAAGCAGTACGTTTCATCTCATTTTTCATTTCGTCCTTTCTGTTCCTCACGTCCGGTGATACTAATTTGCTTCGCCTTACCTAGCCCCTTGAAGGCCCAACCAAAACCAACCAAATCCCGCGTCAGGTCCCCTTGATGTCGGGAAGTCTCCGCACGATCCCTTCTATTTTCTTAACCGGGATTCTTCCCTTTGGCGCCATCTTTGTTGAGCTGTATTTCATCATGACATCGCTCTGGACGAATAAGATATACTACATGTTCGGGTTCCTGTTCCTGTGTTACGGGCTGATGATCATCACCTCGGCGGCCACGACGATTCTACTGGTGTACTTCCTGCTCTGCGCGGAGAACTACCGGTGGCACTGGCGCGCGTTTGCCGGGGCTGGTATGACGGGAGGATATGTTTTCCTGAACGCGCTTATCTTCTGGGCGACGCGGGTGAGCTTTGGTGGACTGACAGGTGCGGTGCTCTACGTGGGCTACTCGGCGCTGATCGGATTTGTCGTTTTCATTCTCACTGGTATGTTTTTCATTCTCCCCTGCCTATGGATAACGTTCAGGTTGGCTATGGACTGAAGCTAATACTTCCTCCCCCTTCTTTTAGGCTCGATTGGTTTCTTTGCCAGCTGGGCATTCATCCACCGTATCTACGGATCGATCAAGGTGGATTAGTGTTGATTCTTCTGGTTTGTGTTTGTGGGGCATCATCCAGGGGTCTGGGTACTTATTTTCCCGATCATTAGAGCGGAGTGTTTTGATAGCCATGATTCATATATCTTGTTTATTTTTTGATATGAAGTTGTAAGTAGAGTAGAAGTGAGCAGTAATACTCGTATATCAGTGTATATCAGAGTGCCAGCGTATATACTACTACTAGTACATATACTCAGTATACTCAGTGCCAAGCCCCCGGATGTTCTGGACCTCGCCACTTCCACCTTCCACTTGCTTCACTCCACTCCTCGTCAACCTTCCCCTTGCAGCTCCCGACTTTTGTCTATAACCCCGAATTCCTCTCCGTCAAATTGCTCTTTGTGACACTCGCTTATTTACCCTCCCGATCGCGTGCTCAGATCCCTTTGGGCTCACCCCCCGCCACAACTTAACTCAGCCACACATTTCCCCCCCGATTCGATTCTACCCCGCGCGTCAACTTAGTCTCCCTCCGGATCCGAACACGAAAAAAGTTACAGGGGAAAAAACACCGAGGTCTCCGATCCTTTCGCCCACTTGCATGCGCTACCAACTGTCTTGATCGGTTTTAGTGACGGGTGTTTGATAATGGGCAAGTCGTAAGTGCTGCGAGGCGACTCCCCCCCTCCCCTCATCTCCGACGCGCCGGAACAGCGGAACAATCTGGAACAACCAACAATGCATGATGTGTCCTGCTGGACGCGGTTGGAATCACACGCTCAACCACTTTTGTAGTGGTCAGAGTGGAACCGACGTTCTTCCAACTCCTCCATCTATCGTCCACACTATGATTACATCACAGATGACAGTGTTAATGTTCACCCCCGGACTCTTAGGCAATCGAAGCTCTCGCCCACCCAGCTGGACGAGTTGCAAAAAGCAACCCATTTCGATAAGAAGGAGTTGCAGCAATGGTATAAAGGTAGGTGGTCACCGATATCCCACCGCGCACTGCCCTTTCTTCCTCTCTTCCCCGACTAACGCCACTGCGTCATCGTCATCAGGTTTCCTCAAGGACTGCCCTTCCGGCACCTTGACCAAGGAGGAGTTCCAGAAGATCTATCGACAATTCTTCCCGTTTGGAGATCCGTCGTCCTTTGCCAATTATGTGTTCCGGGTATTCGACTCGGACAATAGTGGAATGATTGATTTCAAGGAGTTCATCTGCGCCCTGTCGGTGACCTCACGGGGCAAGATGGAGGACAAGCTGGACTGGGCCTTCCAACTGTATGATATTGACGGGGATGGCAAGATCACATATGACGAGATGCTGGCCATTGTCGAGGCGATCTACAAGATGGTTTGTCCCTCCATATTGATCCTGTAAACATGAAAAATGCTAACACTGTACTTTACTCCAGGTCGGCTCGATGGTCAAGCTGCCCGAGGACGAGGATACCCCCGAGAAGCGAGTGCGCAAGATCTTCCGAATGATGGATAAGGACGAGAATGGCAGTCTGGACATTGAAGAGTTCAAGGAAGGAAGCAAACGGGACGAGACGATTGTCAGCGCACTGTCGCTGTATGATGGGTTGGTATAGGTAGAGAGGGAGGAAGCGATCTGGGAGTGTCCGGCGCAATTGTAATGAATTCTTCGGTCTGTTCTGTCCATTCTGTGTGTTCTTTTCTGCTATGCATATTATTGTCTATTGAATCAGTGTGTATACTCCTAGTATCTACTGTATGTACTGTATGTACTGTATACTCTACTTGACATTCGACGTAGTGACCTGTACCCTGTCCAGTCTCCACTTGCCTAGTCGCTATGACTGGATGTAGGGCGCTCCATAACGGCAATCGACCCAGTGTTTATGCCAGGATGGCAGCCTCCGAGTCCCAAAATTAATAGTGTTTTCTATACGAACTTGGCCACAGACTTCTATTATATTGCAGATATAGGTAGCTTTAGAATATCTATAATCAGGGCCATGATGAATGCTTCATTACTAGTAGCGCTGACATCATTGACGTCACTAGGTAACTAGTACTAATAGTCCTATACTAGTTGCCAGTATTAGAGGGGCGGCTTGAAACATTACGTTACTACTTGGTATCCTAAACTCCTGAACTATTAGGGCCAACTCATTTGTAATAGACAGATGGGAGTAAGCTATATCAATCTGAGGAGACTGCCAGGTGGGTCGATTGTCGTTATGGAGCGCCGTATATGGATCGAATCGCGACCACTAGTACAGCATTAGCATGGGTACGTTTTAAGTTGTTTAATCATGGCTAGGCGATTATGGCTTTCTCAAATGAACTTTTTTGATTCTTTTTTCAAATATGGGAAAGTACTCGTAGCAGAGTCCAATCTTTAGTAACTTGAACGAGTATAATGTACTAGTACTGGATATCCCGGGAGGTTTACTACTAGCTACTACTAACAACCTTGGAACCAAAACATATTGATAATATTTGTGCCATCATAGGACATGGAGATATCCACTAGTACTAGTATTATTTACTAAAGGTAAGTACGAGTATAAATACCATTCTCTTTCAAGTGCCGGTTGATTCATGTTTGCCCCCTGTCGTGAACAAAGAAAGCCCAAATTGAAAGGACAACCATCAAAGACCTTTCAAAGGAGCACTCCCCTTTTTACTACCTATAAACACTTCCCAATAAACCATTTTTCTGATTTTTTCTTATTTTTTCCAATTTTAGACAATCCCTTGCAACTTTTGACTCTGCAAGTTGTGGATTTTGGAGATGACTGGGGAAAAACCTCGACCACTCAGTCACCATCTTGCAACAGCAAGGATATGGCGATACCCTTCACTATGGAGCAACGCCGACTTGAGCAGACTCGGGTGTCGGTTCGAAAATGTCGATCCAGACTATGTGGACTACAACAAGGATCATAAATGGGTGGGCAGTGCACCCTGTTCCCGACTGGCCACTGTGAGGCAGCCCAGTCTCGCGGAGATGTTCGCCATCCACCCTCATCATCCCACACGATTGGAATGTCTAACGGAGATCCTGGCCTGGGGTCCTTCATGGACAAAAGGGCCCTTTCCAAATTTGCGGTACAGGTCTCCCTTCCCTGTTCATTCGATGGAAACACCTCCGAAGAGCTAACTCTACTCACAGCGAAGGGCGTCCATTCTTCTTTCAAAATGTCAACATCCGCCGAAGCTCGAATGGTGCCTCACCAAGGTACAAGATATTCAGTCACCGCAAGCACATCAAAGCCCATCTAGCAGAGGATCCACCCCGGGTAATAGGCTATCTGAACTACGAGGAGATGTGGAAATTCCGAGGTCGTCAATCTGAATCGCGTCGCCACCCTCGCTTGGAACAGAAAGTCATGGGCGGAAAGGCTGGTCCATCTACGCTGGCTAATTGGAGAACAGAGCCATTCTTGCTCTTCATATTATTAGGCATAGCTCAAATCCACCGCCTCAAGTACAATGATGCATCGTCCAACGGAACACTTACAGTATGTTTCTTACATCGTTCTCCAACTTGAACTGGAATGTCCCCAATAGCGTACTGCTAGAAGTACTAGTAGGCTCAGAATAGTCCTCACTGATACAATTTAGACCCGTCTGCTAGTACACAACTGGCTCAATGATCCAAGCCACATATATCTCTACGAGGTAACATGGGATACAGCTCTCATCGACGCTTTGATACACCAGGGCAAAACCATCTCGGCAATCAAACCATTCAATATTGTTTGGAAACGAATATCCCTCAAGCCGTATGAATCTTTTCCTCGTCGACTTCATGATATTCTTTTAAATGGCTCAATACGAGCTCGCCTTTTGGGCACAATAGAGAATATCCCACAGCTTCCAACCCCGAACCCTACAGAAACTCCCATCGAGAGCACTCGAAAACAACTTGAACTCGACAACTTGAAGCTCCAATCTCACACTACCCAAACAAAACGAAAAAGAAAATACACCGAAGATGCCGAAACTTCTGAAGATGACGAGAGATGGAAAGGGAAACGCCGAAGGTCCGGAGGTACCGTGGAAAGACCCATCCCTTACCAAAAAAGATACAAAGCGAAATTCGAAAAGATATCGACTGCAGACAGCGAATATAGTAGCGAGGAAACGGCAGAAATCAAAGGCCCTGTCTCGGGACGCACACGGTCAAAACAGTCCAAATTTCAAGCCAATTCCGCAAGGGAAAAGACGAGCTCCAAGAATATGAAAATGAAGTAATAGCTTGACAAAGAATACCAATCAACCTCTCCCTCCTTCTCCATTTCAAGATACTCTTACTCCGTAGCTCCCATATCAAGCAGCAATTGCTCTCTCTCCGGCCTAATACTCCGAGTAAGCGTCAACAGCGACCGACCACCAGCCTCACACGCATTAACATCAGCCCCTCTCGCCAGAAGTAAATTAACCTCCTCCATATGCCCATATAGTACCGCCGTAAACAAGACTGTACGAGACTTGTATCCCTGAAGATTAACCCTCGCGCCCCGGTCCAGCAATAGCTCAATCAACGAAAGATCATCAGGCGGGGCCGTCAAAACAGCCAAATCCAACGGCGTCCGATGGACGAGCAAATTAACATCTGCGTCATTATCAATGAGGATCCGTACCGCAGGGCCATGATGTCGAGTCAGGGCAAGCATCAGGGGAGAATAATCTCTCCATCTGGGATTGAGGATATCGACTGCAGCGCCTAATCTGATCATCTCTCGTATACCCTCTGTATAGCCCCAAAATGCGTAATATGATATGGCTAGGCCGCCGGTGGTCTTGATGTTATTTTTGCATAGTTCTGGGTGGAGGATGTGATATAAGAATTTATTGGTTTGGAGGAGGTGAGCGAGGTCTGGCGGTTCTAGTTTGCTGATTATGAGGAGGATTACTTCTTGTGGGAGGTGTAAGAGTTGCATCGGGTTTATGTGGTTGAATGTGAATAGCTAGGTACATGAAGGGATTAAAGATGAATTGTCGGAAAGATAAGCTTGTTATAATAATTACTAACTAGTTCAAGTTAGTAGCAGTCTAGTACTAGTCGAATCAGGCAGCAACCGGGGCAATAAAGTGTTCGAGTCGTGATCTACATTGCAGCTGGCCTGAAGGCTACCTTGAGGTAATGCATATTCTAGTTATTAGCTAGTATTCAGTTACTAGCAGGAAAGGTATGTACGCATGAGAATCAACTGGTAAACAACGAAATCTGGAACTGTCGCAGTATATAGTAAACATGACACCATCATCTCGACACAGTCGAATTGATCATACCAAGCCATCTCCATCGTAGGCTACATACCAACTCCGCTGCATTCTATCTGGGTTTGATGTACAAAGGGTATCGGGAAGATCCAGATCCATGAATCTCCAGTCCCCGACAGGCAGGCAGGACGCGGTCTAATGTACTGAAATAGGACAAAAAAAAAAGGGAAAACAAAGAAAAGAGCAACGTCAGCAAGGACGAGGGGAATGAACCAGGCTCGCCTGTCCCGGGCAAAGCAAAGAAAAGAAAACAAATAGATGAGACTCGTGGGACGGCGTTAGGTGAGAGCAGAGTAGAGCAAGATCAGGTCAGGTCAGCCAAAGGCCAGCGACAAAAGGACGAATTGGAAGATATCCGGGGTGAACGGGATGCAGTCGTCGAGTTTCAAGAGTAGCATTGCAAAGGACGAGCAGTCTTCTGAGGGTGTGACTAGGCTACCCCGATCACTTGCGGTCCTGGCCGAAGAACCAGCTCGTGCGCTTGCCAGTCGTCTCCTGCGACTGAACACCCGCGACGTTCGCATTGGGCGGCGGCCCATCCGAGCCGCCGCCCCCGCGCAACGGCTTCGCAATGCGAGATCCTCCAAAGCTGAAACTCCCACTGCCGTCCATCGAGGGCAGACCGCGGGTGGAACCTTGCTTGGCAGCCTCCAGGCGCTCTTTCACAGCGGTGAGTTGAGCCTCGAATCTGTGGATGGAGTAAGTATTTATTTGAAACCCCCAAAAAAAAGAGAACAGTTTTGCTGGAAAGAAACATACCGGTGGTTGGCTTGGGTCAACTTCTCTTGGCTCTCCTGGAGCAAACTCTCGAGGCTGGAAATACGCTCGTTTCGCGCAATCAACTTGCGCTCCGCAATGGCGACCTCCTTCTTCAAACTACTATTCTGCTCAACCAATTGCCGTTGAACGTGAGTGAGCTGTTCAAGGTTGCGCTCAAGGAATGCCATCTTCTTCTGTTGGGCACGGTTGTTCGATGAGCGAAGTACGTTGTTATATTGTTCTCGCGCATCATCCAGCGAGATCTCGAGCTCAACGACTCGCTCGCAGCGATTTTGCAAGTCACGCATCAGTGATTTCTTCATGGCATCGAACTCGGAGATCTGCTGCTGAAGGGTCTTGCTAGCAGCGCCATTGGTCGAGGTGCGTGATTCGGTGGCAACGAGGCTCTGTCGCAACTTGTTCATTTCATCGTCCTTGCGGGTGATTTCGGTTCGCAGTTCTTCGACAGCGGCGGCTTCGGTCTCTTTCCGGCTGATGAATGACTTCTCAAGCCTTTCGCGGATCTCTTCCACATCTCCATCCCCGAGGTTACGAGACAAAAGATCCTCGTATTCCTTCTGGACGTCCTCCAGCTTCTGCTCAAGCTCCGTTCGACGACTGTCCTGCAGATCGCCAAACTCACCTCGGTCATTCATCGTCAGCTCAGCCTGGCGAATGAATCCTTGGGTCTCTAGCAGACTAGTTCGAAGCTCAAGGACGTCGTCCGGAGCAATAGTCTCGCCTGCTGCGCTGACCTCGTGCAAGGCGTCTACACGCGAAATCAGGCCCTGCAGCTTACGCTCGTTCGTCGAGAAGACATCATCACCCAAGTCAAAGCCAGCCATCATCTTCGCCATCTTCTCTGCCTTCTTCTTCTCCTTCTCATCCATCGCGGCGGTGGTTTCCTTCGCCTTCATGCGAACATCGAGAAGCTGCTGCTTGACCTCGTCCAGCTCACCGGTCAGCTCAGAGTTGGCCTCTCTCAGGCCGTCCATGGTGATGGCAGCCTCCTTGCCCTCATAGGACACCTTCTCAAGCTGCATGCGCAGTTCGTTGACCTCGGTAGTCAGGCGATCATTATCCTTTCCAGACCGTCCGGCACCCTCCCTGATTGACTTCAACTCCTCGCGAGCTTCACGGAGACTGCGTTCGACATTCACGATATGTGTTTCCCTTTCAGCGATTTGATCTTGAAATTCATTCTCACGGCGAAGGAATTCCTCCCGCTCGTCCTTCTCCAGCACCAGGCTGGGCGTGCTGGAGCGGTCTCCAAGTCGGGAATCGGGTCGTGGGGTTTCCGCGCGTGCAGTTTCTTGAAGACGAGATGGCGTTCCGGGTCGAGGGCCACGAGCCTCCGCTTTGGTCGCGCTGACGATCTCATTGCCGCGCGCAGGGGTCCATTGATCCTTGGGGACGTTGTCACCATTGCGCCACGTTGAGACCTCATTTTCCAGAGCCGAGATATAGCTTTCGAAGTTGGTGACTTGAGTCTGGGCTTTCCGCAGGAGGAGTTTCATTTCGGCTGGGCTCAGCTCGGCGTTGACCTTGGCCTTGTTCTTAATTGCCTTGGCGCGTGAACCGAAACGCAGGGTAGAGACGGTTTCGGCATCGTTGTAGCTGCTGGGCGAACAATTGATAATTAGTGTCGTTCGAGAGTTACCTCCGAGCGACTCCTGCAGAATTCGAGTAAGCTTGGAGTCACGGTAAGGGATGTGAGTCGATTTGCCATCCGTGAGCGCGTTGATGACCATTCCCAGGGCACTCAAACTTTTGTTGATCTTCTTGGCTTCCTCCAGAGTTTGACCGCTAGCTCCTGTCTTTCCAACCTTCTCACTACCAGCCAAATCGACCAGGAATAGCTGACCACTCTTGGCGGACCCAGTTTCCACGTTCTTTTGACTGACGGTGATGACGAAGATGGAGTGCGAACGAGAAGACTCTTGATTCATGTTGGTCGCGGCCACGGCTCGGGAATTTCCACCACGGCGCATCACCTCGTAGACCTCCTGGACGCTCGACACATATACCTCCAGCAAGCCCTTGACGTAGACTCCGCGGTTCTTTTCTTCGTGGACGGGAAGATTGTCGTTTTGTGGCACGAGGAGATCACGAATCCGCTCCATGTAAATTTCCATATAGCTGACCCGCACAGTGTATTCGATGTTGCTTGGACTCGTTAAGATGCTGGCGAAGACTTGCTCGACAATTCGAGGAATGACACCCTTTCCCACATCGTCGTCGATGTCGGATCCCATCATGGTATACGACTTTCCCGCACCGGTCTGACCATACGCAAACACCGTTCCATTGTAACCGTTCAATATATCGTCAACCGTAGGTCGGACCGAGAAGTCGAAGATGTCTCTTTGAGCCGAGTCCATGGGGAACACGCGATCAAAGGTGAAGTCACCCGAACCCTCCTGGGACTATACCACAACCCGTGTCAGTTTCAGAGTTTCAAGATATCGGGAGGGCCAGAATGCTCTCTCCATTGACTCACCGTGATCATGCATGATTCCTCGCCTTCGAAATGAACGATCGGTTGACCTCCAGAGGCTAACTCGACCTTGTTCTGAGGTCGGAATCGGGCGATGACTAGACGCGTTGGGGGTTAGCCGTCTTCGCTCCACCGCATCTTCCACCTTGTGTGCGTACCCTTAATGGTGTTGGACCCCGCAGACCTAGAGATCGAGTCAGAGACATTTCAATTTCGCCGTGTTGCGGTAAGAGTCAACTCACGCCATATTTACGGTTCAGCGAGGATCACCTCTCTCACGAAAGAAACCAAAAAAACACAACCCCAAGGAGGGGCAGACAAATCCCGGGGGTCGAGAAGTAGAGGAATAGGGGTGGTCGAGTGTGGTGTGTGCGTGTGTGTGTGTGACCTCCACGAGAACTGGCACACAAAGTACAGCCAGTCGGAAAGCAGGAAGCCAAAAAAAAAGAAAAGAAAAAGAAGCAAACAAAGGGCCCTGGTCAAGAGGGGGGGAAGAAGGTGAAGGTGAAGTGGATTTCCAATGTTGACGAGTCGCCCGTTTGGGAGATTCTCTTGGCCGACCGCTTCCTTCCTCCGCTTCCTCCGCTGCAGGCAATCTGCACATCAACTTTATTTATTCATTTTATTTACATTCAAGTTTGTATTTACTAGTATTCTGAGAACTATTTATTATATATTACGTATTATTGAGTATTAATATCCATTCAGGCTAATGCAAATAGCTATGGTAAAACAAGTCAAGGTAAATCACAGAAACCAGAAAGAAACCACATTAGAAGAACCATAATGCACATGAAAAAAGGTCATCCAGGACAGATATAAAATGAAATAAAAAGAGAAGAGAAGAGAATGTAATCCAGGCGCCCAAACCCCACGCTGTGCAGATCAAATGGCCGATTCCGGTGCCAACTCTTCCCTTCCTCCGAGCATGCTTCAATCCAATTCAGGTCCAAAGCAGCAACAAGGAGAAAAGACAAAACCGAGCCCCCGGTAACGCCTTCATGGTTTTTTTTTGTGTTCTAATCCTCCCAGCTCTTCTCCACGGTTTCGCGGACGCGTTTGATATATTCCTTGCGGTTATCCTTGTACAGGTTCGATGCTTCGACGTTAGCCGGCGAGGAGGTGTTGGGGTCATTGAGTAGACTGGAATCGAAGAAGAAAGAAGTCAGTATAAATTATAAAGAGCCCCAAGGGACGCAAAGACCAATTTCGTAAGCTGGCTCATACCTTTGAATACTCGTCAGGATAGCGGCCACATCATAGGTAGGACTCCATCGGTTCTGAAGAATGTCGAGACAGAGTTCACCAGTTCCGTAAACATTGGGATGGAACATCTGACTGATAAATTTGACGCCAGGAGGCTTGTTGGGGTATTGTTCCTCAAAGTTCATCACGAGGCGAAAGGTTCCGTCCTCGAAGGGTGTATCGGCGGGACCAATGATGACGGCATTCCTATGAATGCGTTAGAAAAGGAAGGGCCAATAGGTTGAGAATATAGCTTTACATACCATGTCATCACATTATCGGCGACAGGTGAAGCAGAGACACCGGCGGGGGGATCGGTTTGCATACGCTAGAGTCACAAAAGCCAGATGATTAGCGGGAGGGGCAAAATGACCGATAACGGGGGACCCTGGGGCACATAGAGGACGAGAGCTTTCCGGAGAAATGCGAGACCCAATCCCTTCACACACAGCTGCTTATCAAAAGCAAAAACAGTATCTGCAATGAGGTGGGACACCAATTTCGCGATTTCCCCGTAGACGCCCGGCAGTATATGACATCGACATACCTTGAAGTCCCGCATGAGACGGCGGCGGGCAGAGGTCGACATGATGATGTTTCTTTGAGTAGGAGGAGCTGGTAATGATCAATTAGAGATTTCTGCAAGAATATGAAAAGCAGAAGATCAGGGTGTGACGATCGAGCACGCCAGATAGAGCACGAGAGAGAGAGAGAGAACGGTCAATCGGTTGAAGAGGGGCCGATGAACTCGCGGCAGAATGTTAGTCATCATTATTGCCTTGTTGCCTTGTTATCTTTTTATCTTAGTAATCAAACATTGAGTATTATGTCATATCATGTGATCTCCAGCAATCCGCCAGCCGAGGTATACAGCGGAATGCCGCCTACCCGCCAACCGCAGTTAACCGCCCTACAACTGCTCACATCGCGGTACCCTTCTTCTTTTTCTCTTCTCTTCATTTCTTGCTCATCTACTTTCTCACTCCCTACACTATATTTCATACAGCTATCTCTCTCACAACATGATCACCGCCCCGAGGCTGTCAACCCGCTCTGTGCGGGCTCTCCCCGCATTCCGAGGTCAGAGACAGTTTAGCTCCGCACGCCCATCGTTGAAGGAGGTTCAAGAAGCATACATCCTCAGTGCCGCTCGTACACCAACTGCCAAGGTATGGGAGCTCTGTGCAACTTTATGATCTATCTCTGAAAACGTTTCAAGATCGCTCACCCTTCATACTTAGTTCAATGGCTCCTTTGCCTCGGTTTCGGCTCCCCAACTCGGCGCGGTCGCCATCAAGTCGGCTCTAAGCAAAAGCAATGTCCCCATGGAGAAGATCACCGATGTGTATATGGGAAATGTTCTGCAGGGATCGGTCGGTCAGGCTCCCGCTCGTCAAGCTTCCATCTTTGCTGGCCTACCTTCCACCGTCGAGTCCATGACAGTCAATAAGGTGTGCGCCTCAGGTTTGAAAGCCGTTGCATTGGCCGCCCAGAACATTCAACTCGGTCTAGCCGAGGCACAAGTTGCTGGTGGTATGGAGAACATGACTCGGGTGCCTTACTACATGCCTCGATCAAGCCAACTACCCCCCTTCGGTGAGATCAAGCTGGAGGACGGTTTGATCAAGGATGGGCTCTGGGATGTGTACAACCAGTTTCACATGGGAATCTGCGCAGAGCAGACCGCTAAGAAGTATGATGTTTCACGAGAGGATCAAGATCAATACGCTATTCAATCCTATGAGCGAGCCCAGGCAGCCTGGAAAGCAGACAAGTTCGCCGACGAGATTGCCCCCGTCACTGTCAAGGGAAAGAAGGGTGACACCGTCATTGAAAAGGATGAGGGCTTTGAGAACTTGCGTGTCGACAAGCTGACTAGCCTGAAACCTGCTTTCCTGCGGGATGGTACTGGTACCGTGACTGCTGGCAATGCCTCGACCATGAACGACGGCGCATCGGCGCTAGTTCTCGCCAACAAGGAGATTGCTCGGGAATTTGGCACCGGTGGCCGAGTTCTGGCTCGCATTGTGTCGACCGCTGATGCGGCCATTGACCCTGTTGACTTCCCTGTGGCCCCAGCCAAGGCTGTCCCTATCGCTCTGGCCCGAGCCGGTATCACTAAGGACCAAGTTGCCGTATGGGAGTTCAACGAGGCTTTCGCCGCTGTGATCAAGGCCAATGAGAAGGTAAGACACCCAGCTGTTTACGAGCATCCGCTTTCCACTTTTCGCGATTAATTGCTAACATATCCTTTTTCTTTCTCATAGATTCTCGGTCTCGAGGGTGCCAATGTGAACATGCTTGGCGGTGCTATCTCTCTGGGCCATGCTCTTGGAAGTTCCGGTTCTCGTATTCTCGTCACTCTGCTTCACCAGCTGCAGCCTGGCGAGTACGGTGTGGCGGCCATTTGCAACGGTGGTGGTGCAGCGAGTGCCATGGTTGTCCAGAAGCTGGATCGCGTAGACTAAGTGATACATGTCCTCTACAATGTTAATGATACCCTCGAGTCCCTCCAAGTCCCTCCAAGCCCCTGCGCATGAAATTTGAAATGTAAATTGGGCATTCAATTTATTTAGTTCAAGCCTGTATATACCCAGAGCTGTACCAATGCATACTACTAGTATTACTAGTAGTATCATCTATCATTCGGAATACCTACTCCTAGCAGTACTACCAAGGTAGGTAGTACTAGTACACTTGAATAATGAACCTGACTATTCCGAGGTTTACGTATTGTAATCACCTTAATACTAGTACAACCTCTAAGAGAATCAATAGTAATTCAACTTGAGACTCTTTTCATCGTCGATCGCAGTAAGGAATGGCGCTAGTCCCGATCGGGGCAGCTCCAAGCATCGCGGGTTCTTCCATCACCAAACATTCAACCTTCTTTCTCTTCTTGATGAACCTGGGAATTATTCTTCAGAACATGCTACACATTTAGTGAGCCTTCAACAAAATGCTCAATCCTATAGAACTACAGCTTCGCCCTTCCTGCTTCGAGGCTCTCTCCTGGTCGCCCGACGGTGACCTTGCCGTGGCCGCAGGCGAGCATGTCCAGATTTTAGTGCGTCCAATACACTCTACGCGAGTCCCATCCAGGCTTATCCTAATGTTTGAATCAGAAACCCAAAACTGGCTGTTTAAAACGAAACACACCAGGCAAAGATGCCTGGGACATCACGCGTATTCGCGTCAACACCTTCACTAATGCCGAATGGGCACCCATCCCCCCTCAAAATCGTGATGATTTTTCTATTGGTGCTGAGCAGTCAACGAGTACTGTCATTAGCTTAGCATGGTCCCCGGCAGGATTGGCTCGATTTCGCCGCAGTGTGTTGGCTGTTCTGGGTTCAAACTTGATCCTGTCACTGTGGGAACCAATCGGTCCCAGAGCGATATGGACAAGGGTCGCGATCGTCAACCATGCGCTGCATCCCGACCCCTCGGCTCCCTCAACACTGACTGGTGAACCCCTTCGCAAGGCAAATATTCGTTCCTTCCACTGGTGTGAGCCTCTGAAAACTCCAGCACGATCCGAAGATTCTGACCAGGCGTCGGAACCTGAGAGTCGATGGGGTATCCAGTTGATGTCTATTACAAATGATGCCAACGAGGTCGTTCTTTTACAAATCCAGAGAAACTCTAACTCAACTTCACCTAGCCGGTCTTATCACATGAAGAAGTTAACTACATATCAGCTTCCCGGAGAGAAGAACACACCCAATGTTTGTCCTGGGTCAATTCTACAGAAAACCCTTCAGCTGAAATCACGCATTCTGTCAATCTCGACCGGGCCGTGGGTCCCTTTGCATCCAACAAAAGTTAATGGCGTTCATACATCCTCGGCAATGATCGCAGCTGTGTATGGCAAGCAGCTATACCCCCTCAAGGCGACCATCGCCTTACATAAATTGGACAACGGTACCGATACTGCTGCGGAATATCAAGTCACGGCGGAGCTGGCAGACCATCCCTTGACAGATTCATCGTCAAGGTGGGCGTACTGTCAGATCGAAGGCCCGATAAAATGGATTCACACAGTGCGTACTTGATCTTTTGATCCTTTTTTTCATTGGATCCCTTTTTTACTGGTTCCACAGAATCTATGCTGACTCTGACTATAGAAACAATCCCCAAACATCAATCTGGTAGTTGGCACCTCCACCGGATTCCTTACCCTATCTATCCCCCGTAATGTTTATCAAGGCACCGGAAAGGGCAAAGACCGATTTGAATTCTGGCCAACTTCTACCTCATCATTTCCCGTCGAAGACGGCGAGCCTCGAAGTGACTGGGAGCTCATCGCAGGTGGGTGATGGAAATCATTCTATGCAGGGGTTGAAAATAAAACTGACCAGTTTCAGGCATGGCCACATTGACCGACGAGCAAAATGACTCATGTGCGCTCCACTTGGGCACCTCAGCCGCACTAGCAGCTTTCATTGACTTGGAGACACCGAGTTCAGAGGAGGCTGAATCCGATGATAGTCTGGGCCTACCACAGTGGAGCAAGATAATCAAAAATATCCGTGAGCAATATGATTTAGACCGCGATCTTCAAGGATACGCTATGAATCGAGTTTGGGGTTTAGCCTCCTACCGTGGTGTCATTGCAGTTCTTGTTACCCGCCACCCGACAAATATGATTCAATACAAAGTCGCATCTGACGAGAGGGCCGTTGTTGGTTTTGCATTCGAGGGTGCCGAAGAAGCCCCAGATCCCGAGTCACTTTTCTCGCTAGCGTCCGATCAAAATGAACAACCCGAGGAAAGCGGAAGAAAAAAGCCTGTCACTTTCTTGCTTTCGCGATGCGACAAGGATGACGAAATCAATACCGTGGATCAAAGACTCATCTATGCTGCAGCATGCTGTAGTATAGTGGATAATCGCCTTGCTTCGATCCGCCCCCAAGCTCAAAAGGCCCTAGAACGGTTGGCAGTAAAGACGGGTGCTGATTTGAGCGAGGAAATATCGAAATGTACGAATGCTTCTTCTACAATATCGAGCAAATCACCAGAGCAGCTCTCCCAAGCAGGCGGTCACCTATTTGAAAAATGCGATATTTGCGATGCAGGCATTCCTTGGGCCTCAACCACGGAGGCCCAATGCGAGAATGGCCATCTTTTCGGTATGTAAATTATCTCGCCAGAACCTCTTGATGACGATCTGACATTTGATGTAGTACGCTGCGGACTCACCTCCGTGGCCATTCAGGAGCCTGGTATTTCCAAATATTGCTCTACTTGTCAAACTGAGTTTCTGGATGAAGAATTGATTGTGCGCCTGCGTGATGAAGCGCTTAGTCCGGTCTTTATGGGCGTCGTCAGGGCTTTCGATATTTGTCCCTCCTGCAACTCCAAGTTCAAGTGCAGCAACCTCACTTAATACCCACATTTACAACAAGAAGTTTGATTGGGATTGGAATTGAGAAATTGGAAGCCACTATTCTGAGCTCAATTGGTCCGGATTTTGTCTTGAGACCACAATGATTTTATGATTTTATGTACTAGACTGTGATTGAGTAGCTCTGCTACGTCAACCCGAACCCGAATAAGGACCCAGCGATGGGATCCCACTCGTCTTCCCATCTGCGGGAACTTTCCTTTTGAGCGCCTGCCCGAAGACTTGCCAGTTTCTGATCATCGCCAAACAACTCCACCAGCTGGCCAGATAGCTCCGTTGCACTGCCAAATCCCATCCCGTTCACACCTTCGGTCACTAACTCAGGCCATGCCTCAAATCGGCTCCAACCGACCACTGGCAAGCCCGCACCGAACATGTCGACAACTTTCATTGGGAGATCTACCCCGCTACTGCTGGTGTGCAAACTTACTCCCAGAGATGACGATGCGAGTAAGCGGGCATAGTCGGATACTGTCAACCATGCCGTGCGAATGGTGACTTTTTGAAGCTTGCCGGCAGTTTCCAGAGCGGCAATCTTCTTCAAATACATCTCTTTCTGCGGACCCTTACCCGTGATGATAGCCAGAATGTGAGGCAGGCGTGGCTGGGCTACGGCTTGTTCCGAATACTGGACCAGGGCATCTATCAGGACCGAGAAGTCTTCATCCGGAGTCCAAGAAGTCGAGCTGACCAGGACTCGGAGTGATCCCGATTCTAACAATGGACGCACGTCTTTTGTCTCCGGTAGAGTCGCCAGGAACTCGTTGCGGGCTTTGGGATCAGTGATAGGCTGGAAGTGACTGGCAGGACGATCATGGAGCGGCAAGATTGGAGCCTGAAGCTTAAAGTCCTTCTTAAGGACGGATCGCATGGCATCGGTCACGCAGAGGTGGGCCGAAGCCATCTTGCAGAATGTCTTCTCATACCAAATCGACAACTTGACGAGGGGGTGTGTGGGGCCAAGCTTCAATGCTAGGATGGAATATCCGAAATTATGCCAGTCGATTACCAAGCGCGTCTGTCGTAGGAAGCAAGTTATTGAGGAAACTGCTAGTGTGGGAATCGAAGGCGGGTTCTACTTGGTCATCAGCAAATGTCCTGATCATAGGATACATCGATAACCACTAGATCGAATAAATGTTAAGAAATGTTGATCAGGCCGACATACCTGGACTAGAAGCCATCTCGTCGGCGGAGAAGTATATGCTAGACACTTCCATAGACATGCGACTTGAAAGAGTACTTTCAGTGGCCCATATATGATAAACAAGAGCTTATTACTAGTTTGAAGGTATGCGGGGTGGGGACGGATGGGAACGATGGTGATGTCAGGGTGTGATTCAATATCAGGGTGAGAATCAGATTCTGAATTTTGAGGTTCAAATGTTAGCTATATTGCGCTGCCCTCGTGGCAATTGGGGTAGCCAGCCAGCCCCACTCACCTTTATAGCCGATGATCACCACGCGTCCACCATTTCTAGCAATACTCAGCGCATGGTATTGCATGCGTGGACTCCGGCCTATGTCGCCCAAGACGAGGATCTGCACACTCCGTTTCTCCTTCGGGTCAGAGGTTGGCTTGTATTGCGATGGGAGAAGCAGAATGGCCACGGTCAGGGCGGTTGATAGGCAGAATGCGATGGTGATTATGGATTCAATCATGACGGTGGTAGTGTAGAGTGCAAGAGGCTTGACCTCGTTGCGATCATCGATCAGAATAACATTGTACGGTAGTCACGAGAGGGAAGTGTAAGTGTACAAGTTTGAGTGTATAAGGATGCTCCGATGTTCTCCCGCGGAGGTCGCATTATCGATAAGACCACGTGATCCAAATGATACTGCGATAAGGTCACGTGGCTCCCCCAAGGTTCCCACGCGATTGGCCGCCCCCCGGCGGTTCGACCTTAGCTTCCTCAAGCCCAGCTTCGATCTGCTCGGCATTGCGCTGCGCTAATTCTGTTTCACGGTTATTCTCACATTCATTCGGTCTCCATCGACTGCGCGCAATGCTGTCTGTTTTCACTGTCCTTATCCCCACACTCTGAGCTTAGCAGGCTCCCCTATAACCCTCCATCTCCTATTCCACTTGCGACAACCACTCAACCCCCCCCTTCTCCATACAATGTCGACGGGGGCACCGCCCCTGAATGCGGATGTCGCACCAGTCAATGGACATGCACATGCACATTCACACGGTCACAGTCGTGGCCGCGGACATACTCGATCTCGCTATGCCCAACCCCCACCGGCCCCTCTCTCGCTGGACCTGTCCAATGCCCCCCCAACCGCCACCGGACATGACCGACTCCGTCAATAATCATGGCTCATACGGACATGTCTCCCAGCCATCCTGGTCTCAGCATAACCACAATGACTCCCATTCTCACAGCCACGGCCACTCCCACTCCCATTCGCTTGCGCACCACGGCCATACCCACAGCGTGTCATCAATTCACCACGACGCGCCCCACGTTCATGATATGAACCCACAAGCTACTGCTATAAATTCGGAGACTAGCTCCAACCAATTGTGCGTGGATATACAGAGATCACGATGTGAAAACAACTGACACCTCCCAGGCATGAAGTGCTGGCTGGCGCCCTCATCGCATTACCCTGGATAGCATTGTCCTGGTATCCAAGAAAGTACACACAGCCAAACGCAGATGATCAATATACCTCCGAAACGACACACAAAGCCGCCGTTGGAACCATCGATCAGGTGGGACAAAAGTCTTGCGTATTGACCGCAGTTACGCTTCTCCTCTTCGGATCCATTCAATTGATCCGTTTGAACATGTATGCTGGCGGCTCTAAGGGGCTATCTTCCGCGAAATTTCCAACACCGAGCGCCCAGAGTGCCCAAGCTGCTTTCTTACAGATATTCTCGGTTGGGCTACCCATATACGCAACACTGAAAGTAGGAGGATTCCTCGTTGCCTTTGCACTTCTTCTTGCGACAGCTACCGGTGTACCTAAGCTAGTCGCTTCGGACCCTCGAGTTGCCGTACAGGAAAGATACAGCCGGAAGATTTTCACTATGTCGCTTTTGGGAACGGCCACCCTGTTGAGCTATCTAGGCCTGAACAAATCGTGGGATGCATGGCCATTGACTGGGTATCTTGCCTTGGTACTCTCAGTTTTCGTCATCTCCCCTCCTTTCCCTGCTCTTCGTCGTCAAGGCCCCATTCCAGAACCAGGCCTCGTTGCTGAGTCACTTTCAAAGGACAAAGTCTCGGGTTCCAGCCAATCTGCTGTCATTGTTACGACCGATGCTCCTCTCGCTCTGGTATCGGGAGGTTTCCTCCTAGTTCTAGCCATGATTGCCTCCGGAGGCTTACCTTTCGGATTGGCGGACTCGATCTATGTCCTGGCTCCGGCTGGGCTCCTTGCAAACGCACTGGTGTTTTCGTCCCCCGCCGGTATCCGATCATCTAGCAAGGTTGGCCTCGCCGTGACTACTGGATCCGCGGCCCTTCTTTCCTCTCCACATATCCATGATGATGTTATAGTGGTCTATGTTGCGCGCTGTATTCTAGCTGCCCTTTCATTCTTTGCTTCCAGGATGGATGATAAGCATTTGCGCCTGGACGCGCATTCACACAGCCATACACACAATCATCACAATCACTCCCACGGCCCTACAGAGGCAGGCGCGGTGACAAAATGGCTTCTCCATCGCAGCGAGCCTTATCCACTGCTCCATAGCATACTGAAGGAGAAAGACTCCCGTAGTATCTTCTACTTTATGTGGTGAGTGTGCTATTCTAATTGCTCCTCGGTGTATACTTGGCTAACGAATGACAGTCTCAACTTTACCTTCATGCTTGTCCAGTTATCCTACGGATTTCTAACCGGCTCCCTTGGCCTGCTCAGTGACAGTATCCATATGTTCTTCGACTGCCTTGCCCTAGTTGTCGGACTCTGCGCAGCCGTCATGAGCAAATGGCCTCCAAATGCTCGATTCCCCTATGGCTATGGCAAAGTCGATACTTTGTCCGGATTCGCCAATGGTATCTTTCTCATGTAAGACAGACACTGAACAGAGACGGCATCAAATACTAACATTGAACAGGATTATCAGCGTGGAAATTATCTACGAGGCAGTGGAACGGTTGTCATCAGGAAGCGAAATGCACCGCATCGGCGAGCTTCTCGCAGTCAGCTTTGCAGGATTACTTGTGAACCTGGTCGGCATCTTTAGCTTCGAGCACGGCCACCACCACCATGGACATGACCACGGCCACGATCACTCCCACGGTAACGAAAATATGCATGGTATCTTCCTTCACATTCTCGCCGATACTCTCGGCTCCGTGGCGGTGGTCATTTCGACCATTCTGGTACACTACTCTGGCTGGTCCGGGTACGACCCGCTCGCATCGTGCTTTATTGCCATTTTGATCTTTGCCTCGGCGGTTCCTCTCGTCACTAGTACCGCCAAAAGCTTACTGCTGACTCTGCCCGCGGACACGGAATATAATGTTCGTGAAACCCTGGCCGGGGTGAGTACCCTGCGTGGGGTGGTTAGCTACACAGTACCAAAATTCTGGCTCGATGATACCGGGTCATCGTCCGGCGGACATGACCACGGGCATGATCATTCCGGAGGATGTGATCATGGCCACGATCACGGTCATCAACACGATCACGATCATGGTCACAGTCATGGCCACAGCCACAATCAGAGCCACAGCCACGTCCACGATCATAACGATCATACCCACGACCACGACCATGCCCATGAACATAAGAAACTGAAGGTATTCGGCGTGATCCACGTGATAGCATCCCGAGGATCTGACCTTGAAGATGTCCGCCAACGAACGGAAAACTACCTCCGCGAACAAAGCATGGACATTGTCGTTCAAGTGGAGCGCGATGGGGATGGTCGGTGCTGGTGTGGTGGTGGGAGCAAGTCCCCTTAGGACATACTACATACATACAAGTCACAACAATATTACTTATCATGATATAGGCCGAGTGGCCATGTATAATTTGAAAATTTCCCACTATTAAGCGTTTGTGTATACCCAATCAACAAAGCAGTGATTGCAAAGCAGAGCGAAGGAACTTAAAATCAAAGATTCCGTGTATGTTTTGCGAATTTGTTCCATGTTCAAGTTGTATTGAGTACTAGTATAAAATCTTTTGTCTACCTTTTGCATGTTCATCCGGGGTATCAGCGCTAAATTCAAAATTCGTCATCTCAGAACGAGACATGCCAAGTCAGAACGACATTATAATATCCTGGAGCTTAGATATAGTTTAGTGTTTTAAGCAGTGCCCAGATACAACAGGGTGGGCGAGTGCTTAGAAACTCCTGCAGTGACGCGGCCTGCGGATGTGACCTGGATTGCATCTGCCTAATTTGCATCGCAGGATCGGGCCTGGCCCATTTGGTTGCTCCCCAAGGTGTTTCGGAGCTGGAAATGCGTCTGGATGTGCGCCGGGTATCCTTCGAAGCAGCCGCGGCCACGCAGCGCTACGCTTCTTGGCCATCTATAGGCCTAGTATTTGAATTCTCAGTCGTCATCTCGCATCGTACCATCATAGGCCCATTTTATGCCGAGGCCAAATTAATGAATCGGCCCAGCGAGCATCAACGGGATATAAAACATGAAGAAGCTCCGAGACCAATGCCTTGCCCGAGTTGCGAGCCCACCATCGTTGACCATCCAACTCGCCGAGCAAGACGCCCCAATGCATGAGGATCAGCAGTGCCAGCGGTTGTCGTCGCCGCACATTATCCACAAACTCCTTGTCCACGACAGCCAACCATGCCAGCACGTTGGCCGGATCTTGGGAGTTACCGAATAGAGTAAAACAGTGGCGCAGGTGTGTGATAACATCCTTATTGATGCGATATTGGTCCGTATCGATGCTGGCCAGCGATTCATCATTCAACGTCATAAGGCGGTCCAGCGCGACGGCAGTCTCAGAGTCTAGCTCTGTCGGACCGGAATCCCCAATATCTTTTTGGCGGGAAAACAGGCTTAATTTTATCCACGAGCGGCCAATATGCATAATATTTCGCACGCCTTGGAGAAGTTCGAATACTGTCACAATATTTTCGGTCATGTTGGAACTTTCATCCCGTGCGCCGGTAAGCCGCGGGAGAGCAATGCCAATCACGGTGGTCACGATGGACTGCGCCAACACAGCCTCACAGTTCTGCGGGGTGAGGTTGTCGATCGCGATGCGGAAGGGACCAAAGGTGAGATTGTGATACTGGAGGGCAGTGTCGATATAGGCCAATGAAGTCGGCGACTCGACGGTGGTGGCGATGTGTAGTGAAGACAGGGCCAAGATTCCATTCATCAGAAAGTCGTATCGCAGAGCGAGTCGCGGAATCGTGATCTGCCATACCTCAAACTCCGAGGGGCCGGTGCAGAGGGTGCGAAATGTATCGGTGGAGAATTGATGCATGAGTTCTAGGTCGCGCACGGGGGAGATGGTAGATGGAGTTGAAGCGGCTGGACTGATGGGTGCAACGGGACGGGGCGTTCCTGAGTCGCGAGTTGAGATTGATGTATTTGGACGAGGTGGCGCATCGCCAAGTCCATGACCATGACCACCATGATCATGGCCATCGCGAGGGGGTGCTCTTAGATAGGAGCATTGTAGCTCTCTGGAGGTACAATTGGAGCAGGGGGGGACCTTTCTCGTCGCACTGCATGAGTTTAGACAATTGTGGGGTAGAATGGGTGAGGTGATATCCCATTCAGAGAAGTACTCACCTTGACACGTCGTCGCTTGCACTGGTCGCAACCATTGCGCGACTTGGTATGCGTGCGACGAGGAGCCATGTGTCGGAGTTAGCAGAGTCAACTCGACATCGACTTTGACGACATTGACAGAGGGGATGTATATTCGACAGGAGGATCACGACAGTCGATACCTCAGGGTTAAGATAGTCGAAAGAGGAAGTTCGCGGAATCAAAGAAGTCAGGTGATCGCAAGGAGACAAGAGGAAGGAACGATGGAAAGTGCCATCGCGCCTGCCGTTTTGAGGCATTGCAGAGTCGAGTCTGTCGGGATTGGCAACTTCTTAACTCCGACTCCGACTTCCTCTTTACATTCACCACATCACAATATCAAAATATCACCACCACACACCACACACACACAGCCTCATACCTTCACTTCTGCCTGGGATCCCTCTAAGTTTTAATATCCCCAGATGCAAGGCTGACTGATCTTATCAAATCCAGTCCCGATCCACCGACATCCCATCTGCTATGTGTCTGCATTTCCCCGATTCGTCCATCTCCAAATCTCCGATCTTTAAGGTGGATCAAAGATCATCGAGTCTGGAAGCGAGGTTGGAGCACGAGAACGAGAACGAGTGCGATGGGAACCAAATGGGTAACCGTAACCAATGGGAATGCACACAGTTGAACCGTTAATATTGGCAGCTCCACTTATTGGCGGCCTGGCGTGTTTTCCTTGTTTGAAATCAGCAATTTAGCCCATGCTCTGCTCCACGTCAGACGGCCCCAAGGGTACAACTGCTCCAACATGTCAAGACTTTTTATCTTGTCAGCATGGTATTCTGTGAGCGAGAACGAGGCCAAGCCAGGTGGTTACAGTTCCCTTGGAACTTCCCTTTATCACTTCTCCCTCCCTCCTACCTTAAAGGTCGCCCACACCCCTCGATAACGACTGTATCAACAATTACAACCGTTCGTCATGCCTAGCTACGCGGATTGTTTCGAAGTCGGCCCCCTCTGTCCGGTCCAGGCCACTACCTACGGTTACTATCCCAACTTCGGCGGTAATGTCTTCTTTACCGTCTTCTTTGGTGTCCTCGGAATTTCGCAACTCGGTCTCGGTATCTACTTTCGAACATGGACATTTATGACTGCTCTCGGCATCGGTACCTTGATGGAAATGGCGGGTTATATCGGACGAGTCTTGATGAATGACAACCCATGGAGTGCCCCCGCATTTAAATTACAAATCGTCTGTCTGGTGCTGGCTCCAACTTTCGTAGCGGCTGGTATCTACTTGACGCTCAAGCATATTGTCCTCGCCCTGGGCCCGGAGCACTCCAAGCTGAAGCCGCGACTGTTTACCTGGATCTTTATCGGATGTGATGTCGGTTCGCTGCTGTTGCAGGCTGCAGGTGGTGGTGTTGCCGCTGCCGCAGGCAAAACCGACCAGGCTATGCTCAAGGCTGGAGACAATATTATCATTGCTGGTATCGCGTTCCAGGTCGCCACCATGGCCGTGTGCGGCCTTGTTGCGCTTCACTTCTTCTGGACCGTCAGCCGACACGGTAATGGATTGGAGGGTGAGAAGGACCTTGAAACGACAACTGGTGTGCCTCGCTCTCGGATGCAAATGATCCTCGGTGCCGAGATCTTCGCGTACTTCACCGTGATAATCCGGTGTATCTATCGGTATGCAACTACCTCTCCCCCCCACCCCACTTCTCTTCGTGCATATCCGTATCTCCGTACTAACTACAATGGATCAGTATCCCCGAGATGGCTGGTGGCTGGGGTAACCCCCTCATGCAAAAGGAGAGCGAGTTCCTTGTTCTGGACGGAATGTGAGTTATATCCAGTCCCTCTTCTAGCACCTTTTCTAACCAGTTCCAGGATGATCGCCTTGGCCTGCTTGTCATTTACTCTATTCCACCCCGGTCTCTTCCTCCCTTCAATGCGCACTGGTTACAAGAACCGTGCCTAAAGGCTTTCGTCTCTTTCCTAACAACCCTTTCCTCTGTTTATTTTCGAAAACTACCATGATCTTCGCTTGATCGTAATGCCTTGCATCTAATAGAGTTTAACCAAAGCATGTGCAAAATCTTATTATCTTCTAGCGCAGGATAGATATGCAATGATACCACTGGAGACATTAGCAGCTCCCACATTATATTCAAATTACCGTGCCTAGGTACCTTCAGGGCTCTCGTGCTGCTAGTACTCTAATATTGGCTCCAGCATGGCCCCTGATCCCGATACCTCCCTGCGTTTACAGTGTTACAAGAAAGGACTGAAAGAGGAAATTCCTAAAGCGAATCCATAGTGTAAAACTCCAATCCTACCACGAATACTAGGGTCACTCGAAGTCAGCGGCCCTAAATGCTAGTTTCTTCCATCATATAAAACACTCCAATACCGCTCGCTCTATCATGCAATGAGAGCACCATAAGATCACGAGATCCGGCACACGGAAGAAGAGAAGAGAAGGGGAGAAAACGAGGAACGAAAGAAGCAAAAGCAAAAGCGAGAAGAAATGAAAAGAAAAGTAAAAGCAGTTGAAAATCGAAAATGACCATCCAGATGCACCATAAAGACCAAGATGAAAAAGAAAAGAAAGGAAAAGAGGCCACGGAAAATGTGAAGTTCAGTGGAACGTGAACGTGAACGTGAACGTGAAACAGAAAGGATAGAATTAGAAATAGAAGCAGAAGGATGTAGAAACCAGTCTACTTTCTTCTCTCTCTACTCCTCGCCCTGACTCTCACGCACACACCTGCGCACCCTCTTCTTGAATTCCGCAGAGTCCTCCCTCCACAACCGGGCCGCCTCCACGTTGGCCGGACTCTCGTCGTTCGGGCTAGACAGCATCGAGATCACGGATAGTAGGATGGTTTCGGGGGTCTGTACGGGCGACCAGCGCTCCGCTGCAGATTCGTAGCCGTATTTGTCTTCCTCCGGCGGGTGTAGGATTGAGATGCAGACTTCTCCGTTGGGGTAGACTGTACATTGCGGGAAGTGTTAGCGGGGGTCAGAGAGAGCAATAGTAGGGACAGAATCGGATGTTATAGAAGGTACGGGCAACTAAGGCAGCTCCTCTATAGGTAAGTCGGTCGATCACTTACTGTTCGGGTGGAAGACGGAGGATTCGAATTTCATTTTCGGCGGCATATGCGGGTATTCTTGCGGGAAGGAGAGGCGAGCGCGGAAGAAACCACCTTGAAAAATGACAGTTAGCAATTATAATAAGGGAAGAATGAGAGATTATATCTCCAGACAGTTGAAAGCAAGACAGGGTGATGTAGGATGAGATATCGTAGATCAACCGATCGATGTCCCCGCTAACCACCGGGGAGGGGTATATTGGTCCTTAGTTGGGGCAGTTTGCCACCAATCCTTTCTTGTATACATACCTCCGTATAATTTCACATCATCGGAGATCATGAGCATCACCTCCCACTCAAAAACATTGCTATCGACCAGACCAACGCTGATCCCCGGGATATCCTTATCGGACTGCATTTGTTGCAGTTGCCGGGAGAGCATACGGCCAGCAGGTGTAGTCGCCATCGCGGGAGAATTGGAGGGGTGAGGAGGTGGGAAAGGAGTTTCAGCAAGATCAGTCCGAGGTCAAACAACAAAGTCGGGGTAGGGCGAGTGAGGAGCTGGGAAGAGTGAGGCACGATGAAGGTGAGGGGTCCCATGAAAATCGATGAAGGCGGTGAACGGTGAGGGGCGGGGGAACCGATACGAGTGGAGCTGCGATATCAAGTAGAATGTATGAGGTTTAAAGTATCCTAGGATGACTATAAGGCTGGTAGTGCATGTGCTATTCGGAAATAAAGAAACCAATCACCAAGGAAATACTGTAAATGCGGGCTAGACCCATACAAAGAGTGTGACATAATTGATGCTTCAAAATAAAAAACTAGGAGCCTCCCTAACCTTCTCTCGGGTGTTCGGCCAGATTTCAGTGAATGAACAGTTTCGATGGTTCCCTTCACTCGTGAAGTTTACAAAGATCCGTCAGCAGGTGCCATCGACATGCCTCGGGGTCCCAGTCCCCACATGACGCCAACGATGGCGGAAACACCCACGAACATCAGGGCGGCTTCGATCATCGCGGTCTTGACCACCACCTTGACGAACCGAACACGGGCATTCCAGTCAAAGGTAGTCCAGGCGTCCATGAGACCGATCTTACCACTGCCACCCACGATCTCGGGCTGGACCTTGCCGCCGAAGGAGCGGTCAAAGGGCACAATGGACTCATCCTCCTCAGGCAGCATGGAAGCGGCAACACGAATGAAGATCACACGAGCGGGGATAGAAATTGCCAGAGAGAGAAGTGCCGGGAGAGCGCTGATGCTAAGGAAGCGGATGAATTCCTTGCGAGTGGTCTGGTCCGGGTGGTTAGGGTCTTGGGCAACTTCGGTCCAGCCAGCCAGCTGGGCCACGGCCATCGGTAGGAGGAAGGTTGCATAGGTCAGTGCTGTCTCAAGGGCGACTGCTGGGGCAATGCGGATCCACTTGCGGTAGCTGGGGATGCGTTGGTAGAAGCGCTTGGGGGAGGGCTCGGAGATGACGATGTGAACCCAGGCCATCTGCCAGGTTGCAAGGAGCATGCTGATGAAGAATTGGACGAAGAACTGGCCAAAGAAGGACCCGGTTGGAATCGGGAAGATCAAAGAAAGGAAGCCATCGGCGAACATGAAGGCCAGGTAGATGGACAGACCCCGGAAGCGTGACCAGAAGCCAGCACGGGCGCGGAGGTGCTTGGTAGTGGATCGCAAGCCACTGGTAATGGGCTGAGGGCGAGCCGAGTCGGCCAGTTCGGGCTCATTAGGATCAAAAGGCTTGGTGGGATCCTGTTGGTCGATGCGGACATAGATGTCGGGGTTGGAGTCCTCGACGGCGGCAAGAGTCGCAACCACTCCACCGTAAGTGTACTCGACCTATTTGGGTGAGTTGACTGGGTTTCAAAAGGAAGGAGGGGAAATCGTAAACAAAACTTACAGTCATCAGAGCCAGGCCCAGAATCAGGCCGAGACCAAGAACCAAAAAGATCAGCCATGGGGCGAATTCGACTTTCATGGCGGGTCCATCTTTGAAGCTCGCGACGAGCTCAGCGCTGCGGCGGACCAGGTGACCGCTGACAGGCATAGTGGGGGATGTGAAATCAAGTGAAAATAGAATGAAGGAGGGGAAGAAAAGAAGGGAGATGAAAAGAGATGAGATGAGATGAGAAGAAGAAGAAGAGAACTTGAAGGTAAGCGAGAGGGGATTCTTTTGAGGCTCAGACCGGAGTAGGCAGGCGCGAGCTAACCCCGTTGGGGCTCGCAGTTGCCTCAGCATCTTCATTTAACATTACATAATACTAGTACTATAACTAGTAACTACGAGTAGTATATACTATAGTGTATAAAATATAGTGTGTTATGCTATATACTCTATTTACTATTTACTAGTATATACTATCATAACATCCTAGGATACCTAGAGTATCACTGCTATTATAACTACTTAGGTAACTCTATAATTAGAACCCCCTTACCCATCGGCATTTACCTGCCCCGACCGCCGCCCCAAACCGCCCCCAAACCGCCCCAACTTTAGGGCCATTGTTAGGGATCAATACCTCCGGCTTCTACGGAGTACGGAGTAAAATTTTCAACATTGGGGAGCGCCACCGTGGCCCGTGGCCCCAGTGACAAGCCATGGCTGCTCGCGAGATGATGCCCTTTGTTTTACAAACCCTTACCCTAGGGCACTAGGGTCCAATCGTCCTCCGCTTGAGCCTCATATGTAAACAGAAGCTACCGAGCTAGACCCACAATCAACTCCCGAGTGCATCCGAGAGTCGGAAATATTCCATTACATTTTACCCCTCTTGATGCCCAGATGAGGCTAGACTAGCCTTTGCCATTCGTTTCAATTCAGATTTGCTGTCTCGGTACGGAGTCCATGCTGTATTCAGTTATACTGCATTACATCACCTAGACTTGCCCCATCGGGATATCAAGCCAACAAATTAATCTCTCGCAGTGTTGACAGAGTATGAACGGAGTACTGGTGACCTGTCAATAATAAGCTATCTGACTATGGTTCACCTTATCTGAACAGTCCCTCGGCCTCCAAGGTCCAGGGCTATCCTAGGTAGTATAGTACTAGTAGTAGCCAATGTCCCACGAAGTGGTCTAGGCTTAATCTTATCTGATGGGTCCTTTGATCTCTTACGCCAGTGGAAATCTAGATTTAAAGAGGAAGCCTCAACATACTATACTTCAGTATATCTACAGCCTTCCAAGGTTGATAATGCCAGTACAATGCACACACCTGCTAGTAATTTTCAACTTCCCCAAGCCAGTAAATTCGATGCTAACTCAAGGAATGCGTTCTATGCAAAATCCCCGGGACGAAACACATCCAGGGACATCTCTAAACCAAGGAAAGCACACAAAAAGAAGATCCGATCCATCGAGGCCAATCGGCCCACAACTCGTCGCGAGTGTCCAATCCGTAGACGGACGACTGAATCAACGCTGCAAAAGAAAAGACCAGCATAAACAAAAAAAAACAAATGGTAATATGTACACAACGCAACTCCACCATTCATCTAGTCAAAGAACTTGTTCATCGCCTTGTGAGCGAGTTCGACACCGAGGCTAAGGAAGAGGAGAGGATATGGTTAGTTCACATACATCGTGATCGACATGGCGAAAGGGAATACTCACAAGGTAGCCGCGTTAGCAGGGACAGCACGGGCCAGAGCCGGTCCGAATCCGGGGAAGAAAGCCTTGTAACCACCGCTAGCATAGACTGAACGGATAGTGCCACCGATGGTGGGCTTGCCTGGGGCACTCTGCAGACGGGATTTGATGGTGTCGACAGGGAAGACAGGGATCCACATAGCGATACCAGCAGCACCACCAGCAGCGACAACAGCAGGGAGAGACAGTTCGCCGGTGAGGTTTCCATCCGCATCCTTGGGAGTCAGACTGCGCTTGATGTACTCGTAAGCAGCGAAGTAAGCGGCCGAACCGGGTCCGTCACGGGCCAGGGTCATGGCACTACCCCGGAAGACACTGCGAATACCGCCCTCCTTGTATAGTTGACGCACAACGTCCATTCCACCGGAATACTTGGGTTTCTCGCCAGGTGCCAGGGTCTTTTGGCCTTGGATCTGAAGGAGGACCTTGACGCGCTCGAAGGGCGCGGTGATGATGGTCATGGGGATGGCGGAGAAGAAACCGGCGGCGGAGATCTGGGCGATGGAGAACTGCTGAGTGTTGTTGACAACTGGCACAGTGGAGAACTTGTTCACCAGGGTCTTGCCCACATCGTAGCCCTGTGCAAGAGGTTAGCTGTCCTTCTTCTTTTTTTTCGCATTATCACATGAAAATGCATGAGGGGGGTTCTCCAAATTAAATTTTTTTTTGGAGGGGAGAAATGTCATACCCAGAAGCTAACGGCAACTGTATAGAATAAAGATGTTAGTTGGTACTCTCAAAAACAACATTTATCCATGCCATTGAGGTCCAGGTCGGCGAGACTTACACATGGGAGTCACACCCACAAGCGGGGCAGACACGCCGGCGTACATTCCCTGATGCGTTGGTCAATTTGAATTCCCTGCATAGCAATCAATGGGCAAGACATACCCGAACAAGACCCTCGCGGGCAACGGTCTTTCGAACAACATCCATGGCACCCTGGTAGACACCCTTGTCGGCGGTCTGCAGGCGGACCTTGACCAGATCGAAGGGGTGTCCCACGATGACGGCGCAGAGGCCACCAGCAGCGCCGGCGCCGAGAGAGCGCAGCTGCTGAATGGTCTGGTTCACAGCCTTCTTCTCAACGGCCTTGATTTCATCCTTGATCTCCTGGGTAGGGGCGGTAGAGGTCGACATTTTGCGATCGGGGTTGGTGGTGTTGGTGGTGGTGGGCGGTAAGCGGGGAAGCTCGGAGCTTGTGAATCCGGGGAGAAGAGAGGGAGAAGATGGGGAAAGGAGAGAGAGAGAGGCGAGGAAAAGAAGGGAAAGAGATAGGTGAGGTATAGAGAGAGGGGAGAAAGAGAAGAATTGTCACAAAATCCGAATGACAACGGAATAGAAGATCGGCTCAGGCGGACCGAAGCCGAAAGTTGGAATCGATTGGAGTTGCGGATGATTTTGTGCCTCGGCTCGGTCTTTACACTTCTGCTACTGGAGTCACTCTCTGACTCTGTCGCTCATTACCACTTCCTTACTCTCTTTGTTCTTTTCCCCCTTTCTATTGATTGATTCTACGGAGTATATTCTAGCAAAATGACATTTCTTTCAGTATTCCCCATATCACCGCCAGCCACCGACGCCCATCGGAGGTGGCCGGTCGGGTGAACGGGAAACTCACTGACACTTTTCCGCCGGGGTAAAGGAATGGACGTGCATAAGATCAGATGTCTATTTGATTACTTTAATCAATATTGTACTATGTAGTATTCTAACATACTAATATACTGCTGTAGTACATCATGGTAGTTCAATAAAGAGAGAATATACAATTCACATGCAACCAGACACGTGCCGGTGGAGCATGACTTCATTAGATCATTCGATCGACATTAATACACTATGTAATACTACTAGTAGTAGTATCCTTATCCTTAGGATAACCCATATATCCTTGCCTGAGCATTCAAGAGTTCGTTTCAAAAATTACAACTTCTGTCAACGTTCAATCCCTTACAGGACCAACAGGGCAGCCAGACCCATAGCGCCGACAGCCCCAGTGCCGACGGTGGCCATGGGGTGAGCAGCACCAGTGCTGGTCGAGGGAGCGCTGCCAGAGCCGGTACCAGTGCTGCTGTTGTCACCAGAGCCGGAACCAGAGCTAGACTCGCTGCCGGAGCCGCTGCCAGAGCCGGTCTCGGTCGAGCTGGAGCTAGAGCCGGTGGTGGTCATGGTCATCATGGTGGAGTTGGTGCCAGTGGCATCGGTGCCAGTAGCGGTGGCAGTGCCAGTGCTGTCGCTACCCTCAGAGCCGGTCGTGCTGTCGGTGCTGGTACCGGTGGCATTACTGTCGGTGCCGGTCGCAGTGCTGTCGGTGCCAGTGGCAGTAGCAGTGGCCGATCCAGAGCCAGATCCAGAGCCAGAGCCAGTACCGGTGGCAGTGCCAGTGCTGTCGCCGTCGGTGCCAGTCTTGGTAGAGTCAGAGCCAGAGCCAGAGCCGGTGCTGGTGCTGGAACCGGAACCGGAACCAGAGCTGGAGCCAGAGGAGCCGTCTAGGAATGAAAGGTTAGCGACATGTTTGTATCAAATCAAGTCATGCAGGGAAACATACTAGGGCACTTCTCCAGAGCCATCTTCAACACCTTCTCGGCGTCGTCACTAGGGCAGGCCTCCTTGGTGCAGTCGCGGATACCGAAGGAGTAGTCCTCGCTCTTGCACAGGCAGGCCATGTCACCGGACTTGCAGTTCAGCTCAGAAGCCTTGTCGTTCATGTTGTTGACACACATGGTCTATCGCGAGTCAGGTTAATATCTGCAGTCCCACCGTATGTAAACATGTACAGGATCCACTTACAGCACATTCTGTGGCAGAGACATCGGCGGCAGAAACCATACCGAGGGCGACCAGAAGGGCCAGAACAACGGGAGAGAAAGTCTTCATCTTGATAAGAGGTAATGTGAAGATGGAAGAAGGGATAATATGAGATGGGATGGGGAGGGGATGGGGTAGGGGATGGGAGGTGTAGGTGTGAAGCAGAGGAAGGAGACGACCAGTCACTTGCAGGTTCGGCGCTGGGTCTCTTATAGAGAAGGAAATTGGGATCAAATCAAAGCTGAGAACCAAACTTTACCTTTGAGGTAATTGAGCAACGCTAGCAGCGTCTAATATACCGAGCACCCATGCTCGGCCGTGGAGACGCGAGCATGATCGGCCGTGCGAGTGCGAGTGCGAGTTGCCCGGCACGATGCATCGTGTTGTTGTTTGCTTTTCCTTTTTGCTTTCAGTTTCTCTTTTGCCTCCTACGGTGTGCTGCAGGATCTTGCATCCTGTGTCCTACCTGCATAGAGTGCTACCTGGCCAACGTGGCTGGTCCTGTACGCAGTAAGGCGATTTGATTTGGCCACGGTCCTGCAAATGGTTCCTGGCCAGCTTCATGAAGTCATCGAGTTACAGGGGTAGCCAGGAATTGACCCTGCGGATACTCCGTACCACCGGATGAAATGAATTGAATTCTCAGATCTCCAATCTCGATTAGGAGCTGATCGTCCGGGATTCTCAATGCTAACCCCGACGTCGATCCCTATAGGCTCGTCTGATTTGTCCAGGGTCTCTGTAGGGCACTAAGGGGGGGCTGGATAAGCCACTATCGAATGCTGTGAGATCAGATTGAATTTGATGACGGAGTAAATTTGAAATTAAAGTGGATTTGAGCCAATCATTGGTGAGATGCTGGCTTGGTGGAGAAGAAGGTCGTCTTTTTGAGTTTGATGTTTCCCTGGCAAACCGGGGGAGCTCAAAGGGAAAAAGCTATCGTAGGCATACGGAGTACTCCCGGTCGAGAGATCAAAGTGTACTCCGTACTCTTGGTCCATCCAGGCTGCAAAGTAACGGTGGGTCATGATGATTCCATTCAGACGGGTAACACAGTGCTAACGATATCTCCATGACGTACCGGGAGAACACAACTTACACTTGAATCCAGTAGAACTAATCAGGCTATCTCATCGGGCACAAATTTCACTCAAACTGAAACTAAAACTAAAAGCCGACAAGGCGAAGAAAACAAAAACCAAGGCAGTGCCGATCTGCAGCGCCACCTGGGGGCAACCCTAACTACTAGTTTGATGGATACGTCGTCCGATCGCCACTATTGATCCCTCGTCACCGCTAGTGTGGCTGATTTGTGGCTAAGACTGCGCTGGAACTGCTGGATCTGTGCTCGCTTCGGTATTTGATTTGATTAATGTTGATCGTATGATTCTGCCTACTCCGAGTCTACTCCGTAACTGTGCTCTCCTCCGTACAAAGAGGGAAGATGGACGCGACATGCTGCTGGTGTGCAGTTACCCCCCACGAATTACGGAGTAGAGGTTACTTGAATCTTTCTTTCTCTCATTTGATTCCCCTCACTCTAGGGGAACTTCAGAGAGGAATTCTGGCAGTCAAACTAGGTCGATGTTGAAGTAAAGTTGAAATTGATATTGCGCCATTCGTAGCTCACCATGCATCACTCGGATCCTCCTCCACCTCGTCTTTCCAACATCGTCCAGTGACAGATAAATGATTGAGAAAAATGCCCGGCGATCATATCTGTCCTTCTTGCTCAAAAACATACCAGCGCCGTAGGTGAACGCGACCGGTGTTTCATTCCCAACCCTCCAAACTGACCAGACAAGACGACCTCCTCCAACGCCACAGACGGCGTTGTCTCCGACCGAAGAAATCGACGCGTCGCAAAGCATGCGACGCTTGTGTACAAGCAAAAACCAAATGCAGCTATGCCCACCCATGCGCGCGATGTGTCGACCGGGGACTTTCCTGTGTTTATGCCTCTGCTTCTGCTTCTGCCGCGCAGCCAGGTCCAAGCAACAACAAAGCTTTTTCGCCGTTATCAACCCCTAGCTTCACCCCCGTTCAACCTGTCCTGCAGTTCCCCACGCAAGGGGTAACCGATTTCGTCACGACTGATGGCCCTGGCCCTGGCCCTGGTCCAGTAGGTGTACTGCCCTTGTTAGATTTTCCTGAAACAAACCTGTCGGACCTGAATCTGGATGTGGATGTGAATGCGAATACCCCCGTTGCACTACCCACATTGAGAGACCTGATTCGAATCGTGGAACAATATCCGAAATATCTCCTCCAATATGACTACATCTCGCCATTCCTTCACCGCAGCCTCTACGAACAAGATACCCCGGACATGACAACGCTCGCCCGGACATCAATGGCGGTCTGCTGCGGTAGTGCGATGGAGACAGCAGACGGTGCACGCTTTGCCCAGCAAGCCATGGAAGTCGAGCGCCAAAGACTAATCCAAATTTATCCCACATACACGTGTATGCAACAATGGGATGCTTTGCATGCGATGCTCGTGTACGAGATTCTCGAGCTGCGGGCGTCAAATAGTCGCTCGGGAGAAGAGTGGAAGCAAAGGTCATATTCCAAGGGCTTAAAGGCGCCATTCCTGGCCAAGATGGCTCAAACTTTGATTCGCTCGCATATGCATGATCAAAACACCGATCTCATGTCGGTCGCGATGCCCATGTCGCAGAAATTAGAGCACTGGGCTGTCGCGGAGACCACGCGACGCACGCTCTTCCTGGCTAATATCGTTCATTTCTTTGGCCATTGCGATCCAGAGAGTGGGTCTCCTTCGCTCTACTATGAGCCATTGGATGATGAACTGATTTTGAATATGCCACTTCCATCCAGCCATGTTTTATGGACGGCGCGCACGGAGATGGACTGGAAACTGACTATGGATTACTGCGAGCAGAACTCCTTGACCATGGCAGACATGTCCTTTAATAATATCGGCCCAGGCTGTCTGACTCTTAAGCAGGTCCTTGAAAGCTATCCACGGGACTATTTGCAGACACTACTCATCTCGAATATTGGAGTCGGTGGGTCGGACGAACTCCGGAACTTGATCATTCTATGTGCTTTGCAGCAATTTGCCTGGGGTGGACGTACTGTCTACTCCGGAAATTCGCCATCTTGATCGTCTCAGCACCTAGTATATAATTGATTTCTAAGCTGACCAGGCAACTCCGGTGCGCTTTATCAGTTCCAAGGTTGTTGTTGCTGTCCTCGTCGAACTCCGGCGGAGTTGGATGGTCGCGACCACCAAACTCCGTCAGTAACAACTTGAACCTTTTGGGGGACATGATCCTCCTAGTCCTCAATATAAATACTATACTGAATCACTTGAAATAATGGCAGAGATTCATGACAGTCAACTTGAACTTGAATATTCACACTCTCGTCTTATTGATTTCTTCCTATATCATGGTTGCTCGACTAGCCGCAATGATGAGTATCCCTGACAACTTCCACCTGCATCGCCTACCGAATCTGCTCTGCCCCATTTTGGGATACCGTGAGATTGCCGGTGCCGATGCTGGCATCCATGACACACATCCACTGAAAGAGGCATGGGGTCTACAATCCGGAATCTACACACCCAAACAACTAGTCGAGAGCTTCGCGCCCCTCCTCGACACAGTCATATTCCACCTTGGCGATGGTCCCCGAGGAACCAAACCAGCCCGCACTCAATTGCTAGAAAATATCGCTGCCAATTTGGCTACGAATACCCGTGAGGCCACCCTGCGCCTGGCAGAACCCCTCGACATCTCACGGCGAGAGATGAATGCCCAGGCTATCCGGATCGGCAAGACTCTAGTACGATGGGCTCGAGATCAAGAATCCAGCAGCAAAAGACCCGTCGATGTTGACCTCCAACTCCGTAGCTCCTGCGAGGGCCACCTTCTAACACCATTCAACGTGGATCTCATGTTCGGCGACCGCAGTCAACCGCATCTAATGCAGCTCTTCAACGAGTATATGCATCAGATGGTCCTGCTCCGCGATGCACTCTTGCCATTCCAGAATTACCAGGATGTCCTCATCCCCATCAACCGCAAAGCACGAGGTCTCCGCCATCTTGAATCCGCACGAAGCCAATTCCTAGCAGACATGCTGACCAGGCACACCACGCAGCGCAATGTTGTAACATTTGCCAAGGCACTTCTTGCGCCGGACCTCGTTCCTTCGGAGAGTGCTGGGTATGGCTTCCAGTATGCACAGGGTATTATCCTGCCCGCTTTTCTGGCCGGTGGGCCGACTGCGTTGCACTTGCTGCAGTATGTTCCTGTTCGAGTCAATGCAGCCGTGACGGATGCCGTATTTGAGTATCAGTTCGACGATTATTATTCGGCTCCTCGAGCTGAGATTCCTCCTGGCATTGAGGAAGTGATTTCCGAACCAGCCAGCTTCTCTGAGCAAGACATCCAGTTCAAAGATGGGCCTTCGATTGGTCTTGTTGACGGCTCACAAGGTGATTCACGACTCGACCAAGCTTGTCGATTAGAGATGCGATTTGAGTTGGAGGGTGGGAAGCGTATGGCTGTCGACGTGGGCCAAATCTCTCGCGGTCATCGGTACTCATACATTACAGAAGACTCCGAGTCTTCGGTCAATGGTGCAAACAATAGCAGTGCTGCTCCCAAGCCTCACCATTCCATTATTGTTCATGATGCTGTGAGCATTCTGGAAACCGCCGACTCCAGCCTCTTGGCTACAAAGGAAAAGGGCGTCCATGTCATACCGGTTGAGAACCCCTTGATTGCCTTTGCCATACTCGGTAAGCTCTACCCTGGAAATGTCGTGCTTCTGCCGAGGGGCCGAGAAATCAGCCTCGCGGATAAGGCTGGCAAAAGGTTCGAGCCAAAGTTTGTTATATGGGGTGGCGCACAGCCAGGAGGGCTGAAAGGGGTATTTTAGATAGCAAGGCTACACAGTTGCACTCTGTACGGAGTAAGATTACATAAATTGTAATCTCACTATTGGTATTAAAAAAAAACTCTAAACACAAGACTGGGACCTTTGAGATCATTCTATGCACATGCTTCTTTTGTTGGTCAGGGATGATGTGGTGGCGCTAGTCTGAAATTCGTGAGGCCCTACTAATTCACTATCCATGGTGGGACAATACTACCTCGTATCAGTAGTGAGATCTCGTCTCAGCTTATTTTTGAGGTTTCGCTCCAAACCTCTATTTTAACGCTTTCTAGATGTAAGATGGAACAGTGGCATACTACTAGTCTGCTACTCGTAGTCGTTCATTGTTGAAAGAGACCGAAGATCTTAAATCCATCGATAGCCCTGGAGAAACGAGCAATAGTTAGTACCCCGTAGTTACTACTGACTACTACTACGAATACCGGCAATCTCCGCCCAGAGCCCGTGGCACTGGTCATATTTCAATGTTGTAGTATATAGGCATTCATCTACCGAAGGCATCTGCAGGCTTGCATTCCGCCATGAACTCCTAATTGTAACTAGGTTTACTCCATACTAGGCCTTAGCTGACGATTCAGATTCAAATCCGGGACCTGCCATCAACGCAGACCTAGGCGGTCGAATTTCAACCACAAATAAGGCACCCGAATTACCGGCCCCCCCCCACGCGCACCACCCAAGACCTCCACCTGGGCACGTTAAGACTTTCCAAGAGTAGCCTAAGACCTAAGAGTGGTAACCAAGACAGGCAGCAGGATTAGTCAACCAATTGACAGCTGCGAATAAACCTTAACTTTCTTAAGCTTCGATGTCTTTTAACTGTTAATTTCCAGGGTTGACGTCTGGGACGCGTACTCCGTACACTACGCCTTTTTCCAAAGGTTTAGAAGGGACCTTGGAGACAGTATTAGGTGCCAGCATAACAGTATTCCAGAAACTGGCTCAACTGTACGGATTACTCCGTATATACAATATCCTACTCAATCTTCCCAAATACAGAGTGTAACAGTAAATTTCTGTCAGAATTTACCCGTTGCCGATCACCTATCACCGACCAACCGTTCAATTCGAACTGCATCAGAAACACGGAACTTGGATCCGAGACCAAATCTGAAGATCGACTTGTTTGTCTCGGAGATATCGCAAAATCGAGTACAATAGAGGGCAGACAAGTGCGCTTCAACCCGAACAACCGACCACTATTTTCCAACGGTGGTCGGGCAAATGTTACTGGTGCGATCGCAATCCCACTGTACATACATATGTCAGGATGGAGACGCCGTATTGAACCCGTATTGAAAATGAAATTGAAATCATGATATACCGAGCCTACAATTGGTCAATCCGTTCTCCGTAGTTATTCTATCGAAAGGCTTAACCTCGGTGAAACATTTTCACGACCGTTCAATGGGTGGGTCTCCGGCTCGATCGGACCGAGTTGTATCGGAGAGCGAAAAAAAAATATTTCTTCACTCGCTCTCCACTCCTTCTGAGAGGCCTCATTGGGCAAAAAGTTGACCGACGCAGGGGTCGAACCTGCAATCTCTTGATTCGTAGTCAAGCGCCTTGCCATTGGGCCAGCCGGCCTGATTGATGAAGACTACATGCGATGATATGCCTCATGGTTGACTGACTATTCTCTGTAGAATTCTCTGTAGAGGGAAACCATATCTGGTACTAGTACTAGGTTATGATACGTGTATAAGGCAGGTTCAGTTCGATCAATCAATACATGTCTCGTATTTTGGATAAGTAGTTACACATAGACGTCTATAGCTAAGAATATACAATATGGACACAAGGAAATGATGCTCGTTATGCACGCTGACTCCGTGAGGGCCCCGGAACCTGAAGGCCCAGGGGAATGGGGGGGAAAAAAGAAACCAAATAAGAAAAATTTGCTGCCGTCCTGCGCCCGCGCCTGAAAATGTGAATCATGAAGAAGAGATAACCTTATACGTCGGGTTGCGAAAGCTGAATCTCAGGAACCATGAGCTGGGCCTTCTCGGAAGGAAAGCCCTCCTCAAGACAGGACGGGTTAGAGAGGGAGGATCGTCGACGATTGCAGCGCTTCTTGCACAGACCCATGCGAACAGAGACGGACATAATGACGTGGCCGACGCAGAAACCGACCAGGCAAGCGACCAGGCCGGCTCCGACTCCTAGCATTGCGGGCAGAATGACGGGGCGAATCAGACGCATGAAAGAGTTCTTTTGGTGGTAATCGTGGGGACGACGGTGACCGTGGTGGCCACGTCCATCGGAGGGAGCGTTGTGGGTGGATGGTGACCAGTAGGGAGAGAAGATATACCCAACTTGGTTCTGGGACTCGGATTCGGGCGAGGATGCGGATGCGGATGCGGATGTAGATGTAGATTCGGGCACTTTTTCAGAGGCTGGCTTGACTTGAGCCTCTGTAGATTTTTCGGAGGATGACAAGTCCGGCTTGTCTTTTTGGTTGAAGAAGGTATTGACTTGGGACTGCCAGAACTTCATCTGCCATGGTCTCGGTCTGCGAGATCCCCGGGGTGAGTCTAGTCGAATGCGAGTAATACGATGGGTACCATCAGGGTGATCGAGCAGATCGAGGGCCACCGAATTGGGAGTGACAGGGCGGCCTTCTTGGTCGAGGAGGTCGACACGAATGCGAAGAATTTCGTTCTTTGATCCATTTTCCCCAGCGGGAATGGGACGGGCTTTGATGGAATAGGAGACCTTAATATCCTCTTGTTCAATAGGAATATTGCGATGGGTTTCATATAAAGGCGCATGCAGTTGCATTGACATAGTTGGTGGGAAGACCTTGTCGTCGTTGGCATAAAGTGAGCCATTTTGAATGGCCCATTTGATAGACTGTAAGATGGGTGAGTTTTGCTGGACATTGAAGAGAATCGAAAGTTGGCGGGTTCAGGTTGTTTCTTGATACTTACCAGATATGTTTCGACTGGATTTTCGGGCTCCAAAGTAGGAAGATAAGGTAGTTTCAGTTCGTGGGAAGAAGCATAAGGTAGAGCCGATGCGATCGCACCAGCAATCCAGATGGGTGACCAGTGGAATTTCATGATGGAGAGAGTGAAAAAGAGAGGAAAGATAGGAAGGATGGGAGGATAGAAGGCAAAACAAAGAGAAGGGTCCAACAGAGGATAAATAGAGCCAACGAGAGAGGCGGAGGTAAGTAAAAAGAGGGGGCCAAAGTAAAGCAAAATAATGTAGTGTAGTTGGCCCCGGGTCCAAGAAGCGGGGGGGGGGGATGAAAGAGAAATACGAGTCGGGCCAGTACGAGGCTGAGATGAAGGTACGAAAGGAAAGCAAACGGGAACTAAACTAGTGAGATGGTGCAGGGTTTTTAATCTGGGATTCGTGATGAACTTTTCGAATGATGAAATATGGATGCCTGTCACCACATTTCGGCGAGACATGGGACGGGCTGGTTTGAGCTAATTTCAATTTGGGTATGGGGCAATAAGGTTCTGTTGTGTACGCAGTATAATACTCTAGTAGGCACTCCGTGCTGTATTTGTCTTTCACGGTTATTTTGGGCTGTTTTAGAGTGACGGGCAAGCTTTTCCTTGCGACGATGCACGGCTAATGATTGGGGCTTTCGGCCCCAATTTGATGGGGACAAAAGGGTCTAACAACTGCGAAGCTTGGCGGAGTCCAGATTATTTTTGGACTCGGAACTGGCACACTAAGCTGATCATCCACATTCCCTGTCGTTTTTCTTGCGATCGACACGGTGTTGCTGAAGTGGAGGTCGCTAGTCCACTCATAGCAACCGAACCCCCGAGGCATACAACTACGGACGTAAAAAAAGAAAAAAAAAAAAAAAAAAAAGTAGGCAATTGAGAAGGACAAGATTGGTTCATGTCTCACTCTTGATTAGGCACTCGGTAGCAGACTTTTAGTTACTTTCTAGTAGTTATTGCCTCGTCCTTTCTTACCCCTGAGTGGGAAGGGGGCGCAGTCCCAACCTGATGCATGCCGAGCTTTTTAATGCATGCCGAGTGTTGTCCCATACGGAGTACTTCTCTTCCTCTCTCTCTCTCTCTCCTTTACCTCTCTCTAGCTAAACTGCACCCACGGGATCTCCGAGACATCGTATCTCGATGGGAGCTTGCAGCCGAGGCCTTGGCGGGAGATCGGGAACTAAAACTCCTCCGTAGGATTAAGCATGACATTGGTCCATGGATTGCCTAGGTATGGGATTATGGGATTTTGGCTATTATTGGTTCCTATCTAAATATACAATGCAAACCTCCTACTTCATAATTAATCTGACCAAAAACTTGAACCCGACCCAATTCAACAGCCCCCGCCCCGACCCAACCCCAAGGTAACCCTGGCCCCTACGTCCACCATGTGAAGCCCTGCAGCTGAAGTTGCCTCTTATCACCCGATCGGCCCCATTGGTCAAATATTTCCACATGGACATAGGAACTGGCCACTAACCCTTTGGAATCGACAAACTGTACTCCATACGGAGGAGTTGTTTGTCAGTTACTGTATGTGAAATACCGTATCCTTGCCGTATCAACCCTCCCACCCTTTTCAAGCCACAAGCCTTTCTTCCCAGCCTTATGGTTGACACGGCTGAAACTCCCGTCCGGCTTCTCCATTGGGTGAGTGCTTGTAGTGCTGTGCTGGGGTGGGATTTGCGAGATGGGTGGGCTGCAGGTTCAAGTTGTGTTGCAAATATTGCATCTCACTTTGGTACAAAGTACGAGGGGTCCAATGAAGTATTCCCTGCTTTATGGTACATACGATGATGGTCTATGTCCTATTATGGGCAGCTTCACGCTATGTATATACAGTACAGATATGTTGTATCGCGCAATACGTGGCCACCATTGGTCAAAGCTATCGGGAATATGGAGCAGTCTGCCAGACCCGACAGCAGCGGGGGTTATCGCTAGCACCTAGTAGGTAGATGGTGCCATTTCCAATGCTTATGAGTTATCCGCGGGTTTAAAGGTTCAAGTTAAGGCCCGCGATGGTCTCGGGGTCCTTCTACCTAAGTATACAAAACAATCCTGTATTGTGTGAGCGATCGTCACTGTGCTGGTGCTATTGTCGAACTTAAAGGACCTTCCAAGGTTGGGGATCTTGGGACTTTTACTACCAGTACTACTTACTACCTGGGTAGTTAGTAGGTACACCGTGACCTCAGGCTGATTAAGATCTATGGGTACTAGTAGTAGTACTACTAGTAGGTACACACGATATCACTACTGATATCATGGATATCTTTAACTTCAAGTCCCTACTAGCCCTGAAGTATTTCAAGTTGACAACCATGACCTTAGAAGTGTCAGGTTTCCGAGGCCGCTGAGCTCTTTGATCTTCTAATTAATTTACCAACCTGAAGTTATTCCAAGGTTGGTAGGGATTATTAGCGTATCTACTAGTATATGGCTCATGGTTGGTACGAGGTATATATTTTATAGAATTGGCGTATACTAGTATTACCAGTGTTCCTTCAAAGGGTTGTCTGTTTAATTTGAAGTTCTTAGTACCGTGACCTAGGTATATATTATTACTAGCCCTGGAATAGTATACCTCGTACTAGGCATGGATAGAATAGAAAGCTACTGGCCTAAATGAGGACTCCCGAGGCGGAGTTTATATCATGATATCACCAGTCTATTAGTATATTCCTACTATTTGATCATAAGTAGTAATACCTAAGTAGTAGTATGATCATATTGAAGACTTCGGGATTAGATCAGATTTCCAAGGCTAATAAAGAACTTGGACCACCCGGTTTCAGTTCAAGCTGAGGCTAGACAGAATCTCCGCGGTGAAAGGCCTGAGGGATGCCTAACAGCATATGTTATTACTACTAGTAGTAGTTTTCTAGTGCTATAGGTACCCTAGTGGAGACTAACCTTGGAAGGTATAGGGAAGAAGCAACTTGGCAACCTTGGAACCCCGCTCGACGCGAAAAGAAGCGCAAAGAAACTTGAAGCAACCTTGGAAGAAAAAAACTCTGCCCCGCCATGGCAACGGGAACGTTGACACAACACAACAAACCAAAACACATGGGCAAGGTAGAACTTTTCAAGGAGAAAAAAAAAGGATATAATTTAATATATACATCAAAAATATTTATGGTCATGAAATTTTTAATTTTTTTCATCAAGACCAGCCTCTTTCTGGGCTAGGTTCTAGGTTCGTAACTAGGTATCCCTAAGACATCAATATTCCATCATCACGCCATTTCTACGTTAACCGACACATTCTCCATTTAAAGCTTCTGCATGGCAGCAACGTCAGTGGACTGGACGTGGTCCTCGTCCTCCTCAATCTGGGCCTGGAGGTCGTCGGTGGAGACCTTCTCGTCCTCGACAACCAGGTTGATCTGCAGCTTCTTGATACCGAAGCCGACAGCGACGAGCTTGGAAGCACCCCAGGTCAGACCGTCCATCTCGATGGCACGGACGTTGGCCTCCATCTGGGCAAGATCGGTCTCGTCATCTGTAAAAAGTAGGTTAGAATGCGGGACGTAGAGATCAAAAGTTGGGAACGATAGAGAAGAAAAAACATACCCCAGGGCTTGACCTCAAGGGTGACAATGGACTTGGCAGCGGGCTTGGGGCCCTTGGCGGCCTTCTTGGCCTTGTAATCCTCGAGACGGCGGTTGCGCTCCTCAACAACGGCAGCATCCTCCTCCTCAGAGTCGGAACCGAAGAGGTCCTCCTCCTCATCCTCCTCGGGCTTGTCCTTGGGGTTGGCGGGGAGGTCAGCACCCTCGGGGCCGTAGGCAGTGAAAGCCTTGGAGGCGTCACCGGGGAGAGTGGTGAACTCGCTCTCGTAAGAGGCGATGTGCTTGTACCAGCGGGCGACGTGGGGGTACTTCTCAGCGTCGGGGGCAGCGCTGAAGGCCTTGAAGGTCACGACATCAGCCTGGCTGGGAGAAGAGCTATCGAAAAACAGTCAGTTGGGACGTTCGATACGTGACATTGGTGATTGGCAAATTCAGATATGAATGCAATAGAGATCAGAGACGCGATTGCTCGCAATGGAAGTGTAGTCATGCAGCGGGGTCTTAAATCCGCCTCCTAAACACGGACCAAATTTTCTCATCATAAAAGCAGGTAATTGAGAAGATCAACATCCATCGAATAATACGATTGGGATGAGATCAAAACAAGGTAAAGTGGAGGAGAGAATTCAAGGGGGGGGAAGCATAGACATACCCAACGACGTAGCTGCGGGTGGAGAGGTAGTTGTTGGCCACTGAAAGGGGGGGGGACAACAGTCAGTTTCAACGTTCCAAAGTCAAACAAAATCAAGCAATAAAATCAAGCATGGCGAAGGAGTGCGTACGAGCCAGGCCGGCGTCGGAGACGAAGTCAGTGAAACCCATTGTGAATGAAGATAGTTGGATGAGGAGAGAAGAAGAAGAAGAAAGGGAAAGGGGGAAAAATGAGAAGGAGAATCTGCTAAAATTTTTAAGTGCCCCTCCTTTCGCTCACGTGACTCGGGTGACAGAGTGGCTCCAGGCCCGAAGTGGTGACGGAGCTGTACCATCTCCACCTCATCCTCCGCCACTAGGAGCTCTCCGCTCCAATCACTCCAGTGGAGCTTTCCAGAAGCTGCGTGATGATGCCTCTCGTGGTCACAGCTATATAATTGTACCACCCCCCAGCGATCACTGCTTTCAGCCGTCAATAGTGCTATCTCACGGCAAGATGGCCACAAGACTCTCTCTATCCAGTCGTGCTCGACTAATTCGATCCCCTCAACTCCTCACGACTCGATCGCTGGCGACTTCTCGTGTCTCATTACTTCCCCGGACTCCAACGCACCACACAATACTTATACCCTCACCGAAAACCATCCCACCGAGCTCTTTTGTGCGCCACTATGCCAATGGCCGTCCTCACCCTCCCGGTGGTACCCACCGCATGGACATGAGTGGAGAGGAAGAGAAGGCAGCGTTGGAAAAATACGGCGTGGATTTGACCGCGAAAGCGAAGGCTGGCAAGCTAGATCCGGTCATTGGACGAGATGCGGAAATTCATCGAACCATCCAGGTCTTATCTAGGCGCACCAAGAACAACCCGGTCCTCATTGGGCAAGCTGGCACCGGAAAAACAGCTATACTGGAAGGCTTGGCTCAAAGAATTGTGCAAGGCGATGTCCCCGAGAGCATCAAGAACAAGAAGGTGATCTCGTTAGACCTCGGCTCCCTCATTGCTGGTGCCAAGTTCCGCGGAGATTTTGAAGAACGCCTGAAGTCGGTGCTAAAGGAGGTCGAAGACGCGCAAGGTGGAGTGATTCTATTTATCGATGAGCTTCACACCTTACTGGGTCTCGGTAAGGCTGAGGGCAGCATCGATGCTAGTAATCTTCTCAAGCCTGCTCTTTCTCGAGGCGAATTGCAATGCTGCGGTGCGACCACCTTGAACGAGTATCGTTTGATTGAGAAGGACGTTGCGCTGGCTCGACGATTCCAGCCTATCCAGGTGGGTGAGCCTTCGGTGGCATCCACTATTTCCATCCTGCGGGGTATCAAAAACAAATACGAGGTACACCACGGTGTTCGGATCACCGACGGAGCTCTCATTGCGGCCGCGACCTATAGTAACCGATATATCACCGATCGGTTTTTACCAGATAAGGCAATCGATTTGGTAGACGAGGCTGCATCGGCACTCCGTTTGCAACAAGAATCGAAACCAGACACGATTCGCGAACTAGAACGTGATATCACCACCATTCAGATTGAGTTAGAATCTCTGCGCAAGGAGACTGATGTCAGCAGTCGCGAACGACGTGAACAATTACAAGACACATTAAGAACCAAGCAGGAGGAGGCTCGCAAACTGACAGAAGTGTGGGAAAAGGAGAAAGCAGAAATTGACTCGATCAAGAATACTAAGGAGGAACTAGAGCGTGCACGCTTCGAACTAGAGAAAGCACAACGAGAAGGCGACTACGCACGAGCTGGAGAGCTGCGTTATTCCTCTATCCCTGAACTCGAATCAAAACTTCCGAAAGAGGGTGCGGATCAAAAGGCAGACACCTTGATTCATGACTCTGTCACCCCTGATGACATCGGCAACGTGGTTTCTCGAACAACTGGCATTCCAGTCAATAAACTCATGGCTGGGGAAGTTGAGAAACTAATTCACATGGAAGATACTTTGCGACAATCGGTTCGTGGTCAGGATGAAGCTCTGTCTGCCGTCGCCAATGCTGTGCGCATGCAGAGAGCCGGTCTCAGTGGTGAGAACCGCCCATTAGCCTCATTCATGTTCCTCGGGCCAACTGGTGTGGGGAAGACGGAGCTTTGCAAGAAAATGGCAGAGTTTCTCTTTTCTACCGAGACTGCGGTTGTCCGTTTTGACATGAGTGAATTCCAGGAGAAACATACGATTAGCCGTCTCATTGGTTCTCCTGCCGGTTATGTTGGCTATGACGATGCCGGTCAGCTTACCGAGGCTGTGAGACGCAAACCATACGCTGTTCTTCTATTTGATGAGTTCGAGAAGGCTCATCGAGATATCTCCGCCCTTCTGCTGCAGGTGCTAGATGAGGGTTTCCTTACAGATTCTCAGGGTCACAAGGTTGATTTCAGAAACACACTGATCGTTTTAACATCCAACTTGGGGGCTGATATTCTTGTCGGCGCCGATCCCTTACACTCCTACAAGGACACTGGTGCCCCAGAGGTCCCAGCAGATATAAAGAAGGCAGTCATGGATGTTGTACAGGGCGCTTACCCACCAGAATTCCTCAACCGAATGGATGAATTCATCATCTTCAGACGCCTCTCCCGGGAAGCCTTGCGAGATATTGTCGATATCCGAATCAAGGAATTGCAAGGCCGTCTTGATAGCCGTCGCATGACTTTGAAAGTGGATGACGAAATCAAGGACTGGCTCTGCGAACGAGGCTATGATCCCAAATTCGGTGCTCGTCCTCTCAATCGTCTGATTTCGAAGGAGATTGGCAACCGTCTCGCTGATAAGATCATCCGTGGTCAAATCGTCTCTGGACAGACTGCTCGCGTTTCTCTTACTGCAGACAAATCTTCTCTTGAAGTTTCTGTTGAGCAAATTGAGGAGGCTGAAGAAAAAGCTTGATTTTCTTTTATAGCTGTTTTCAGAATGGCGTTGGCTTTTTTGTGGTGTTCAGGTTGCATTTACGCGTGAATTCGAATTTTCTCATGACTTGTAACTTAGCAATAGGATATTACACTCCTTTCAACTATATAGTAATAACAATCTACTCACAACATGTGCCTAGTAAATACTCGTACTACTGGAACAACTTGTTATATCTAGATAGGCTTCTAGATCCACTGCTTTTCTATTTCCTCGCCTGGCTATCTTCTCAATTATTCCCCATTTCTCGTACCCTAGGGTTCTCATAGTGCTGTTGCTTGTTGCTTGTGAAAATGAAGGGCAACGTGACCACCCGCTACTCGTTTGCTGTCTCTCTCGGCCACTCACCCAGCTCACCCATCTCGTCCAATTCCCCTACTTTCTATCCGCCTACTTACTCAATTGACCCTCGGCTTGTTTGAAATGCGCTCTTCTCAGAAAAGAAAAAAACCACCGGAAATCCTTCGGTACCATCCAGTCATTCCTCGTACCTATGGATCCAGGCCCGGCAAAGCACCATATGCATCAAGCCGAGCTTTCCTCAATCTCGAGGGTTCGTTCCAGACACCAAGTCCTTTGACGGATGGACAAGTCCAACCCTCTTTCCTAGCAGAGTCCCAGGCTGAATTAGAAGGCTCGCAACTGTCCGCTGAGGACGACATCGGTCATGTCATCGCTGCAATTGATATAAAGGATTGCGGAACTGTGGGCTGTGCGTACTACTCCGCGGAGAAAGAGAGAATGTACCTTCTCACAGAGAGCCGCTTGGGAGAACGAGATACAATTGAGGCTTGTACGTTCATTGTTGAGTTCGGGTTGTTGCTTTGGATGAAAACTGACTGTATCACAAGTGATACGGCAGATCAAACCTACAGTGATCCTAGTTCCTTCTCGAGTTGATATGCCGGCTATTCTAGAGCAAACCCAAAACACTGCTCAAGAAACAGGTATAACCTATAAACCCCTTTGATTATATGAAGGACGTTTTTAACTGATCTGATTTTCTCCAGTCACCTCCTCTTACCTCCCATATCAAATCGATGCACGCCCCGCCCAAGAATTCAGCACCTCAAACGCAAAAGAAAGATTGGTGGCCCTCGACGTGTCATCGGCTCACGAACAACGTCTTCGTTTTCTTGTGCCCGAGAGCGGTATCTCCGGTCCGAGTCCCGAAGAGGTGAACGCCGAGGACATGGGCTTCACACTTCACGGAGGGCGGCTGCTACATATATCCAGCTCGGTTGATATGGATAATCCTATCACACTTGGCTGCGTCGGGGCTGTCCTTAGTTACCTACAGCGACGTAGGGCTACAGGTACAAGTATGGACCCCATTGGACCAACGGACGAGTGTCCATTCCAAGTTCGGTCTCTGGAAATGTTCAACTTGGAGAATACAATGTAAGCAATCTCATTTCATTGCAATGATCCGCTCCCGATTCGACCTAACATCATTTGTGGTATAGGTGGATTGGAAGCAACACTTTTCAATCTCTCCAGATCATCCAACACGAGTCTCATCCGAATCTATTCAATCAGGGCCCAGGCACAAAATCGTCTTCTAGCAAAGAGGGATTGTCAGTATATGGTCTGTTTCAACGTTTCGCGCATAGCCCCCAAGGGCGCTCGAGGCTGAAACAGATCTTCATCCGACCAAGTTTGGATTCCAGAGTCATCTTACAGCGGCACGATTTCATCGGGGTATTTTCACGGCCAGATAACCAGGCTTCTTTGGACAAGATGACCAAGGCAATGAAGCATATCAAGAATCTTCGGCCTGTTATGTCCAATCTTCACAAGGGAATCAGCACTGGAAGTGCAAAGATTACGGGCTTCAAGACAACGGTGTGGGCTTGTCTGCTAGCTGTACGTATCTCCACTGATCGCCGAACTATCACTGACACTTTAAAGTTTGCATTCTATTCGATCGATATCCAGTCATCTCTCAAAGAAGTCTCCGGTGCTGAAAGTCTACCTTTACAGGCAAAGGTTTGGGTTGCAGAGTCCACTTGGTTCACTTGCGTACTTACAAGAAACAGGCACTTGTGATCTTCGAGACGGCGCAACTATACAAAGTGGGTCAGATTATCCAGGAAGTTGTCAGTGGAACTTCAACTCTTACATGGGAGCCCAGCTAATCTTTGCAGGTTGACATCGACAACTCAGAGGAGCAAGGCAGAACGGTTGTGAAGCAAGGTCTTGACAGAAATCTCGACATGATGAAGGATCGATACGATGGTCTTAGTAGCCTCCTAAAGAACGTCGCCCTCGAGATTGCTATGACGATCCCCGAAGATCTCGATATCGACGTGAACGTGATCTATTTCCCGCAACTTGGCTTTAACATTGCCATTCCCCTCAATGATAGGGAACAGCCGATGTATTTTGGGACCGAAGACTGGGAAATTGTTTTCACCACGGAGAACAGAGCCTACTTCAAGGACTTCCGCATGAGAGAGTTAGATGGGAAACTCGGAGACATCTATGGGCTCATTTGTGGTGCGCATGATCTCCCTTAAGTTGCTAGGTTACACTAAGACCTTTTACCGGGATACAGAGAAGGAAATTGAGATTGTTTACGATCTTGCACAGAAGGTCCTCCAGTACGAGGAAATGCTTATTCAAGCATCCGATATTTGTGGGGAGCTGGACGGGTACGAAGCTGGAGAAAATGTGTGATCCAGAGAAAGTATCCCAGCTCACCAATTCTGCAGTACTCTTGCACTCACACAAGCTGCCATGTTCTACAATCTGATCCGACCGCGAATGGTATCAGAAAATGTCATCAACATCAAGGGTGGCCGGTAATATTACTCCGATTGTGTGAAATGTCTTACCTGATTTCTGACATCTCCTAGCCACTTGCTGCAAGAATTGACCGTTTCCTCTTATGTTCCAAACGATACCTTGATTATAGGTGGGGAAGTACCTTTCGATTTAGACCAAGGTCGTTCTCGGGGAGATCAAGCTCCAAGCATGCTCTTGCTCACGGGTCCGAACTACTCTGGGAAAAGCGTCTACATGAAGCAAGTTGCTTTGATCGTTTATCTAGCTCAAATTGGGAGGTAAATCTAGTTCTCCCTCATGTGATCATATTATTGCACTAACGCATAGCAGCTTTGTTCCTGCAGAGAGTGCTGAGCTTGGCATCACGGACAAGATCTTGACCAAAATCAACGCGCAAGAAAGTGTCTCAAAGGTACTCCCTGCGATTAATATTGCAAACGCCAGAGAATGTTAACAAAGTCTTTAGATACAAAGTACTTTCATGAGCGATCTCCAGCAAATCTCCCTTTGCCTCAAGCAAGTTTCAGGGCACAGCCTTGTACTCATCGATGAGTTTGGGAAAGGGACGAATGAAAGTGGTGAGTTGCAATCTTCTTACACCCGCACCCTCATCTATACTAGTACTCGAATGGTCACTCAATTTATAAGATGGAATTGGACTGGCCTGTGGGGTACTTGAGTACTTGCTCAATATGGAGGATGCTCCGAAGGTCATTGCCGCCACGCACTTTCACGAAATTTTCGAGAACAACCTTCTAGCACCACGCCCGAGACTTCAGCCGGGACACATGGAGGTAAAAATATCCGAGGAATCTCAAGAAGCGGAGGATCAGGTCACGTATTTGTATAAGTATCTCTCGCCAATGCCTTTTCTTCGATTGGATACTTTAGACGAGGGGCTAATCGTCGTGCAGCTTTCGCCCAGGCCGCAGCAGTAAGAGTTTCGGCACCATGTAAGAGATCTTTCCCACCTAATGTTATATCTGCAGACTGACAATTGGAGTACAGATGTGCAGCAATCAATGGCATTGATGCGGCCATCGTCGCTCGCGCGGATGAGATCGCGTCGCTAGCGGCTCGAGGCGAGAATCTGATCGCCGCATGTGCCATCTTGTCCACGGAAGAATCAAAGAGTCTTCAGCATGCAGTATGATTGTTTAAGTCTTTGGTCAGCTTTCTTCTATTACTGATTAATGGGATAGGATTCAATAGCAAGGGGTTTCCTTGCAGTTAACCTCTCAGATCGGATGAAGCCCCGACAGGGGACGAAGACCATACTGCAGGATTTATTCAAAGCATCAGAGTGAGGCTGAACGAGAAAGCCAAAGGAGATCGTTTTCTGGAATTATTCCTTATACCCCCACAGCTCATCTCTGTGCCCTGCTTTGTCGGTATTCTTAATTGGTCCGGCGCGCCATGTTACCTCACCCGTCGATCTATACTCTTCCCAGCACCCAACTATCAACTCTCTCCACTACGTTTCCCCAAGTACGCACGCACTCTGGGGGCCCAGGATCTGGGGGCCAAATTATACGATTTCACCCCGGTCTCACTAGTCAGGTGTCATGACTTAGAGGCTGTGAATTGTGGCTTGCAGCTGATGGCGAATTGCCCTGAACTTGAACCTTCCCCGCGCCGATGGCCTTGCAATTCAGAGAACCTTTGTATTAATAATATCTAGTCGTCCAGAATTCCATCATCAATTTCTATCTAATACACAATCCGGGATCCTCCTCATTGACTTCTACCCCACATGTCTCAATCGCAGTCCGAACTCGTGAACGACGCCAGGCTACCCACTAAACTCGAGCCCGAACGTACCACCCACACCTTTCTCGAAACGAGCCACATCGCAGGTCTTGCAGGCCGCCGAGCTCGGCGCCGAGAGCGTGAAGAAGTATGGCAGCGACAAAGAGCTCTTGAAATCGACACATTCAGCACCCTATGGCTGGAGAAATGCGTGTCCGATAGCAAAGGCAACCTGCGGGCTGTCAGAGAGGTGCGCAGGGTCGCTCCAAACTCCTTGCTCATCGACTATACTCGTGAGCTAGAAGCAATTACCAAGCTTTCGCAGCAGAAGGTAGCAAATCAAATCCCTGTGGTTGATTCTGCCAAGCTTTTATACCCGCTGACAAGACTCTTAGTATGATGGTTGTTTTGTGAAATCATCCGGGTGGTTCGAAAACGACGAGTCGCTTTTTATCACAATGGAATACCTTCCGGCTGGAGATCTTCAAAGATACGTCGTTCAGCCTTTTTCGGAACCAGAGGCTCAGAGTATCGCACTCCAGTTGCTGGAGGGCCTGGATTTCATGCATAACAATGGATTTTCACATGGGGACCTCAAGCCGAAGGTAGGCACTCGACTTCATCTCCAGTCTCATATTTCTTGCGATGGTCAAGATACTGACATAAGGCTCAAGAACATTTTCGTACTTTCAGCAGGGCCTGACTGGTGGGTCAAAATTGGTGACTTTGGCATCAGCAAACAGGTTATGGAAGGCTTAACTGGTCTTCAATCATTTAATGGCACGCCAGCTTTTACTGCCCCAGAAGTCTACCAGCAGACATGGCAGTCTTGTGAAACAAATCAGGAGATCATCAACACAGCCTTCGCCCCAGAGATAGACCTATGGTCCCTCGGTGTGATCAGCTACTATCTGCTCACCGGAAAACTACCCTTTGTCCATCAAAAAGACCTACTTGCATACCAGAAAAATGAAATAGAGCTACCATTAGGACCCATAGGGCAACTTCTAGCTAGTTCGGAAGCTTTATTGTTCATGAGGGCTATGCTCGCCGCAAATCCTTCTAGTCGTTTACCGGCTCGAGATGCGTTAGATCATCCCTGGTTGATTCCTTTGCAACAAGATTCGGAGCCAGAATATGAAGCGGAGAGTCGAGAGTCTACTCATACTACTCACGCAGAGGAGATCAACCTATCTACAGCACAGGTGCAAACTCCAGAAATGCTAACCCAAAAACCCCGAGACGTCCTACTCCCAGGGACAATCGGCTTGACAACATCCCAACAGAACAGACCTGTCGAAGACAACCCCCCCGCAACTCCCATTACCCTTCTCCCAGAGTCTTGGATTTGATGGTGATATGTATAAACAACTCGTGCGTGGTCAACTTTCTGGCCCAAATACAACTATCAACGACCATACAACTCTAAGGGAGGGTACCTTCATCACGCAATCACAAAGCAGCGAGTCCAGTCGTCCAAATCATACCCGATGTATTACATCCATCGACACACCCAGCTCAAAAGCAGATACCCCTCCTCTATATACCCGACGAGGATCAGACGCAGCACCAATCCCGATAACAGAACTAGATCATGATAATCTCCCAAAGCCAGAAAGCACGCATTCCAGTACGAGAGCTACGGAACGGCTGTCGAAAAGATTTCGTCGTGCTTCAAAGGATATGGTGCCCAAGCGAAGTCGTCGTTCTCAGGATTCGGCCTCTACAAGAGATTCTGCACTTCCGATGTCTCCGACTTCGGCAAGGTATGTAACTTGGGCATGTTGTTGAGATTTATATGTTGGATAGCAGAACTTGAACTGATCTAGTTGCTTCCAGTGCGACTTCGGGAAAGAAGAGCAAATCTCATATTGTGGAAATTCCTGGTCGTCCCCAGTTTGCGGAGGGTTTGCCGATGTTTCCTATGCGGTCGAAGAAGGCGTAGGGTAGTAGATAGCGATTGTGATTTTTGTTTTGATATTATTAGACGAATGCACCCTTGGGAACCATTCCTTGTCGTTTTTAGGCACAAATTTGTAGATCAAGACCCCGTTTCGAGTTTCAGGTTACGTGAGTGTTCCGAACTTGAATTATTCTTACATACTCGGTACTTCTGCTTCTAGTATACATATCATAGTTAACTAGTAGTAAGTAGCATTCTCCAAGGGGTGTCGAACCAGTGAAATTGAAAGTTATATACATAAATGCCTGTATCTTCCATGAAATATTAGACGCCTGAAGTAACCAAATCCATCCATAAGATCTAACAATGTACCCATCAGAGCTTGACACTCTTGACCAGGTTCTTTTTGATACCCGTAAGTTCACCACCATATCCGCCACGGCTCTCTCCACCCTTGTAGATCTGCTTGATACTACCGAGCTTCTTCTTCTTCTCCTCGAACTTCTTTCTCTTCTTAACACGCGGGTTACGCGAATCCTTGCTCCGCTTCGGCGTAAGACCCTTATTCTTCTCGATCTGGTATGTAATCGCGCGCTTGCCATCAGGTCCAACCTCCTCCTGTACATGGACTTGTCCGCCCTCACGGGCAGCGGCAGCGTACGCCTCTGAGCGAGCTGACTTGTCATCCTTGCGTTGCTTGGATCGGGCTGCGACCATGTCGTAGTACTCATCTTCATCGGTGCCGGACTGGTTACCGTCGTTACGGAGTTCTTTGCGTACGCGACGGTCTTCCTCGTCACTATCGCCACCCAGTTCTTCGCCAATGTCGGCTTGCTGGCGACCACGCTTCTCGGCCTCGGCGTTGAGACGGGCCTGACGGTCACGCAGACGCTCGCGGTGAGGGATATCTGCGTCACCTCCTGCGTCGCGGCCGGCGGTTGTGCGCTTGTTGGCCTTCTGGGCCAGTTGCGAGGTGTAGAAACGGAGGGAACGCTTTTGCTTGGCTTTCTCTTCGGCTTCGCGGGCAGTAAGGGCGCCCTCGTCACCAAAGTCAGAGTCATCGTCTTCCTTCGCGATCTTCTTGGTCTTCTTAGTCTTGCGTTTAGGCTCGGCGATCAGATTGTCGAGATCGGCCAGGCCGGCTTCGGTCGCTCGGAGACGCTCAGCACGGCGGGCGTCGGCCTCGGCTTGTGCTTCTTGAGCGAGTCGCTGGGCCTTGCTCAGTTTCTTGGTCTTTGTTGCTTGTTTCTGGGGCTTGGTGGGCTCCGTCTTGGTGGCAAGCTCGGCCTCCTCCTCGGATTCGTCGTCCTCGGAAACTGTGACAACTTCTTGTTCCTCGAGGTCCTTGACCTTCTCCCAAAGCTTGCGGAATTTGACCAGAGATCCCATTACAGGGTGTTGTCGGAGTTCGGCGGGGGACATAGAGACACTGCCACTGCTACCATCGGATGATGAAGCCAGAAGCATGAAATACATGCTGATAGTGCCGAGGTATGCCGATAGAGCGCGCGCTTTAATGACCGCCACGGAAGCTGGTTGGGGTTCATCGCTGTCATTGACTATGGTTGTCTTGGTGGCCGATGCCTCCTTTTGTAGCTCCTCGTGGGTTTTTTGCAAATCGGTGAAGTCCTTGGCCAAAGGCTCGAATTCGGGGTATCGCGACTTGAGAATTTTCAACTTTTCTTCAGTGGTCATGTCGTCGGTGATCTCCAGCTGGGGGAGCACTTCGGTAACCACTCCAGCATCTTCATCATCTGCATCCTTGGTGTCTGCCCATTCAGACTCGTCAAAGCCGAAATCAGCCTCGTTCATGGCCTCCAATTGCTTCTGTTGTAGTCGCTTGGCTTCCTGCTCTTCCTCAAGGGCATCGACTTCGGTCTCGATCTGATCAGCATCGTAGAGATCCTTTTTGGATGAGCCCCAAGCTGCGATACCCTCTTCCTCCTCGTCCGAATCACCTCCCTTCTTCGGTCGACCCATTTCATCATATTCACTATCGTAGTCTTCGTTCTCGACATCGTCCTCGTCCTCGTCCTCATCTACGGATTCGTAGCCAAGGATTTCTTCGTCGGAAGGTTGGAACATTTCCTCTGTGATTGCAAGTGAGCTTGTGTTCTATATGGTGCATTTCCTTATACCGAAGATTGCATATATCATACCATCATCAGCCACTTTCCGTCGGCGCTTCGCATCGGGAGCCTCGTCCAGCAAGATCTGATCCCGGCCGGTCTGGAATTCATCCTCCGAGTCGTCGAAACGTTCCTCAACGTCAAACTTGGTTCGCGCAGGGGCTTCAGTCTTAGCCGCAGGGCGACCGCCCGCCTTTCTTTTCGCCATGACGAGTTTGGCTGTGTCGTCTTGTAGCTGATATCCTCTTCGAAAGCCCGCTGCCAAAATAATTTTTTTGGCGCGCCCTCACCGCCTTAATAACGCTAGTCTGAATGTGAGTGGTTTGATTGGTTTGCAGTAAGTGAAAGATGAGAACGGTTTTATTACACTATTGTATGTATATTTGTATTGTAAGCTTGTAATGTGCAAACCACTTCCACTCCCATTGCAATTGCAGCATCGCACCTGCCCCGTCAGCTACCCAACGCGAAGGAAGGAACTCCCCCAATTGGCACTCTCCCCCCCTTCTTCTTCTTCTTCTTCTTCTTCTTCTTCTTCTTTCCTCATGCCTCAAATCCCCTCATTCACTTTCTTATCTGACATTTCCATCCCGACCTTGGGAATATCTGTACTTGTCTGCACAGTCATCGCTTATACGATTATCAACATGTTCGGATTCGGTCGAAAGAACGAGTTCCCCGTCGAGGGCCGTGTAAGTACAACCCCCTTCTTTCCTTGGAACCTCGTGTCTGACTTGGATCAATTAGGTTATCGTCATTACCGGTGGCTCTGATGGAATGGGCCGAGCCGTCGCCACGAATCTGGCCCGCCGAGGTGCACATGTCGTTGTTGTGGCTCGTACAGTCTCCAAGCTGCAAAGTACCGTCGAGGATATGCGGGTAAATAGGACTGCAATTTTTTCTCTTCTCCTTCTGTCGTTCTAACTTTCTCTCTAGCGTGTGGCCCTGAACAGCTTGAAGCAACGCTTCTTCTATATCAGTGCCGATCTTTCTGACGCCGCTGAGTGTGAACGGATGATCGCGGAGGTCACAGGCTGGAACTACGGCTCTGGCCCCGATGTCGTTTGGTGCTGTGCTGGATTCTGCCATCCTGGATTCTTCACTGAAGTGCCCATCTCAATTCAACGCCAACAGATGGACAATGTCTACTGGACTGCCGCCAACACAGCACATGCCACTCTTCGAAACTGGCTGGCTCCGGTTGCCCCCAGCGCCCAGATGAAGAACCCCCGTCGCCACCTCATCTTCACCTGTTCTACTCTTGCTTTCACTCCTATCGCTGGCTACGGTCCTTACTCGCCTGCGAAGGCTGCCATCCGCTCCCTGTCCGACACTCTTAGTCAAGAGATCGAGATGTACAATGGAGCTTTTACCCAGCGTCACCGCAACAGCGCCCCTGCTGCAGATGTCAAGATTCACACCATCTTCCCCATGGGAATTCTCAGTGCTGGCTTCGAAAATGAGCAGAAACTTAAGCCCGAGCTGACCAAGATGCTGGAGGATGCCGACAAGCCTCAAACCCCGGAGGAGGTTGCACAAATCTCCATCAGTGCTCTCGAGCGTGGCGAGTATCTGATTACCACAATGTTTATCGGCAACGTCATGAAAGCAACCTCTCTCGGTCCCAGTCCCCGCAACGCTCCTATCGGTGACACTGTCCTTAGCTGGCTCAGCAACTTGGTGTTCCTTCAAGTTATTCCGGACCTGCGCAACAAAGCCTTCAACTGGGGCAAGACCAACGGACTTCCCAATGTCTATGGAGAAGAGGATGAGACTCCCCAGGCTACCACTCCCCCGTCCTAATTACGATCTTTTGTCTCCCTCCGTCTTGCAATGATTGTATTATACCCACGATGTTGCCCTTGGGGGCGCTCCACTCGTTTGTTCTGATCAATCCCTTTTGATGTTCAAGGTTCTTCTGATCAGGGCGACCTATTATTAGTATTATTAGTGCTTAATGTGAACCCTTTGCATTTCTTTCCTCATCCAAATTAGTCTCTTTCAAATAGTCATGTCTTGTAAGTCTGTAAGTCGCAGTCGCATCCGCCAGACGCGTGGAATGCGGGGTGACGTAGTGTGGATCTCGCGCGTTTCCTGCCACTTCAATTTGTTCCTCTCATCTCCCCCGCCACCTTGTTTTCCTTTTTCGAAACGGAAATTTTTACTCGAATTTTCGAATCCAGGCAGATACTGAGTACTCGAAAATGCATCTCTAAATCTTTGCGATTACACAATTCATCTTTATTCAAGTCTTCGAGACCGCGCATGAAATCGATCGTTCTACGGAGTACCAATTCTCACTCCGCACCGACCCGACCCACCTTGACTCAATATCTACGGGATATCTCTTTGATCACCTCACAGCCCTCCTTTGCACTTCTTCAAGGTTCTATTCCTAGAGCCAAGGGGACTCAAATCAACCTGCATTTTCGTTTGATCTACTCAAAGTCCTTTCATCGCGACCCTTGGTCGTCCATCTGAGACTCGAAAGGCTCAAAGCGACTTGAAGACGACAACATATTTCTTTGTTTAAAATACGAACCATTCATAAAAGCTCCATTTGTCTTCGGGCCGCCCCCGATAAATCCGCCATCATGTTCAACACCATATTCTCTCTGTCGACTCTTTCAATATTCATCCTGCCCTTCATGTTCTCCTTCACCACCAACTTCAACTTCGTCTGGTTCTGGCTAACATGGTCAACCTTTGTGTTTTCATTCTCCCCAACCCGGGTCGAGATTCTCGGTACCACCATGGTGCGCGTTCTTTTCTACGCACTGCCATCTACTCTCATGTTTCTCTTCGACATGCTCCTACCAGCCGCGTCGACGGTTTTCAAGGCCAGAGGCGCCGAGGGTCTGCCCGGTGGTAGAAAGACTCGCAATCTCCGACTGAGGGAGTTCAAGGTCGCCGGATGGTCATTATTCAATATTGCTCTGGGTATAATTCTGCAGGGATCGATTGAGTTGATCTTTCATCACACTCTTGGCTGGAAAGCAAGAATCAAGGTCTCCTCGATTCTACCTTTCCCAGGCACGATAGCCAAGCATCTCATAATTGGACTATCTCTTCGTGGGGTAAGTGAAATTGACGCTCAACCCAATATTATTACTCTTACTGACAGCGTTCCTTTGTATAGGTTCTATCGTATGTGCTGCACCGCTTCGCACTCCACCGCGAAAAGTCTTGGTACCTCGCCTCACTACATGAAAGCTGGTACCACTGTCTCAGGGTTCCATACCCGCTCACAGCGCACTACGACCACCCACTCCCCTACCTGATCCACAAGTTCATTCCGATGTATCTCCCCGCCGCGCTATTCCGCTTCCACGCCCTTGTGTTCTTCCTCTACCTAGCGATCATCTCGATTGAAGAACTATTCTCGCACTGCGGGTACAGATTCTTCCCGATTGGTTGGTTGGAGGGTATTGCCGCTCGAGTCGATGAGCATCTCGACGACGGCGGCAACTGTAACTACGGCCTCTGGGGCTTTGTGGACCTGCTCGCGGGGACTTATAAGGGCGATGGCGGTGGTGACGATGATAATGATGACCATTATAGTGATCGCTGTGCGCATAAGTCCAAGGGCCAGCGGGGTGGTAGTAGCACTGGTAGCAAGTCGAAGAAATGGGGGAGTAGTACTCCTAGGGTTTCTGGTGGGACGCTGCGCAATAGGTAGCCATCATGGATTAATATTGGATATTCAAGATGGGAGGGGTCGCCAGTGCGTTCTCGGAGAGCGTACTCTCCGAGTCCCTTTCAAGTTCGGACGAGGAGGAAATCGAAATCTCCGCACCGTTTACATCTTGTGGCGACGCCCCCTTCTAACTCAACTTCAATCCTTGTTGCGTTTTATTACAAGGTTGCAACGAAGGATCTTGGTCGTGCGTAGTAATAAGCTTTCAAGAGTCGAGTCTTGACCTGGGATGCCTATGGTGCTGGTCAGAGAGTCTGTTCTGGGCGTTGGGATGGATAAATGTTTGGGTTTGGTTTAGAGGCGCATTGGATGATATTTATAGTAACGTGACTTATATAGTATATTAATCCAAGGTCGGCATTGGGATATATAGTGAGATGGAATTGGATATAGAATATTACTAATATCTTTGAGTGCCCAAACTGTGAAAGTACATTAAATCCATTACTTACCTAGGTACTACTAGTAGTACAAGCCTGTATATCAGAGGGTTACGTACTAGTAATACTCCAGGGCTTGCAAGGATTTATAGTTGCACATGGCAGATCTACCCCGGACCATTACGTCGCTACCGCACAATGAAATTTGACCTGCAAGTCGATCTAGACTTCAAGTTCAAGTTCCACTTCCAAGGTTCTATTGGATTGCTCCATTGGCACCCGTGGACTGCAGATATACGATTACTACTCGTACTTGGGAATGTGCCTAAGCTAATGTTGGTCAATTTCCAAGGTTCTATCTTGGCCTGGAAGTACCAGTAACTTGAAGGTGGAGAATATGCCCAATTTTTGTATTGCCGAACCTGGGAATTGAGAAGATGTATGCCATACTGAACATAAAAAGAAAAAAGAGATCCAGCGGATAAGCTGGATCGGGATATTTTTGAAATTTTTTTTTTCTTGAAGGTCCTTCTCACATCATCACGGCTTGGTCCCCCCCTTCTGCTAACTCGAGAGAGAAGAGAACAAAAGAGAGCGAGAAGGGAGTCTTGCGAGTATTAATCGACACACACGCGCGGAAGGAAATGGGGGGGATTTGGAAAAGAAAAGAGATCATCTTTCTTTTTTTGTGAAACATTTGAAGAAAACAACACAGCTGGATCGGTGTCCGAAGATTAAAAAAAACCGCAGTTCCTAAGAAGAAAAAAAGCGAAGAGCATGTTTTTGTTAACAAACGGAACTTCTCCGCATGGAGTTACATGAATCGTGAAACCCAATCCTCCCGTCCACGCGAGGGGAATTGCCGATTTGCAATCGAGCCGCTCCCTCGTTTTTGAAAGATGAGTCCTCCCCAACTAATCTACCGAACCCGCGGCCGCCGCTTCGCACTTTTTTACCACTTCATCTCGTGGGGCTTGTCACCGTTGCGGAGGCTGAAGGTGGAGGCGAGGTAAGAGCTCAGGAACTCCTCCTTCTTGATGCTGCCGAGGATGGACTGGTCGACGGCCTTCTGGTCGGCGGCACGGGCGGAGGCAACAACCTTCTTCTGTAGATGAGGAAAAAATTCCATGTTAGTTTGCTGTTGAATTGAATTTGACTCTTCGTGTCGTTCTTCTAATCGGAAAGAAGACTCTTGAAGTGGAGATGAAAACGCACCTGGGGCTTCTCGCCCTGCTTGAAGAAAGCCTCCTCGGACTTCTTCTCGGCCTTCTTCTCCTTGGTGAAGTACTCAGGGGCGGAGATCTTCTCGATGGCCTTGGCGTCGACACCGGAGACGTCGATGCGCTTGGAGGTGGCGATCACGTAGCGGGAGTTGACACGGCGGAGGGGAACGCCGTTGATCTTGAAGGGTCCGGTGACGAGGAGGACACCCTGCTCGAGGTGCTTGAGGAGGACGACACGCTTGCCACGGAAGCGACCAGCGAGGAGGATCAGGACGGTACCGGGCTGGAGGCTCTCGCGGACCTTGGCGGGACGCAGAGTCTTGCGAACCTGTACACACAAATCAAAGGTTAGAAACTGGAATTTCAACAGGTACCAAAACAAAAGCATGGTTCAATTATTCGAGGTGGTGATGCGAGCATGAATCGATTGTCTTCGGATGAATGCGACTTGGATTGTGGGCGAGATCGTGGTTGGTTCGAATTTCACCGATCGCCAATTGATTTTGCGGGTGTTCAATTTAAACATGAAGATTGAGAGAAGATTGTGGCTGCCAGTCTGTCCGGTGACTTTCATTTCAATCCACAAACTCGAATATCGTGTCGCATCCATCCGTAGCAATCGATGCATGTCCGTATTTCCTTCTCGATGTATGTCCATGTGCTTTTCCGGGGTATGCTGACCTTCTTGGGCTGCGACTCATCGTCCACGGGGTACCACTTCTGGGCCTTCTGGGCAGGCACAGTCCGCTGGCCCTTTCCAAACTGCTTCGTCTGGCCGTCCGACATGGTGACGAAGATGGTGTAGGTGGTTGTCGGGTTGGGGGTTGGTGTTGAGGTTGATGATGTGCGGTGCGGACGCATATGGGTCCAGTTTGAGGATGTGAGGGTTCCCAATTGTGTGAGCCCTATCTCACGTGATACGGGTTAACCGAACCGAGTGGGACATCGGATGAGTCAGCGTTCCCGGTGGGTCTTACTACGTAGTACAGTACTATGTTCATAGTTCCATATGAAGATAGGCTAATTTATTTCTTTATTCTTTTATTCTTTAATCATTGCCAATGGTACGGCTATGGACTTAGGGACGAGGCTGATAAGATCCCCCACTTACAAGAAGGAGTCCCTGCCAACTCCTCTTAAGGTCCCGGGTATCCCCAACGGCTATCTCCAGAACTTTTTTATTTTTTAAAGTCATTCACATGCAGTGGTTACAGAGGGTGGAGTTCAAGTTGTATTAAAGACCAAACTGATATTATCCGAGTCCTTCCTCTATCCTTCCATTTACTGTATACATCATTATACTACTGATCAATTCTTTACATCACTGCTCTCTTCCACCTTCCGACTCAACTCTGAATACTCGGGCAACTTCCAATCCCCATCTCGCTCCTTTGAGAATCGCGAGGCAAGTTCAGGGATACGAAGAAAGCAAACCAGCCAAGCGATAAAATGGAGAATTGCGATCCCCCATCGCGTTTCCGGAATAGCTAGCTTCATGAGAGAAACGTTGATATTCTGGACTTCATCCACAAATGGTCGGAAAACTTGGTCATAGTTTGCAAGAGCTCGGGGAAGATCGTCTGCATGTCGATTGATCTCGCCAGCAAGAATATATGCTCCAACCAAACTTGCAGTTGTCCCCATACCGCTGAATGGTGAGGGACAACTGGATGCATCTCCAAGCAGAGCCACCCGACCCTTATGCCAAGTATCCGTCTGGACTTGGACAACCTCCTGGCAATACCAGTTTTCTGTAGTCTTCATACCCTCAAGAAAGCGACTCGTTTGCCACCCTGCATCTCGGAACCTTCGAGTCCAGAAATCCTTTTGCGTTTCTACCGAAGCGCGATGTATACTTGACAACTCGGGGGAGTCATCCTTGAGAAAGAAGTAAACTTGCGTTTCGGTCTCGTTATGAGATCGACGCTTAATCATTCGACCCCAGGGCTGATGTAACTCCTACTCAAATTGTCATCTGTCTCATCACGGGGGATGAACCAGTACGCCATATGTATTCCGAGTCTGCGATAGGGCTCTGGAGAGCCAGGCGGCAGAATCGCTTTTCGAATACGCGATCCTTGACCATCTGCTCCAATAAGAAGATCGTATGTGTCTAATGAGCCATCCGAGAAATGAACGGTGACCGACTGGTCATTTTGTTCAAAGTTCTCGACAGTTGTACCGAATAGATATCTCACATTGTGATGAGTTGCCTCGTAGAAGATGCGAATCAAATCACCCCGCATAATCTCGTACTCTGACGTGAGGGTTTGTGCCCCTTTGCCAGACTTGTTGGCCAGTATAGTCCCTCTAATATTGCCATTCAAGTCCACAAATGCCGTGCCTTCCTCGTCGACAAGTTTGCTGCGGATGATGTCGTTGAGACCCATGCGCTTCACGACTTCGATGCCTTGGCCACGTAAGTCGATTTGGGCACCTGTGGCTCTCAGAGCTGGAAAGCGCTCAACGATGGTGACGTTATGGCCTGTGTTTGCGAGCCAGTATGCCAGGGCAGGCCCAGCACAGCCGCCACCGCAGATAAGGACCTTGAGAGGTGGCATGGTTGAATGCGAAATGACTTTGGTTGTAAGAATAGAATTAAGTACTAGTACTACCTAGTACTATCAGTAACTTCCAAGGTTGAAAAGGTGATGATGTGCTCGAAACCTTGAACTTAAGTGAAATTCCGGAAATACGAGGCTGACCCAGCACGTTGGGCACTCTTATATACTTTCAGATCTATGTTGGCTCGTTGAACCGCGCGAGCTCGGGGTTTTGCGGTCAATTCGGACCACCCCCAGATGAATTGATGAATGCCGAGTTTTTGGCCCCAAATAACCCTAGAATATGGTAAACGTACCAGGTACTATTGGTATCACTGATACCAACAACCTTGGAACTATCCGTTGGAATAACCAAGTGCTGTCTGCACAAATCAGGCAGCAAGGCATCAACTACGGGAGTCCACAACTCCACAAGCGCAGGTCAGCTGTTCAGATCAGGTCAGCACAAACAACTGACGTTATCCTAAGAAGCTCCTCTCCTCTCCGCAATCTCAACCTCAATCTCAATCTCAATATCACCCTTGTCATTGTGCCCACTATCTTCACCTTTCTCATCCGGGCCTAATTTCCCTACTCTTCTGGCCATAATAAATACCCACCATGTCGATAGCTCCCGTCATCACCTTCAAAGCAGGTATCTGCGACCTCGATGTATGTGTTCAAGCTCAATTCGGTCTCTGGCTTAGTTGCTGCTGGTGATCTTTCACTGACCAATTGCCTCCTATTCTATCTTCTAGACCTCCACCACTCCTCCCAGTGTGAAGCCTAAGCAGACTCCTGGCTATATTTACCTCTACTCCGAAGATGATCTTATGCACTTCTGCTGGCGCCCCCGCAGCGCCCCCCCTCGATGAGCCCGAGCTCGATCTGATGATGATCCCTCAGGATGGAAGCTTCACTCCCTACAAGCCCTCCGGCAAGAATGCTACAAATGGTCGTATCTTTGTTCTCAAGTTCTCTTCCAGCTCTCAACGATACCTATTCTGGCTGCAGTCTCAGCCCCAAGATGAGAATGGCGACCTGAGCTTCTACTCCCCGCGCGATCTGAAGCTCGGAGAGATTGTCGATGTTCTGTTGCAGGGTGAAGAAGTTGACGTGGAACACGAAATCGCCACTTTCACTCGAGGACGATCATCTGGCGGTGACGATGATGAGACCATGGAGGATGTGGAAGGCACCGACCACGACCCAAGCCATAACCACGGCGGCAGCAGTGGCGGAGCCGGACCGGACGCGACCGGAGGCGATGTTCGTGAGGAGGGCCAAGAATCGAGAGAAGGCGGTGCCGATGGTGGACGAGCGTAGGTACATATCTCTACCCTTTTCCATTGGAACCATGACTCTAACCATCCCTTCTTTTTCATGATATACAGTGCAGCTGCCGACTCAAATCCATCATCGGTTGTCCAAGACTTTTTACGGTCCTTAGGTGGCCAACGCCAACCCCAGGATGCCGAACGACCTTCTACGACATTGCAAGACCTTCTTCCCCCCTCGACTACGCTACCTTTTCTTGAAACCGCCGATGAGGCTGCGGCTGATCACCTTTTGAACTTCTTGCCGCCAGCATTGCTTCTGCTGGCTCAGGGTAATGCGGAGGCTTCGGAAGCTGACACGGACCCGGAGTTGGCCCAGGCGGCTTTGTTATCTCTCGATCTCCCCCAAAAGAAAGATATTCTTCGCAAAGTGCTCCGATCCCCACAATTCATTCAGAGTCTGGCTAGTCTCACCGTTGCTCTACGGGACGGTGGATTGCCCAGCATCAGCGAGGCGCTACAAGTGCCCGTGGCCAACGGAGGGTTTATGCGACGAGGCGGCGTACCGCTCGGTGGGGGAGATGCAGTGGATGCGTTCCTGGATGGCGTTCGGCAACATGTTAAAAATGAGAAGGACCAGTCGGGTGAGATGGAGACGGACTGAACTTGAGACGTAAGGTAATTTCTAGAAATGCATTTTTTATTTATGCAAATTGAAGCTATTTTTGGCACATCCCCCCCCCACTAGGCAACACCTTTTTTAGATTTGATTTCTATTTTTGATTGTTTTTTTACTCCGTACATTAAGGTACCAGAAGATCTCAGGGTTGGGGAATGTGCAAGCATCAAGGAATAAGGAATACTATTCAATATGACCTAGGATACTAAGATATGAATAAGATATGTCGGTAATTAAAAGGTATCAAAAGGTAATAAAGTAAATGCTGACGAACCCTCCTCAAAGGTGACCAATCAGCAGTTACCTTCCGCTTGTCTTCTTCAGCCCCCAGTCCCAAGTCTCAGTCCAGTCCAGTCCAGTCGCGCGCTTGGCTTGTCCCTCAATCTTAATCCAAGCTGGTCTTTCTCCTCTTCCCTTCTCTCCTCTTCTTCTCCTTCCACATCGCTTACACCCCCGTCACTCTCTGCGCCCTCGACCTCGACCTCGCCCTCACTCTCACCCTCGCTCAAACCCAAATTTCTAAATTTACCCGTTGCGCGTCTTCGACCCATCAGCGTCGCAGATTTGGCGATGTCGGCGATTCCATAATCCCTAATCTTGCCTGACGATGGCACCCAATACTCAGAGCCCTGGCGATTATGACAGCCCCTCCTCGAGCCAGATCCCACTTCAGGATCTTTCGAGACACGATGACCCCGCCGACGTTCGTGGCAGAAGTACCGACAACAACGCGGGGACTGGTAGTGGCATCTTCTCACGGCCTTCTATGATGCGAACGGGGCCCCGAAGTCAATATCAGAGTGTTGCTGCCGACTCGCCAATTGATACTCCATCCGCGAACAGGATCCCTTTTCCACAACCCGCCGATGCGCGCGAAGAGGATATCGCTCACCACGATCTGGGGCAACTCGCACAGGCCATGTCCTTTGGTATTAGCTTCGATGAACCATACTCCCGATCCTCAGCTGCCGGTCTCTCCGCGAACCACGACCACGATTTTAACGATTCCGCATCCGACCAACTTGATAATGTGCCTCTGGACACCTATCAGTCTCATGACCCCGACCACTACGCCGCCTACCCTCCCGCGACGGACGAGGAAGATGCGCGATTGACCGATCCTCGATGGTTACAGCCCATTAGTGGTGCCGCTGCATCGGAGAGACGACCCAGTAGCGACAATCCTGCAGGCAGTTCTCGCCTGGGCGATGACCTTCCCCATGTTGAAGAAGGTCTTGGCCGGGGACGTGGTAGCAGCGCTAGATCCCGTTCCTTATCACCTTCTACCGGAGGCGCCCTCCATCGAGCCAGCTCCATGGTGAAATCAATGTCGCAACGTGTCGTCAATTTGAGTAACGAGCCGGAGGTTGTACAGCAATCGATCGAGAGGGAGGAGTCGGACAAAAATGCGCGAATGGATGGGCCTCCCGTTCTCCCCGCGATGGTAGATTTTGGCCCGGAGCCAAGTGCACAGGCTCAACGACAGAAGCGGAATTCAGCAAAGGCCTGGAAACATCTTAACAATCCGTTCAGAGGCAGGTCACTCGGGATACTGGGTCCAAATCACCCGCTTCGACTTTGGCTGTGCGATATCCTTGTTCATCCATTCATGGAACCCTTCGTCCTGGTGATTATCATCATTCAAACTACTCTACTTATCGTCGAATCCTCCAAATCCGTGTTCAACAAACCCATTGCGGCACGTTGGTCTGCGACTCCCCTGGACTGGGTCTTTCTCATCATTTTTATCATTTATACCCTTGAGATTTGCGCCAAAATTTTGGTCTCTGGCTTTATTTTTAATCCGACGGAGTACAGCACTCTCAATCGCTCCCTGGGAATCAGGAAAGCAATCGCAGAGAAGGGCAGGAACCTCATTACTCCTCATCGACAGGCGACTACCAAGAAAGTCTCATTTCTCCCAAGCGAACCGCAGTCATCTATCATTCGAACATTTACTGGCCTGAACGCGCTGGAGACACCAGCTTATGACGATCCTCTTCAAAAGCGCCGTATTCGACTTGCACATAGAGCATTTCTGCGACATTCATTTAATCGACTAGACTTTGTGGCTATCGTTGCATTCTGGATATCATTTTTCCTTTCCATGGAGGGTGTGGAGAAAACCCACCAATTGTTCATATTCAAAATGTTGAGTTGTCTTCGAATTCTGCGTCTTCTTGCTCTCACAAACGGCACTTCCGTAAGGCGACCTGCTACTATAAAGCCTTATTGCTGAACTCTCTGACTGACCATATCAGGTAATTCTTCGAAGTCTTAAACGTGCCGCTCCCAATCTCGTTCATGTCGCATTCCTTATCTGCTTCTTCTGGCTCCTCTTCGCCATCGTGGGAATCCAGAGCTTCAAGTCTAGTTTCAGAAGGACGTGTGTCTGGATTGACCCCGAGGGCCAGTCCAACTACACCCAAAGTGAACAATTCTGCGGAGGATATTTTCACAATACAACCGGCGAGAAGATGTCATGGGTTGATAGACTGGGTGTCTCTGCAGATACCAATAAACCGAAAGGGTACCTTTGCCCTCAAGGTTTAATGTGCATAGAAGGTGAAAACCCAAACAACGGCACTATGAGTTTCGATAACATCGTGCAATCGCTGGAACTGGTCTTTGTCATCATGAGTTCCAACACCTTTACTGATCTCCTATATTACACCACCGACAGTGATTACATGGCTGCTGCGCTCTTCTTTGCATTCGGTCTGGTCATTCTGAGTCTCTGGCTGGTTAACTTGCTGGTGGCAGTCATCACTCATTCCTTCCAAGTCATTCGAGAGGAGAGCAAGCGAAGTGCTTTCGCGGTTCAGCAAATAGACGAGGTTGACAGCGATGAAGCCTCCAAACGCAAAATCAGCACTCTGAAGAAGCTCTACGACAAGACTTACTGGCCTTGGATCCTGCTCATCATCTTCGACCTCATTGTGCAGGCTTTGAGGAGTTCTGAAATGTCAGACAGCCGCCGTTCCTTCGTTGATAACACTGAAACCGTCGTCACTCTAATTATGCTTGTCGAAATCGTACTACGCTTCGGCTCGGACTGGCGGGTGTTCCACCGGAGTCGTCGCAATTGGTTCGACCTCTTCCTCGCCGTTATTACGTGCATCATTCAGATACCACTGATCCGCCACTCCGGTCGCCCTTATACTGTCCTCACGCTCTTCCAAATTTTGCGTGCGTATCGTGTTGTTATGGCATTCCCCGTCACACGAAAGCTTATCATGGTTGTGTTTCGCAATGTTGTCGGTCTGCTCAACTTGATATTCTTCTTGTTCTTGATGACATTCCTCGCCTCCATTTTCGCAACGCAGCTTTTCCGAAGCCAGATTCCCGACGAGGCCGATGGTAACAGTATCGCCATTACTTTCGGTGATATCTACAATTCCTTCCTCGGCATGTACCAGATCCTTTCGAGTGAGAATTGGACGGACATCTTGTATAACACAACCTCCTACACTGTTCATTTCAACACTGCTTGGATTTCCGCATCCTTCATCATTCTGTGGTTCATTGTCTCCAACTTTATCATCTTGAACATGTTTATTGCTGTCATTCAAGAGAGTTTCGATGTTTCCGAAGATGAGAAGCGACTGCAGCAGGTTCGGGCTTTCCTAGAGCAAAAGCATGTCGGCAGTGCCACACAAGGTAATCTAGCCCTTTCGAAGATTCTTCGATTAGGCCGGGACTCAGATCGTTATAAGGATCCTTTGGACCATGGCCCTGCCGCGCTGGAAATGTTGTTGAAAGATGCCGTCGTCCGCGAATTCCTGGACGAAGAAGAGGAGGAAGAGGCGAATGGAGAAGGCCAGAGACCTAATAATGCACGTAGAGCCAGTGGAATGCCACTAGCCGACGGCGCGAACGCACAGGTGGTTCAGCCAGGCACACTCTCACGACTATACACCAAGGGCATGTCTCTCATTATGGGACGGGAGCCAAATCCGTTTTATGCCAAGCTTCAATTTTCACGAGCATATGAAGAGCTTGACCCTAGAACAATGGCAAAAGAGGTTGTTTCGGCGGCGGAGGCGAGAAAGCGAGCCCAGCGAAATTATCTCGTCGATCATCCCAACTACAACAAATCACTTTACATTTTCTCGCCGTCTCATCCAGTCCGCAAGTTATGCCAACGGATTGTCGGACCTGGACGTGGCCACGAGCGAGTTGAAGGTGTGGATCCGTACAAACCCGTCTGGTACGCTTTCTCAGCATTCATCTACGCGGCTATCGTGGCTATGGTGGTTCTCGCTTGTATCACGACGCCGCTCTACCAGCGAGATTATTTCCGCACTAATCGCAATTGGTTCGTGTACACGGATATGGGATTTGCTATTATCTTCTCATGCGAGGCTGCTATCAAGGTTGTCGCTGATGGCTTTTTCTGGACCCCCAATGCATACTTCCGAAGTTCATGGGGTTTCATCGACGGTGTTGTGTTGGTCACCCTTTGGATCAACGTTGGTGGATCGTTGAAGCATGACTGGAGTGTCTCTCGAGCAATTGGCGCCTTTAAAGCGCTGAGGGCGCTACGACTTCTGAATGTCAGTGACAGCGCCAAGGATACCTTCCACTCTGTCATTATCGTCGGTGGATGGAAAGTTATTTCCGCAGCTGCAGTCTCGTTGAGTTTCTTGATACCGTTTGCCATATACGGTGTCAACTTGTTCAGTGGACAGCTGGTGGTCTGCAATGACGGCGACCTCTCCGGAGACTTGGGTAACTGTGTCAACGAGTTTGAAAACACGCCATCCAACTGGGCTGTCCTCGCGCCACGAGTCGCAGCAAATCCCTACTACGACTTTGACAATTTCGGCGACTCACTCTTCATTCTTTTCCAAATTGTCTCTCAGGAAGGCTGGATCGATGTGCAAGATAGTGTAATGCAAATCACAGGCATCGGCCAACAACCTCAAGATGGAGCGGCACCGGAAAATGGGCTCTTCTTCGTTGTTTTCAACCTGTTGGGCGCTGTGTTCGTCCTTACGCTGTTTGTCTCTGTGTTTATGCGCAATTACACAGAACAAACGGGTGTTGCTTTCCTGACAGCCGAACAACGTTCTTGGTTGGAATTGCGCAAGTTGCTTCGGCAGATTTCGCCTTCCAAGCGGTCATTCGACGAGAAGAGCGCGAAATGGCGCCAGTGGTGCTACCGGATCGCGGTGAAGAAGCATGGTCGATGGGCACGCTTCGTGACTTGTGTCCTCGTTGTGCACTTGCTCCTCCTGGTACTAGAATTTTACCCAGAGCCGAAATTGTGGGAAACGATTAGATGTAGGTCCCCTTGTCATCAACCCCCTTGACTGTTTCTTTCTTTTTTCTCTTTGCTAACGAGAGATAGCTGTATTTTTCTTCATCTTCATGTTTGTTTACATCGCAAACGTGATCATTCGATTGATTGGCCTTGGCTGGCATCGGTTCAGCCGGAGCTCTTGGGATCTATACTCTCTTCTCGCCGTTCCGGGCGCTTTCGTCACCACCATCCTGGATATCTCTTACCGAACCCAAGCTGTGCTTGAACTCAATAAGCTCTTCCTGGTTGCTATCACTCTACTCCTTATTCCCCGAAACAATCAGCTTGACCAGCTCTTCAAGACAGCCGCGGCTAGTTTACCAGTGATCGGAAACCTGCTTGCGACTTGGTTTGTCCTTTTCTTGGTCTTCGGTATCGCCATGAACCAGGCATTTGGCTTGACCAAGTTCGGAAGCCAAGGGACTCACAACATCAACTTCCGAGACCTACCAAAGGCCCTGATTCTACTCTTCCGGTGCAGTTGCGGAGAAGGGTGGAATGAGATTATGGAAGACTATGCCACCATGGTACCTCCTATTTGCACTTACAACCCCAACTTCCTTGACGACGACTGCGGCAGTGCTGCCTGGGCCCGATCGCTATTCATTGCGTGGAACTTGATCAGCATGTACATTTTCGTTTCACTGTTCGTGTCTCTAATCTTCGAGAGTTTCTCGTACGTATATCAGCGGAGCAGTGGTCTTTACGTGCTGAGCCGCGAAGAAATCCGTCGATTCAAGCAGGCTTGGGCGACCTACGACCCGGATGGATCGGGATTCATTACGAAAGAGCAATTCCCTCGTCTTCTCGGAGAGCTCTCTGGTATATTTGCAATGCGGATTTACGATGGGGAATTCTCTGTTGTGGAAATTCTCGAACATTGTCGGACCTCGCCTCGCGATTCAGTCCACTCATTGCATAGCTCGTTCCCCATGCGATCGCGCGAATCACTCAACCCGCTGAACCCAACGCAGACATCCGACCTCGCAGCCGGTATTGACATTGAGAAGCTATCTCGCATCGTCAACCGCATCCCAGTCGAAATCATCCGCGAGCGACGACAGCGGTTAAACACATTCTATGAAGAAGTCCTAGTTTCGGCCGACATCGACCGCGGCATCTCATTCCACCAGATCCTGATGATCCTCGCACATTATAATGTCATTAGCGACAGCAAGAGTCTCCGACTAGAAGAATTCCTACGTCGTCGTGCGCGACTGCAGCGCGTGGAAGAAGCCGTCCGCCGCAACACAGTGGTCGGCTTCTTCGACACACTATACTGGTCCCGACAATTTCGACGAGCCGTCGAGCGCAAGAAGAGCGCCCGAATGACAGCAATCCCGCAGTTCACGGTACCGGAAATCTTCGTTGACGACCCAGGCGAAGAACCCGAGGAGGCACCATCGGGTGTAATGACGCCGCAACCCCAGCCCGACCCGGACTCACCCTTCGCGCCAATGCTGTCGCCGACATCGACCTCGCACCGAAGAGCTGAGTCCAGTCCCACGGGCCGTCATACCGATCTGCCTCGCCTGGACACGACACTGACGGGCCGATCGTCGGGCGGCAACACCCCGACTGATTGGGCGAGCTTTAGCCCCGCGCGAACCCCACGGCGGATGTATGGGGAGCGGGGCTCGTTCGATATTGATGAGCGTCGCGGGTCTGCGACGCCTTCATCGGGGACGGCCGATCATTCGCGACAGAATAGCGCGATGAGCGTTCGAGATGTTATGAATTCGCTGGATAACTCCGCCTGGGGTGAGAGTATTCGGCGAAGTTTCACGCAGCGCCGATCGGGCGACCGATCTGAATAGAGTGGGCTCTGCGCTTTCTTTCCTTCCCTTCGTTCTCTTACCTTTACCCTTACCCTGATCATTGCGCTTTCTATTTTCTTTTTGTTATTTTTCTTTCCAAGGAAAGATACTATGCGTTGATGACGTTTCGATGGGGGCAGAAGATATTGGATATAATGATAAGAAGAAGAAGAAGAAGAAGACGAAGAAGAAGAAGAGGAGGAGATTGCATTTTCCTTTTGTTTTTTTTTTCCCTTTACGTGGACATTCTTTGCATACTCGATATCCTGTGGTTTTTTGCTTCTTGTCTCGATACTTTTTTTCCTTCTGTCCTCCCCTTTTCTCTCAGTTGTACACTATCATACACTACCAGTCACTCTCCTTGATCCTGGGATCCAGAGTCATCTTGCATAGCACGGCGTGGGCTACCATTTCGTCACAGGGTTATTTTTTTCAGATTCGTCCATAGAATAATGTAGCATGTCCATTGATATTTGACTACAGCTATAATCTTCAAAGATCATTGACCTAGCAGATGTAAGAAGAGCCCCTAGATAGGGTACTGAAGGGACCAGGCACCCTGCACCCTATGCTACTAGTACGAATACCAAGAAGTATTTAAGTTCTTCCCCGAAAACAAAGGTACTTTAAACCCAGTTATTAGATAGTTACTGGAAACGGGGGGTTCCAACCCTCGGGGGGGGCTGAAACAGTGGGGCCGCTATTGGTTGGATAGTATGCGCGTAGAGTATAGTACCCACTAGTTATAGCATCAGCACGACGGAACCGGGGAGACGGGAATAAGTGGAATAGGATCAGTGGAATGATGGAAATAATTGGCGTAGATCAGGAACAATGCCATTGGTAAATCTAGTATCGGCAGAGTACTCGGTCGCTGAGCCTGGAGTACTTAGGGTTCAGTACTTCCGCATTCGGCAATGCAGGCACTTCCCCCCGTTTCCCGCATGCGTCCTTCTTCTGTCTCAACCTCCCTGCAGCCCCGTCCTTGCGCAATTGAAATTCGTCACTCTGCCCTCAATTTCGAGGAGATTCCGGTCTATTTTATTCTTCTGGATCTCCTCGAATTTAAGTCCTGTCATGGGTTGAGGACAATATCAACTTTTCCCCCATCTACATTCCACTCCAGACAATACAAACAAACATTCCACATCTATCACCACCACCATGCATCAATTCATCTCACCATTCCCCTCTCTCACCCGCCAAAGACAAACAAGCGACACCTCGAGTCCCCCCCAGTTCACGAACAACCTCACCACCCGCCTCACCAACCTCAACCCTCCGACCCTTCCCCCAGGCCCAGACCTTACCAAACAACCTCTTCAACCTCTCCTTCCACCCACACGCCCACCAAAGAAGCGAACCGGCCGCATCAGATTCAGTCGGAAACAGCGACAATCAAAGCCATGACTTCGCTCCCAGCACCACTGCTACAAGCACCTCCCACCCCCACTGCGTGAGCGTACTTCCCTGCGCCGTCCTCCGCGGCCGATCATCAATGATGGTAGTACGCCGTCGCCCCTCAGCAATCGACCTCGCTCTCAGCGAAGAACGATCACGCTGTACCTGTGACTCGATTGAAAGACAGGGCCTTGACCTAATGGAGCCCCGTCCCGTTGACATGGATCTGCACGCTAATGCCCATGCCCATGCCCATTCTCATGCTCATGCGCGCTGCCAGCAAGCACCGTCTTCACCACCGCTGCAATCACCCTTCTCCCGCAGTATGATTGCCGGTACCGGCACTGAGCGGAATTCGATGCAACACTCGTCTCAGCAGTCGCCCCGCTTCGTGATGGGGGGTATTTTTGAAGTCATGGAAGGGCGGGCTTAGGTCCTGGCTTCATTTTATCGGTTCTACTCCGTATGCTTTATGGGGTATTCTTGTTTTTGATCGGCATTTTCTGTTTGGGGTTTTGGGGTTGTGTTTCATTGGTGTTTCATTTGGGTTGATTCGGCGTTTGGATTTGCTTTTTGCTTTTGTGGTGGGGCTGGTTTGTATAGATCTGGTGTTTGATGGAACCTTGGAAATAACGGGACTGAAGTGTGGGGATGGTGGATTTTGTATAGAATGTTCGATGGAAAGTTCAGTGGTTTACGAGCTGTAAATGTGCTCTATTCTTTACAGTGTTTGATTATCCGCTATTCACTTTCTAACTTGAAATATGAAATATCAAAGGAAATTTGAAAGAAGTACTTTTTGCAAAGCCTTGTGAGACTTTGACATTATTCATTGCTACCTATTCGTAGGGGTAGGATGATTCGATCAACTTGAACGGGACAGGGGGTATTAAAGAAGAAGAAAAGTGCAATGCGACCAGATGTTTATTCAAACGCCCATTCCCACAGAATTGAAGATATGCAGTGAAGTGAGTAAGGTGGAGGTGAGGTGAGGTGAGTTTTCATGATACGTCATAGGCATGTTCGCTGGAAATAGGATCGCTATACCATGCAAAAATAACAGTACAGTAGTGAAAAAATGGGGGGAAGGCAAGGGTAGGAGGAAGTTCATGATTCGTCAGAGGAGCTGGAACTGGCTGAAGTGTCAGCCGAGACACCCTGCTGGTTCTGCTTTCTTGCATTTGGCCAAAGTTGGCCGCGGCATCTCTTGTCGCCGCAGAGACACTTGACAGCGCCGGAGGACATTTTCTCTTTTTTGTCAAAGCCCGGGTTGTAGTCAAAGGTCAACTCTGTTCCTGCAGGAATGTAGCGGAGGGCGAAAAAGGCGAGATAATACAGTTTTTCGTCGCCGTGGTTGATCGAGACGGGGATAATCTTGCAATTCGGATTGCAAGAGTGGTTCATAAAACGGGTGGCATTGCCGAATTTCTGCCCATCCACAACATAGATCTCCTGCTCTGAGATATCGGTTGAGCCAACCATGAAATCAAGGCCGAAAAGATAGGAAATCTTCTGGTCGTCTTCTCGCTGGTCGGCTTCTTCTTTTGTCAATACCTCACCGAGGTAACGGTCGAGGTATTCCCCAACTTGGATATCATCTGGGGAACGAAGACCTAAATAGTTGGTTTGTTAGTAAATTGTCTATGTAGTGTACCTTTAATTGTGATGTCAGGTTTAACGGAGGAAGCTCACCGAATCCGCGGTTACCGGTATGGAAGATCTCTAGACGGAATCTTCGGCCACGTTGAGTGACGTTGAATCGACAATTACCACGGCAGCCGCATCGATGATTACATTCATAAATCATAGATTTGCGTTTTAAAAAGTGGGGATCGAGTGCCATCTTCCCCAATTGATACGGGACGATCAATTCTTCCGAATCCTCTTCCGTGGCAAGACAACTGCATTTATCAGGCTCACATGCGCCTCCTGCGCATTCACAACCGGAATTGAAAGCTTCTGGGACGGGCTGGACGTTATCTCTTAGGATGTAATCTTTAACAAAGCCGAAATTGGACGCAGCAAGCAGAAAGAGATTTTGCTTCTCAATATTAAAAAATACCTCCGGGCCGTCAGCTTGAAGGCGCGAGAGACTGTGAGTCAGAGATGCCCTTTGGATAGTTTCCAGATCTTCAGATCTAAAATCTCGACCGTGTTGATCACCGATATCCGCAGACAGAGGAACAAGACTGCGCTTAACAGTCCGTTTGTATGGATACCGGCGGTCAAAGGCTTTACTCCGTTCGATGGACTCGACCGGGTAGTACTTTTCGGATAGACCATCATGTTTAGGTTGGACCTTGACGTATTGGTCTAAAGAGAGAGAAGGACTTGGAATTTCCACGATAAAGTGTTGGTTGCCTTCGGGGATCCTGGGTTGAGGGGGAGTGATCGGAGGGCGAAGAGTATGCTTGGAATCATCGAGTTCGGAGCTTTTTCGCTTGTTGGTGGCGGGAGAAACGACCAGAGGAGAAGAGAATGTAGGGCCAAGATCGCCCAGTTTTTGAGAGGTCACGGAAGTAATTTTGAGAAAGCCATTTGGCAGTGATGGCTCGGGCTGGTAGAGGATATAATCAGTAAAGGACCTAATGATTGAGGCCATATTCGAGTTCGGAAGAGGTGGAATCACTTCGAAGTGGGGAAAGGAGATGTATAAGGGAGATGAAAGGAAGAAAGAGAGTCAAGGGAGGTCCGAGGTCGAGGAATGTTTTCCTTCCTTTGATATGTCGATCTGCCCAGGAAGGTACCCTCATAACCTTGGAACGTAGACCCTTATAAGGGCTGATAAGGTAGATGCAAATGAAAAGAAAAGAAAAATAAAATAAAACGGGAACTTACCGAGTCATCCACATCCTCCATGTCCGTATCTGCCGTTAAATCAATAAAATCCACAGGTGTTGGCATGTTGCTGTGCCTTGCAGGCTTGCAGGGTCCACCCCAGAAAAAGTGGTGGACCACCCCGGGGCAATACCAAACGACGCGTCCTAAACGCGTATAACACGGTTAGTCAAAAGTCACACACCTCAACTCCAACAAAAAGAAAAAAAAAAGATAAGATAGTAAGTGGAAATTATTGACAAGAGCAGCTTCCCAATCAGTGTAGGTCGGTAAGATAGATAAAAGTCGATGAAGAGGGGGGTGTTGGAGTGGAAGATGCTGAATCCTTACCTAGATACCTAGGCGCCAGTCGGGAAAGCTGGGAGGGGGAGAACCCGAGGGTGAGAAATAGCCCTGGGAGGCAGTGTGGGGCCTCAAATTGGCTTTCCTAAGGGTTGACAAGCAGCGACAACCTTGGAAGGCGTGGGCTGAGATCACCGTGCATTACGGTGACATTACTCCAAGAAATAATGGAAAGGGAGAAGCCTGAGAGGGCGGTCATGTGGGGGAGGGCGCTTGGACCAGGGGCTATATATATATGCTTAGTCATCGATGTTATCACCAGCACCTAGCCATATTTTGGAGATTGTGGCCTCAAATTGTATATAGAAAACTATGAGACTAAACAGGTCTTAATAAGCACAGGGAAATCAAATAAAGAAGAAGAAGATTGGTGTTTGCAATGTTTAGTAATACTATATTGATGGTATGAGTTGTTGTTGTTGTTGCTATTTTTATTTTGTGAAGGGGAGAAAGTCCTATATATATATTGAGTATTATAGCTACACCTAACTTTTATTATTATAAACACCCTTTGGATTATGGGTAGGCTTAGGCGATATACGGGCGCCATAAGCGGGGTATTAGGTGAGCTTAGGTGCCAAGGTAGGTACCATAAGCTGAATACGGGCACCACCTTAGATGTAAGCACGGGCGCTGTGAACCGAATATGGGCGCCACCTGCCGGTTGTTATAGCCGGAGTTTCGGCATGCTTTATAGGGGTTTAAAGTATTGTATAATATTCATAATATTCATAAAAACAGAAATGATAAAAAATTGGAGACAATTTTCAATTTTAGTGATCATGCTAGCTATTTTGATGTACAATTCGAAGCTCTCAGGGCAAATGTGTGGCTTGTGGAGTTTTGATTCAAAGCTTAGAGCACTTCAGAAAAGCTGTCAGTAAGTGGGTGCCAGGAGCCGGCAGAACTGCATCCTCCAGGCCCCACCAAGTCCTCAAGAAACTTTATAAACTAAATCAGGATTTGTACCACGACGAAAGCGATTTATACAAGAAAAGCACATTGAACATATAGAATACGCCCCCCCTATATCTATTGATATAACTATAAAATCTATACGACATTTGAGTCGACTTCTATGGCCTGTATAACTTTAGAGGCTATCTCTTCATATGAGGCTTGGCGCGGGAGGACGATCACGTGACATATATGAAGTGTCCAATCACTGCGCAGGACTACAGAACTGATCAACTGATGACTAAGCAGTATATTAAATTGACTATTGAATCTCAATTTGATGGACAGTTGAATAAAATAAGTATATAAGTATAAACAATACAAGTATAACCGATGATACAACTTGAATATCCGTGGATATTGTATACTCGGCCAAACTAGGAATCGTGTGGGGCCGCTTTAAGGTAGGTTCGCCTCAACCCCGAAGGCATTATACGCTATCCCTCTTTAGGACTAACTAAGCGCATCACATCGTATCGATGCCCTCCACCTCGAGGCAAACACGAACCTATCGCTAACCATCTCCCTCCTCGCCAATCTCAGCCTGGGAATCAGCGCCAAGCAGCCACTTGATCAGCCCCCCCAGAGTTCTTCTCGATCGCAATGTCGCCACATCTTTTCTTTCTTCTCAATGATCGAACTCGGGTCACTTCACGATCTTCGAATGATTTAACATGCCACCAGGGCTGTCAGACCTAGTTCTGGACACCCAAATTCGTGTGGAAATCCATCAAACACCTCATCAAATAGCCCACCATCGGTTTACTTTCGACTCGGGCACTTTGTCAGGAAGGTATGCCCGGCGTCGCGAGAGACAGCATGTTTGGATACAGGGTAGGCTACTTGGCCGTGGCTCCTATGGCAATGTGTATCTACACTCGTGTTCGACAGGAGATCGGGGTGAAACTGAGCTTCAAGCTGTCAAAACGATTGACAAGGCTCAGATGACCGCGCATAGGGTCAACTATCACAAGGAGGTAGAGGCTATTGCCAAGTTCTCGCAGCAAAAGGTCGGTCGGACACTTATTAAACATATTGACTATTGGCTGATGTTCTCTAGTACCACGGGCTCTTCGTCGAATTTTTGGGATGGTACGAAAATGATAAATCAGTGTTTATTACCATGGAATATATCGAGCATGGAGATCTCAGCGCTCATCTCAAACATCCACTACCCGAAGACGAGGCCAGGACAATCACATTCCAGTTGGTAGAGGGGCTCATGTTTCTCCACGCCAATGCTTTTGTGCATAGAGATGTGAAGCCAAAGGCAAGTCTTTCTACAGATACTCCACTCTTGAAGATCAGTGATGTCAAACTAACAGGATGCTAGAATATATTTGTTATTAAAATTGGCCCTGAATGGCGTGTCAAGCTTGGGGACTTCGGTATAAGCAAGCGCATGAGCGAGGACTCTAGCTTATGTAGTTTTGTTGGGACAAGGATATTTATGGCACCTGAGATGCAGGGTTTCTTACCCCCGGAGAAGAAGAGGAGAGTATAGCTTGGAGCTTCACGGAAAGCATTGATATGTGGTCTCTCGGTGTGACCACCTACTTCCTGCTGTTTCACGATTACCCTTTCTCGCTAGAGCAGTTACCAAGGCTCAAGCGATACGTTGCAGGAAGCGATTTTCCCTTCCCAGAGAACTTGATATCTCAGTCTTTGAGCCTAGGATGTCGTCGGTTTCTCGAAGCAGCGATGGGTCGGAATCCGAGGAATAGAATGTCTTCTAAAGAAGCTCTGGAGAGTGAATGGCTGAGTCAATTTGAAATCTACGCGGACCACGTTGAGGATATGCTTGTCTTCGATAGCGAGAGCCATGAGAGCTCACAGCACACATCCTCCATACCCGATCAGGACCAGGAGAGTCATTCAGCCCTTTCAAGTTCCCAGCGTGAGCCCGAAACAAACAAATCACTCGCTGAATCGGCTGTTCTCGCAAGCCTGACTCGGGATGTTACTCATAATACGTCTACAGCAACCGATCTAGAGAAAACTCTAGTTCCTCCTCACCATGAAGCTGACGACCCTAACCCTCCCCATGAGATGAGTTGGGATGGCACTCACTACACATCTCTAATACCCGATCAGGATGAAAATTCGGTTTCTTTCGAAGTCGAATGCAAAGCCATCAAACCCGCTGAGGCTAGTCCGACTCATGATGAGACCCCATACGAAATTCCTAGATCAAACCGTGAACATAGTCCAGTTGACTTCCAACTTCAAGCTGTATATGAAGCTATCAACAATGTGATGCCGATGAAGACAAATCTGGATTTGCTTCAAACCCCAGACACCTCGGCACATCCACAAAATGATATCACAATAAGATCGAAGATACCCCATATCCATCCGTCTGTTCCCGAAGAAAGTGATTACGGGGAAGATCTCAGTGATGGGAGTGTCGACGAAGTCCAACCGGAAGCGCGAGACACAGCACAACCAGCCGACCTCTCCACTTTAAAGGCTAAAAGCCCAGAAGTGATGTTAATTTCATCATCACCGTCGCCCCCAAAAAGAGATCGCACCCCGGAAGAAAGGGCCCTCCTAAATGGGACAAGAAATTCAATTTCCTCCAGGACCCGATGGAAATATGATTTGAAATCTAAGTCGTGGACAGCTTCCGATGAAATCGTTGCTTCTGTAGACGAGAGTCATGTTGAGACCAGTATCACCAAACCTAAGCATCAACATGCGCTGTCGGAGAAAGAAACAAGGCGTCCCCATTCCGTTGAGTCCCTGGAAACGGCTACGCGAAGGAGAGAGGAGAAGAGAGAGCAAAGCCATCTGAATACGGAAGAAGTCACACCCACGCCTCAACACTCTCATCAGGAGACTCTAAAATCATCAGATAGCCATCGCAAATCCAACAATGCAGAGCAAGATTCCACCTCTCCTGCAGCACCCCCCTCTCACTCTGCCGTCACAGAGAGCGAAGCCAAAGAACTGCAATCGAATATCGCAAATTTGTCTCATCTATTTAGCAAGGGAGAGCAGTTGGATGGTGAGAATCTACACGGCAAAGAACAATACGAAGAAGCCGAGGAATTGATTGAAGAGCTTTTCAAAATCCAAAGAGATGGCCTAGGAATGAAGAACGAAGCAACGCTGAAAACAGCCTATCTCCTCGGGCAGGTCTGTTCTCGATTGAACAAATATGAAAAGGCATACTCATACTTTCAATACGCGACCGAAGGGCAACATGAAACCCTTGGACCATATCATCCCGATACCCTCCTCTCATTGAACGGAGTTGGCTGTGTAGAGATCGACCGGGGCAATCTGAGAGCGGCCGAAGCAATTCTCAGAAAAACGATCAACGCCCAACAGGCTATTCTTGGACCAAGACACGATGACACCATTCATACAGGCTATATGCTTGCCCTTATACTTTTCAAAGAAGAGAAGTGGGCGGAGTCACGCTTTCACTTTCAGCCCCTGATTAGTCAAAGACGCGGCACTGCTGGAGAAGCAACAAAAGCCATGAGGCAAAGCTTGGCTAGAAGCGGCTTTGCCTCGTTTGAACTCAAAGAGTACAACATGGCAGTTGAATTTTTGACAGAGGCACTGCACTCACCGAAAGCCTCGCACAAAGGTATCATCAAAGTGGCATTTGTATTAGGCGAATCTCTCTACCATCTGGGACGATACGCGGAGGCGAGAGCTAGCTTCGAGGAAGCCATTCAATCGGCTAAATATGTGGGAGTTACAACACGCGAAGATTTAGCCCCTTTTCATATGCTTGCGCATTGTCTAATAGTGATGGAGGAGTACGAGAGCGCGAGAGCTGCCTACGTCACTCTATCTGAGCAACAGAAAATAATTCTTGGTCCGGCACACGAGGAAACATTGGATTCTATGTATGTCGTGGGGTTGGCATCCACCAAGATGGGAGAGCATGAAACCGCCGAAGCGGTGTTCCAGGAGGTTCAAAGGATTGGATTTTCGGCTTCTGGTGCGAAGAGTGCTGTAGCTCTGCGCGCCACTCATCATCTCGGCATAGTGCAGAAGGGAAGGAAGCAGTACAAGCTGGCTGAGAAGAGTTTCGAGCTAGCGAGGGACGGACGGGCTGCATTATTTGGCCCCACCAACGAAGATGCCCTTAATAGTCGCTTTTGTCTTTGTCGTATGCAGATCGAGATGCGGCACTACGAGGCTGCGGAAGATAATTGCCGTGAGGCTTTGAACTATGAGACCGAGGCCCATGGACATCCTCAAGATCGCACCTTGGAGAACCTCAAACAGCTTGCAGAGGCATATTTCGCGGAAACGCTCCTTGAGAAGGCGGCTTCGCTGGGTGAACTTTTGGTGCAGAAAAGGAAGGAGAAGAACGGAGGGACGGATACAACCACTATAAAAGCAGAGCAGTTGCTTGCAGATATTCATCTTTCTATGAAAACAAAGATAGCAGATTTGGAATTGGAACAGGAGAAGGCGAAGCAGAGGGCACAGCAAAGGGAGAATCTACGACAGTTTGAAATGGAGAAGTCAAGGGAGCTGCAGATGGAACTGGCTACAAAGGAGCAGAAAAACAGAGGTCCAGCATGGCCAAAGTCTCTGAGGGCGAAGATAAGGGCCATAATGGATGACTAGTGGCCAGAGGAGTAAGTCGAGGTGGTAGGAATTGATGTACAGAATTTTGTCTTTCACGAGAAATAATACACGTCCCTCGAGAATCTTCTATACTGTCAAGTATTGTTTATACGAGATGTATCAAAGTCCACGGGTCAACAAGAGACATAATCGAGAATCCCCCCATCCATGGATGGTTTCAAAAGCGAGGTGGTTCCACCAACAAACGCCCACTTCCAACAAGGCTCTAACCGAGAAATTAACCCAATTTAACAAACACACCAAGATTACCCCCAAAATTCAAACTAAAATCCTCCATCGCGATTATCAGAAGCTCGCCCACTGACTAACCCCAAAATCGTAAGCCCTGCGGATACAAGGCTGCAACTTTCGTGAACCCTTCCCTCCCAACGGCAGTGCAGCAGCGGCCCCCACAATAATGGCGGAGCATCTATTGATAAACACTCTACGATTGGCACATTTCCAAGCGGATCCCGAGGCGCATTCAAATTCGATCCAGTGTCAGACAAGTCCACTTGTTCGGGAATTGAGTTGTGCAGCCCGAAAGTCCTACCGGCCGTACTCGTACTAGAGCTACCGACACCAAAGAAGCACAGTCTGTGATCTTACTCAATACTTGGATCCTGACACCCCTGCAGGAAATAACTACTCATATGAAAAGGGAAAAAAAAGGCAAAAGCCAAGAGCACATACTAGTATGGATTCGCAATATTCATACTCAGCAATAAACGATCAGCGCAATGCGCAAAATGTGCCACCACGCGACAATGACAGCCCAAGTCCTGAACCAGGATACGCACCTCGAAACAACATCGCATCACCGATAGAAGTATCGCCTCTCTCGACTCGGAATCGCGGCCATTTCCATGAGATGTTTTCAGAGCCGCGCACATCAGACGATAATCCAGACCTACAACAGCTCCCCACCCTCCCCATATCAAGCGAGCCGATTTCCGAGCACAAAAAGCGACATTCAGGACGAAAGTTTGACAGGGTTGGATCATGGACCTGGGAAGTCGGGGGATGTGTGCTGAGCATCGCGAGCATCGCGCTTCTTGTCGTGTTTCTTGCACATGTCGATGGCGAAAAGTACGCGAGCTGGGAACGTTCGATCTCGCCGAATACAGTCGTTTCTGTGATATCTACCGTCGCGAAAGCTTCAATGCTTGTGTCTGTTTCGTCTTGTCTGAGTCAACTCAAATGGATTACGTTTCACAATCCGACTCCGTTTTACCACATGCAAGTGCTTGACCAGGCTAGTCGTGGTCCAGTAGGTGCGTTGGAGTCTCTCTGGACGGTGAAGCCGGGATTGGCAACTGTCGGAGCGGGCTTGATGATTCTCGCCGTTGCGTTTGACCCATTTGCGCAGCAGATATTGTCGTATCCTTCTCGACGTTTGGAAGACGAAAACGGAACTGCTACCGTCCAGTCTGCGCATCAATATTGGCCGTCTTGGGCTAGAAGTGTCGCGCCCCAAATCGATATTCTGAATATCACGACAGGAGGACTCGAGCCATCAATGCAAGCTGCGATTTTCAATGGGCTGTCCCAATCAAATGACAGCCCTCTGAACCCTATTTGTCCCTCTGGTGACTGTGAATACGACGATTTTGTGACATTGGGCGTCTGTTCTCAATGCAAGGACGTCACGAACGAGGCCAATCAATCCTGCACACCGAGTACAGACCAGCATAAACTCTACACTCAGGAATGGATGGCCCAGATCCCGCTAGATTGCAAGTATACGACCTCAAGCGGAGCTTCAATAACACCGGGGATTTGGGTTGACGATGCTAGGTGGGTATCACAAGACAATTATTCAGCCTTTGCCATTCCGAACCTGTGGTCTGCTGTCAGCCTAGCGAATGGATCTACTATTGAAGAGGGCGATCGAGCTCAAATTGTCTCATTCCTGAGTGCCAGATACGAAGGGGGACTAACGACGTGGACTTCTAAAAATAGCACGACGGCAGAGAATAAGCCTACTCTGACGGAGTGTTCGGTGTCAATGTGTGAAAGAAAATACAGTCAAAAGCGCCAATCGAATCATGACGATGGAATCCAAAAAATGGAGGTGGCTGAGACTCAGGATCTTTACCTGGGCGACAATATCGCATCGAACATTACTGGGGTGTGGTTATCAACGCTCGTCTCGCCCAATCATACCAAAACTCTCTCGCCAAACTCGAATTATACCATCGAAAATAGTACTTGGGCTGATCTATCCCGTACTCTAACCGGAATTTTTAATTCAACCCTCTATACGGCAGACGCACGAACCATCGAAAAATCAATCACAGGATTAACTCCCCTCCTCACACTATGGAGCAGCTCCAACTTGACCGACTCCGTGACCTCGATTACAAACAGCATGACAGATCACATCCGATCCAGCACATCTGCGAAACAACTCCCAGGAACAGCATTCCGCACAGAGACATACATTCATGTCCGCTGGCCCTGGATCGCACTACCTGCAACCCTGGTTCTCCTCGCAGTCGCGCTGCTGATGGTCGTTTCGGTGGAGAATCGCAAGTATAGCACCCTGCTTTGGAAATCATCCGTGCTCCCTTTACTCATGGGAAAAGTGCAGATCAATTCAGAGCATGAAATAGATACGCTGCAGACTGTCACGGATGTGCAGGAGGAATCGAAGAAGATTCGTATCGCTGTAGAGTGTGAGGCTCCTTGTCCTGATTTCATTGAACGGTGAAAATTGGGCGTTTGTTTGGCGTTCGACTTCGAGTCCAGCTTGTTGTACGCCTATACAAGTATCCTGATGTAGAAATGTTATAAAAACTTGAAAATTGGTTTAATATTCATCCACTTCACGTTCATCCGAGTCGCAACTCGATAGCTGGCTCGCTTGTACTTGGTTCTCTATCTAACGCCCGGCGGGAACTGTGCGAGCCCTGGAGTTTGAGATGACCCTTCAAACGGATTTACCCACAGGTATTCATATTATGTCGTACTTAATCTGGGAATAGATATAGAAATACGGAGTAGCCAGTCCTTGTACGGATGGATTTCATTGGTCCACTGCTGCGCACCACCTTCTATAAACTGCAGTTGTGATGGTCGATCACCCGCTCAACGGTCAGATCCATAGTATGGACCCAAGCAACCTAAAGAAAGCAACCTGCAGATTCTCCGTTCTGCTCTGTTCCACTCCACTCTACAAAAATCTACGGAACCGAATAAAATACCAAGGCTCTGATCCATAGAAACATCGCATTCAACATCATTCAAAAGATAGAGAAGGGGGATGAAAAAAACAACAGACAACAATCAATCCCACTCAAAGCTGTACAACGCCGATTTCCCGCACCGTGAGGAAGAGATCATGGGGAACGAACGCGTAGAAAGAAATACATGATGAGTCTTCACTTGGCTCTAATGTACATCATGAAGACTTTCGTGGTGGAAGAAGGCCCGGTTCCACCCTGAGAATGGCTTGGAATGGGCCACTAGTATATGCTGCAACGAGTGTGCGCGAGTGAGTAGACGGAAGGAAATGCAGAGCAGACCGGAACAATGGGGCTAAAAGATGAAAAGGGAGGGGGAGGAGGGGTTGGCAAGGACTGCTTTGACATGCAAGGTGTGAAGACAAATGATAATATGGTCATGCGGATGCGTCGTTGATAAATGTACCTGGTTTGCGATTTGACGGACAGGGTACCACCAGGATATGTGTGTCCACAAGCGGGATTATATGCTTTTTTCCCTTTGTTGATCGCAACTCCTTTTTTTCTCGTTGGGTCAGGCTAGGCGAGTAGATGTTGCATCACAGGCGCAAGGCATCTAGGATCTTCTTCGCCATTTCTCGATATTGCCACATACCACCGGAAACCTTCTTGAACTGAATACCGTGCAGCGAGAACAAAGGAACCTTGACGATAAGGATTTCAAATCGTAGAACAAGGTTCTCACCGGTGTCACTTTGGACTCGGGTGGTAGTTTCGCCAACAACACGGTCGCCAACTGCGGGTTGGGGCTGCTCTCGAGCAACGTATTCCTCGGATCCGTCCGAGTTTGTCGTGAAACTACGGTCCGGTTGGCCCTGGGTGCGACGTTGTAGTCTGGCGCCACTGCGGCTGTCATGTCGGCTGTCGTCCCGGGAATCGTCATGTCCAAGAAGACCACCGAAGCTAATGCGGCGACGGTGCGAGATCTGACCCTGTCGATCTGGACTGGGAGGATTAACATCAACAACCTTATCGAGGTCAATGCTAGGGGCATGGCGACAGCTGAAACCACCCTTAATCTCGACATACTCCACTGCTAGCTGCCTCAGAACGCGGATAATGTCCGCCCGGATAACAGGTAGGGGCTTGCTGCTGGTGGTCGACACACTGAAGAGACCTTTGAGGTAGACGGGCTTGGACAGATCCTCTCCCTCGTTGGCACTCTCCAGTGCCGTGCCTGCGCCAGAGATATCTGCATCGGTCTCCTCTGGCACATTTGCCTCTCTGGCAGCCTCTCGTCGAGCCCGACGAGCTTGGATGCTCTCTCGGCGTGCGTGACCAAGGGACATAGTCCGGGCAGTGTGTGTGCGAGTACTGGGTCTCAGGCCAGTTTGGTCAGGCTGACTATTCGGACCAATCTGATCAGACCCACTAGTCGAAGGAGGCTGAGCAACGTCCAGCGTATCAGCATCACTTCTCCGAGCGGCTCTGCGAGGTCGGTAGTCGGCAGAGTTGACGCTGGTAGATCGGCCCAGGAACTTTGACTGCGAAGATTGTTCACTCGAGCCTGGGGCGGCGAGGAAGTCTTGTTGAGGCTGGCTACCACCAGGTGTGAGGGGGGCCGCCGGATCAGCACGTCGAGTGCGTCTCACGCTAAATCCGCGATGCATAGGAGACGCGGAGTCGGCAGGAGGTTGAACATTCAGCGTAGGTGTGTTCGGAGTACTGATACGCTCGCGTTCGACATCGCGGCTGCGATCCTTGGTCCTACGAGTGCTGAAACGTCTCAAGATACCTGCAGCAGTGCTTTCCTTCTTAGCGGGAGTATCGGGGTGCATCGCACTTGGCACGGCGTGAGCTGAAGGTGAGTGCGTGTGTAGGCTCTTCATGCCCTCGGTGACTTCATCTTCGCCATGGGTTCTGGCCCGTGGGCGAGATCGACGGCCAATATCTTTCTCTCCAGGAAGTTGGTACTGGTTGGTGTGTGCAGCCTCGGGAGGTGCCACTGGAGGCAACTGCTCTTCACCGGCGGCCGGACGGATACCAGGGACACTCGGGCGGGTTTCGGCCCGCTCTCGGTCCAGCTTCTCCTTCACAAGGTGATAAACTGAGACCAGGGGACTGTAGGCGTTCAAAGGATCATTGCCCAGCTGCACCGCCTCAGCAGAAGGTGCCGACAGGGTATCACGGCTAGCAGCGGAGTTACGTCGTTTGTAAAAGTCGAAGACGCCGCGCTTCTTCTCTGCCTGATTGGCAATTGGCTGTTCACGGAAATTAAGTCGGACTGCATGTTGATACTCCTCCGACTCCAGCACCTTGATCAGTTGAGCTTCAATATAATCTGGAGGGCCGAAGTCAAAGCCAGTCATTTTCTCGATGACCTCTTGGTCCAATGGCAGCTGCAGTGGATCGCGGTGGGCGAGGTGGTTTTCTGGGGGTGCACTGAAGTTTTTGTTCATCCAAGGGTGGTTCATGATCTCGTTCAAGCTCGCGCGTTGCTTTGGATCAGTGACCAGCATGCGAGAGATGATGTGGCGGCATTCTGAGGAGAATTGTTAGTAGCGATCGAAAGGCATGAATTTTCGAAATAGACAAACCAGCAGTCAGTCCAGGTGGATATTCGACCACACCCTTCTTAATCTTGGCATGGAGCTGAGGCATGCTCTGGTCGTCAAACGGCACCTTGCCGCAGACCAGAACATAGAGAACAATTCCAAAACTCCACACATCAACTTCGGGTCCCGTGTATTGTCTCGCCTGGAGCAACTCAGGCGCAGCAAAGTAGAGACTGCCGCAGAATGTCTTGAGGAGGCTCCTCGGAGAGAACAGATTACTGAGGCCGAAATCGATGATCTTGATATCGCCGGTTTTGCTGATTAGGATGTTCTCGATCTTCAAGTCACGATGGACAATACTGTTGCGATGGCAGTAATCGAGGGCACTGGCGATTTGTCGAGCGAATTTGCGAGCCTGCTTCTCCTTCAACTTGCCGTGAGAGATGATGTAGTCGAGCATTTGGCCACCATTGACATACTCGAAGAGCATGTACCAATGATATGTTGTCCGTACCACATCCCGCATGCCACAAATGTACGGATGGCTCACCAGGCTAACAATGGCGGCTTCTCGAGCGGTTCGGATTTCTTTTGATCGGTCGGCTCGTTCGGTGTCGCGGCTATTGCGATGTTCTTCGGTCGAGAGTCGGGGGACGATCTTGACAGCAACCTGCGACCGGAATTAGTACACCGCGACCCATCACATTTCATCACACCGCGCATCGCTCAGTGATTTTAGATAATCATATTCAAAGGGCAATATTTACCTGCTCGCCAGTTTCCATATTCTTGGCCAACTTCACCTTGCCCATGCTCCCCGCACCGATGGTCTTCCCGAGCGCCCATTGGCCCGTTGGTGTGGTGATAGTCGTGCGACGCCTAGGCTGGGTAGAAGAAGGTTGGGAGCCTTGAGCGCCGGTCGCATTCTGGGAAGAATCCGCAGCGCGCTCAGGCGCAGTGGTGCCAGCGGTGTCCATGCTCTCTCGCTTGTGTCCTGATGATGAAGGGTTTCTAGAGTGTCGTCGGGTAGACTCGGTCCGGGTTGCGGTGGATGGGCGTTCCTGCGAACGCTCGGAGGAAGGCTCACGACGAGACGGCATCCTGGCAACGTTGGAAGCTTCGAAATCGCGACGGGCGATAGTGTCTAGAGCGGCATGATTGGAGGGGGGCCGACGGTCGTGGGAGGGGGTCTTGGAGTGTGAATAGTGAGAGTGTGGAGGGGGCTGGGAGGAGTTGGTGGATCGGACCGCCACGCTTCTAGTGCGATGGGGTAGATCGGACTGGACAGCTCTAGACGGCCGGGAAGAGGTCGAATGGCTGCGAACCACTGTGGATGAGTTGGCAGGGGCCGACATGACCGGTTTGCCGGGTCGAGTCGAGGTGAGATGAGGTGGGTGGATTCAGGTGAGTTGTTGGAGCGGTCAATGTCAACGTCACCGTCACCGTCACCAAGTGGTGGGGGAAGAGGAGGAAGAGGAGGAGAAAGAAGCCGTGAGGCCCCACGAGGAGCGATCAGGATAATCTCCTGAGAAGGGAGAAGGGAGGAGGGGGGAACGGTAAAGGAAGGATGAAAGGGCGGGGGATGGAGAAGCGCAAGATGATGTTGGCCTGCACTGCACTCGACTGGTCACGGGAGTTCCGTACTTGGAGTAGTCTACAGAGTGACTATACTAGTAGTGAACCTAGGCATAGTTATAGTGTAGTATATAGTATAGTAATTTGTATTATTTGATACTTCAAGGTATTCCAATAGTTTTACTTTAGTATACAAGTGCTAGTATTATTTATCCCTGGACACTTACTACTCTGATTGAGTTCCAAGGTTGTACCACTCCAGACTGCGAGTCGATGATATAATGGCGTCAGGCACGAACCGAGTATCCACCCAGACCCCTTTATACTACTAGTACTCCTAGTAGTGCCTATCAACTTGAAGTTCAAGTTGTCTAAATGAATAAGCATTACTTGAACTTATAATTTTACATTACAGTACTAATTTATAGCATAATTTTATCCATATACTAATTGGCGTACATTATAGTATATCACTCATAGTTATCAGTACCGTAAACTGGTACCAGAGGTCAATTGCCAGGAACTTGAATACTACTAGTTAGCTTTCAGAATGAATAAAATGAATAGTACTATCACTACTAGTACTAGTAGTTCTACTTTAATACACATTCACATTTTCAACCACACTATCTCCATCTGTCGTCCCCTTTATCCTCTTCGGCTTTCTCCTTCTCCTCCTCTCCCACCTATCTATCTCGACCAATAAATACTAGTAAACACGAATGCTACTAGTAAGTCCTATCACAACACCCTCTTCATGCATTTCTTCCCGCATCCTTCTTCAACACCCTAAATGACCCCAATAACTCACTCAGCACCCGCTCCCTTCACCCCAGAGTTCATATCCTCCTCAGACTCAACAACTCCCCTCGCATGCTCTACAAAGACCAAAAGACGCTGGCGCCGATGATATATATCACTTAGATCAGCTCGAAGCTTTTTCTCCGCATAATTGTGACCAGTGATCAAGATAAGCATGAAGAACGTCTCAATGATGCTGGGAGGAACATTCGAGATCAATTGACCTGTCAAGCTCCACTTCATCGCGCTAGAAGCCACAATACATCCCAAAGTGAGAATCAACCCAGCAACAACCATAAGCAGATGCGAACTGATGGTGTTGATATAGTGAGACACGCGCTGGCTGAGCGAGGGTGGTCGAAGTTCAACTCGAGGCACGGGTACCGATAATCCGGAATACAGATCCATATCCTGCTTCTCGAGACTAACAACTTGCTCAGTGACATACTCATTGACCTTGCTTTGGACATTCCGCAGTACAAAACTGTCGAATAGACCGACCAGTCCGGCATAAGTTCCAATCAGCAACCACCAGGTATTGTTGAACTGGAATACAGGTCCAACAGCCACCCAGGCAATGATAACAAGGACCAGGATGATGATTCCCACTAGCGTGCCAATGATATCCGCATAATAGTAAATCACCATTTGGAGATAACTTTCCTTTGGCGGCGCGATGGTGACCGTTAGATTAGGCAGTTCATCCTGACTGACACGACGAAGCTCTCTCTCCAACTTGGCGTCCAATTTAAAAATCGAAGCCAGGCAGATATTGGTTTGGTCGGCAAAGCACTCGCGCAGACAAGCAAGGAATGCGAAGACAAGAATCATGAGTGCTGACGTCGCGTCGTTGATGTACAATTGCCACCGACTAGACCACTCGCACTGAGGGCCAAACCCCAGCCAAATGAAGATGCCCACCCAGTACAGACCAACAGTAGAAACATGACCAAACGCCTTGGCTGACCAGCTAACCAAGCGAGGGAAAAGACCCGCGGCACGATCCAGACCATCAAGCGGGGGCAGGGGCTCGTCTTTGCAGAGTTCAGCTGCGCGGGCGATTCCCTTTGGTCCTAGCTTTCCCTTGACAGTCTCTAGCATACGACGGTGGCTGGTGCAACGGGATTGAATTTGGACCATGGCTTCCTGTTGCTCAGAGTATTCGCGGAGAAGTTGGCGCATGAGCAGCGAGTCGTAAATGTAACATAGAATGGCTTGCACGTCGGAGATAGCAGCCACCCAGACGTCCGAATTACCGAAGCGAATTCCCAGCAAGGCCCAGGTAAGTAGGCCTGCAACGATGAAGAGGAATACGGGGGCCGACCCAGCAAAGCGGACAGATGCATCCAGCCATCGGTCTAGGAGGCGCGGGCTGGACTTGGCCTTGTAGCCGGCATCATCGCTTTCATCAATAGTTGCTAGGACGTGGTCAGAGCCGGCCTTTTGCTGCACTTTGCTTGCACAATACTGTGTCTCTGCAGTGCCTTCGATCGCACACCGGAAGATTGGGCTGAGGAATTTCATCGTGGGCAGATATCAACGAGACAGTCAGGTTGGTTTGGTATCAGAGTTGCAGGGTCTTAGGGTGGTTCTAGTTCTTCAACAGAGCGGAAGCAGATTTTCTTTTGCCCAGCCAGTGTGTCTGGGATGAAGAGGCCGGTTGAGAGAGATGTGTTCATCGAGTGGTGATAATTAGCCATTCGGCTTTGAAAAAAAGAAATGAAGAGGATGGAGTTTGAAGAATTGATAACGTTTGAAATTGGAGGTGGTTCCTGAAAAGTCGATACCAGAAGTGAATGTGGAGACAGAAAGAACTTGAAAAGATTCAGTAAAGATTTGAGGGTACAATATTGAGTGGAAGAGAATTTATGGCCGGAGATGGGAAATTCGGGAAATTCGCGCATTCTGTATAGTTAGGGCAAGATAAGGTTAGCTCACCGTCTAAGCCATCAGCCTTGCAAATTTTCTTCCACCGGGGCTGTTTTTTCTTAGACTCGCTTCAAGCTGCCGCTGTCTGTATAACTAATCAAGGGTCTCGCCTAATCCTGACCTCCGGGGTTCTTCTACTCTGTTTAGTCCCTAGCAAAATTTGCGCATTAGAGTTTGCGGGACTTTTCCCAGCCTGACATGACACGAGACGTTGGGTCCGCATCTATGGGACGGCTGGAGCCAGGCAACCGCATAACTGGTTCAACAAAAATCGTCAGACCTGCTTCCGGTTTGCATTAATCAAGCTTTTTAAGCCGATCCACCATCCCATAGAGGTCAAGGCGCGGGTATGAGGAACGGCGTGGCCGGGGTCCAAGCAGTAGAGATTGAGGTATGAGTCAAAACCATTCTTAGATTGATTGATCTGGGTTCAAATTGGGCACCATTGAGTCAGAAGACGAAACCGTTCTTACACATAGGTGATCACTTCTGTCATGGAAATTTGCTAAGGCATAGATTCTCCAGGCGAAAGGCTGGCGCTAGGCAACGAGGTTACTTGCATCCTAACTACCCGACGAACTGCTTAAGCACAATATGCGCTTCTACCCAGAAGAAAGGTCAGCCCTAAAAGATAATTGTCATTTAATTTGCCAATCGACCCCCAAGCTACCAGACCAGGACAAGACATTGCTTTAGCATGCTACAGCACGGGGCACCCACCACGTCACTTTCAGCGACCAGTTCACCGACATCCTAGGATCCGTGTCAAATGATCGGTCCCCGATGAATCTAATTTGATAATTTGTACGAAGATTGAGATGATTGAGTTCGGCGTGACTCGATAGGGTTAGTAACAGTTAAACGTGGTTCGGAGGAAGAAAATGAGCTGGAACTAAGTCGTCATCTGTTTCAAATTGTCTACTTGTATAAAGTTTGAATACCTACCTAGTTAGCTTCTTGAAAAAATAGAATTTTTGAAGTGATGTGCCTTAGGCCCTACAGATCAGCCTCAGGCTATACTAGTTACCTATATCACTCTTCTTGTCTAGTAACTTGGGATCTATCACACATGATTATCACACACTTCCATCGCAATTCCATCCAGTCTCCATAGTAATATGCATCAAAACAGCAGATTGCGGTTATACCGAGCCACAGCTAGCTCAGTGCCATCAATGACGCAATTGGATTTCACGTGTTTATGTGGTTTTACGCAGATTTCAACTTGAAGAATTGGGGTCAGTTGAGGCATTGAATACCCCAGGCCTCACATATCGCCTTCTATTGCTCCATATCTCTACTCATCTCTCTCAAACACCACTATTTTCATCGTTGTGCGCTTCTTTCATGAAACAATAAAAATTTAGTCAAATTATCATGCTATTCGTATACTGCATTACAGCTCAACTGATTACATCCATATTCGCTCCCTCAATCCGAGCCCACATACTGGGACCTACTTCCTAGCAAAAGGCCAAACCCAATTCCGAATATGCTCGGGATCAATACCATTCTCAAAAGCCTGCGCCTTACCTGCCAACCTCGCATTAACAAGCTTCTCCCTCACACTCGAAGCCTTATTGACCAGTTCCGGAATAAGATCAATCGCATCAATCGCAAGACTATACCGATCCGTGCCATTGCGCATAGCCAATTCGAATGGGGTATCGATGTTGCCCTTCTCCCTGTAACCCCGCACATGCAGGTTCTGCTGTCCCGGTCGCTTATAGGTCAAGCGGTGGATGAGCCAGGGGTAAGAGTGGAAGTTGAAAATGATGGGCTTGTTATCCGTAAAGATAGCCTTCCATTGTCTATCGGGCATACCGTGCGGGTGGTGGATTCCGGAAATGAGTCTGAAGAGGTCGACGACGTTTACGAAGCGGACCTTTAGATCGGGGAGGTTTTCGCGCAGGAGCGCTGTTGCGGCCAGTGCTTCGTGAGTCGAGACGTCGCCGCAGGACGCGACTACGATGTCTGGTTCGGCACCTTGGTCGTTACTGGCCCAGTCCCAGATTCCGAGACCCTTTGTGCAGTGCGCAATTGCTTCATCCATGCTGAGGAATTGGATGTGATCTTGCTTGTCGGCTACGACAACGTTGACGTAGTTGACGCTGCGGAGGCAGTGGTCCATGACGGATAGAAGAGTGTTACCGTCGGGTGGGAGGTAGATCCGGACGACCTCTGGGCTCTTGTTGGCGACTACATCGAGGAAGCCGGGGTCTTGGTGGGTGAACCCGTTGTGGTCTTGTCTCCAGACTGTGGCCGTGATCAGGATGTTGAGAGAGGCAACCTTAGCCCTCCATTCGACTTCCAGGCACTTCTCGATCCACTTGCAGTGCTGGTTGACCATTGAGTCAATGACATGGACGAATGGCTCGTAGCTATTCAGCAATCCGTGACGTCCAGACAGGATGTACCCCTCAAGCCAACCTTCGCAAGTATGTTCACTGAGAATCTCCATGACCCGACCATCAGGCGCGAGATTTCCGCCGTCTTTGTCTTCGTCAAAATAATCGCCCATCCAAACCTTCTTGCCTTCCTTGTAGACCTCGGCAAGTTTATTAGACTCGGTCTCATCAGGCCCGAAAAGACGGAAGTTCTTATTCTTGCCCACAACGTCACGCAGGAACTTGGCCATGTTTGCCATGCCGCCCTTGATAGTCTTCCCAGGAACGATATCCCTGAGGGCATATTCTCGGAAGTCGTTCAGGATTAGCGGCTTGCGCAGAATACCACCATTGCCAACAGGGTTGGCACTCATTCTGGCATTGCCGGTAGGAGCAAGCTCTTTAAGCTCGGGAATCAATGAACCATTCTGGTCAAAGAGAGCCTCAGGCTGGTAGCCCTTCATCCAGTTCTCCAATACCTTAAGATGACCCGGGTTGGTCGCGACATCGGTGATGGGAATCTGATGTGCCCGCCAGAAGCCTTCCAGGAATTTGCCGTCGACGTCTCGCGGGGCAGTCCATCCCTTAGGAGTGCGGAGAACAATCATCGGCCAGCGAGGACGGAATGCCTTCTTCGACGAACGTGCTTGCTGTTGGTATTCCCGAATCTCCTGTACACACTTCTCGAGGGTCGCAGCCATGGCTTGATGCATGGTATCTAGATCACTTCCCTCAACAAAGTATGGTTTCCAGCCGTATCCAGCCATCAGGGCCGTCAATTCTTCGTGACTGATTCGAGCAAGGACTGTCGGGTTATTGATCTTGTAGCCATTGAGGTGGAGGACTGGTAGAACGGCGCCGTCGACGATTGGGTTCAAGAACTTGGTGCTATGCCAGCTCGTCGCGAGAGGACCGGTTTCGGATTCGCCATCACCGACCATGGTCAAGGTAATAAGATTTGGGTTGTCAAAAACCGTACCAAAGGCGTGGGAGATGGAGTAACCCAGCTCACCACCTTCGTGAAGACTGCCGGGGGTTTCGGGGGTAGCATGACTTCCAATTCCACCGGGGAAAGAGAACTGCTTGAAAAACTTCTTCATGCCATCCTCATCTTCGCTCTTGTCGGGATAGACCTCAGTGTAGACACCTTCAAGATATGAGTGGGAGATAATTCCGGGAGCACCGTGACCAGGACCGGAAACGAAGAGTACGTCAAGGTCGTACTTCTTGATCAGGCGGTTCATGTGTAACCAGGTGAAGGATTGACCCGCGTCGGAACCCCAATGACCCAAGAGTCGTGCCTTGAGATGCTCCACCTTGAGGGGCTCCTTGAGAAGAGGGTTTTCGCGGAGATAAAGCATGCCGAGACAGAGGTACAGACTGGCGCGGAAGTATGCGGTCATCTTGCGGACCTCCTCGGCATCCAGAGGTTTTCCTTGCACGGTTGAACGAGCCTCCCCATAGGCGGATATGCTCTTCGCCGGTGAAGCCATGTTGGAAGCCAATTCGATTAGTCTGGGTGGTGCAGATTGTGGGCTTTGAAATTGTCAGCAACAATGTATGATGTGGTGTGATATGGTGTGATGTGGTGTGGTGTGGTGCGGATGTTAATGAAGCGTGGAGTGAATTGGTAGTCGAGAAGGGATTGATTAAAGAGGGGAAGAGGATTTAAATGAAAAAATGAACAAAGTACGAAGGAAGAATCCGGTAAATTGAGGACATGGGCTGATGTATTGTCTGCGCGTGGTTGGATCGGGAACTCGCGGTTCAGTCAATGACGTGTGGGCAGTCAATGAGCGCACCACCTCCAACATGATTCATGATCGGCCCATTTTAATTGACACATGGCTAGATTTCCGGCTGATTACTAGACAACCAATTATCTTTGAACGGTAAGTACAGACCATCACTAGATAAACTAATTAAAATCCAAAGTCTTGGGGTAGCTTGGTAGTTATCCGAGAGCGGCACAAGTTACCTAGGTGCAAAGTTATGTACCTAGGTATTCCACCATCCCACGGAGTATCCTAGCAAATTACGCCAAGGTGGCCGGTACTAGTTACCAGTACCTTATCGGACAATGCCAGATCAGAGGTCACTTGGGCATATCCTTAAACTACACGAGGCACCCCGTGGGATTGTCGCTTGCTGTATCCACAAGTGGGTCTATCAAACTTTGTGTTTGTTGATCGACCCTCGGGTGTTGCCGTACATTAGTTAGTTACTGCTAATTGTGTGTATAAATAGATCTCCCCAAAGCTTCAGGTTCTAGGATTGAGTCTCTTGGTTATTTTGACACTTAATTCCAATGCTACTTCTAATAGATCCTAGATGTGCCAGTTCGCATCGCATGCTTATCAACATATAAGGATTTCGGCTAAACTTTCCAACAGCTCGTCGTTCAAGCCTTCGGGCGCTCGGGCAAGTCCTGCTCATTGGCAGCCTCTTCCGGCTTCTTCGCACCGGGGTGACGAGAACCTCTATCCTTGATCTTCTTCTGCTTCTTCTCAGGGGGAGGGTAGGCCCGTAGGTTGATCTCTTGCCATTCCTTGTCGGCTTCGAAGGCGGCCTGGATGGGGCCCATCAGCTCGGTCAGCGCGGCGGTGACACCTGCCTTAAGGATTTGTGGGGTCAACTGAGACAGCATTAGCAAGCTTTCGGAATTCTAGTGTAGAAGCTGAATATCACATACGATATCGTTTGCGTAGTCGGTCTTCAGGGATTCGATATCACTGTAAACCAGGTCCTCCTCATCCTTGCGTGGGCAGCGGAATTCCTTCTTGCCCTTAAGGCTGGAGACTGGGAGGAAAGTGAATTCAACCATGGAGATAAGACCGTTATCTTCCACAATTTTGGGAGCAGCCTCGGCCTTGCGAATCTTCTTGGAGACAACGTCAAGGTTGTCGAGGAGGTCAATTTTGCTCGCTGGAAAATGATTATTAGTACAGTCGTTACAAATGATCGCAATATCAAATTCGCTTGCCTTCTTCAGATGAACTCATCTTTCCTCCTTGGAGACCAGGTACCATGGGAGTAAGGGCGTGTCTATCAGACATTAGTATTATTTCCTATAAATCAACAGGCCAGGGAGAACACAGACGCGCGTTTTCGGTAGCCGATCTTAGGAAGCCAGTCAACAGCTGCCGCGAACAACTTCCTCTGGTCCAGGCCTTTTTATTCATGTCAGGTTAGGCTAGAGTTGGAGACATTTGATATTTGCAACATAACATACCTCCTAATTCGACGTCGCAGTTGAGGTACTTGTGATGTGATCAGCTTGCGCGTGCGAGAGAACTAACAACGGGTACTCACTTCTTCATCAAGGACTTGTAGGATCGAGTAAAGGAGTCCGGATAACGGAGCGTTGGAGCTTTGTTTAACGATTTCCGCGCCAGCCTTCTTTGCGTCGTGCTCGCTTGTGACCGAGGAGAGCTTGTAGACGTCCATGATATATTCGGGCGATTTCTGGTAGCTAGAGCCGAGTACGAACTCAAGCTTGTCGGTCTTGACCCCAACAGCCTGAAGCAGGGCAGTGATAACCTTCCGGTAGTATTCAGCTCGGGCGTTGACGAGTTCGATAGGGGCCTTCAGGTTATCCAGGAACGCGTGAATATCGGCGAGGAGGACGACCACCTGGCAGTCAGCAGCGAGGAGCTGGGCGATCTTAATTGCAGGAACAAGGTATCCAGTATGGGGACTAGCGAGGGTTAGAAGGAGAAGGAAGACGAAGGATATATGAGAGGGTATTTCGGGCTCAATCTTACCGACCGGTACAGGCTAGAGAACAGATCAAGCAGTGAGTTCGAGGGTTCTGTTTGCGATTAAGTAGTTAAACGTACCAGTGCCCCAGCTATAAAGTGTTGTTAGAAACCGTATCATCAAGAAGAAGGGGAGAGGGGGAGACAAGACATACTAAACGCGAGGGTTTTTACCCTCTGCAAGAATACCCTTGATGATCTCGGGGTTCATGATTTCGGCGAGGTTCTCATTGATCAGGTCAAAGCGCGACTGCGCATTGGCATCCAAGGTCGTTTTGTCAGCCATTTTTAGCGATTGAGTAGGATTGAGGAGAGGGAAGATGTTTCGTGCGACGGTGAATTGAGTCAATCTTAAGCCCCCCGCTATCGCTTTTTTCTGCCGGTTCTACTGAGGGGTTGGCCACACGGCGGTGTGCGGCGCGGTCAGCGGAACTCCCTCCGCCTTCCGTGGCAGTTCCGAGCTCACCTTCACAATTGGCAGTTAGCAGTTGGAGCTCCTATCAATTCCTCCATTCCACCTCCACCTCCCCCATATCCACATCACAATGAGCTTCCTCTCCAAGCTCGTGACCTTGTTCGGTCTAATCCTGCTCACACACGCGTACGTCAAATCACCATGAGGATATTTCGGAACACCCTGGCTAATTTGGCTACTCGTTTGACAGAGGCTACTCCGCCCACGAGCATACCATCCTCTTTAACAACACGCGCCTTGCCCTCCCCCACGATATCATCGTCGAGACCTTGGTTGCAGTCGTCATCGTCTCTATCGGACTGGTTCTGGGAGCAGAGAAGTTGAAGCCAATCAGCTGGCGTGATTGGGCTGGCCAGATTGAACGGGATGGCGGTGCCCGAAACCCCTACCTCGGCCTTGAAGAAAGATATGGCTTCTGGGATATCCGGGTACGAACAACCTTTTGTTTCCAGAATTGGACCTACCGCGAGCCAGTTCTCGCAGTGGCACTGTGGCTGTGCTCCGGTGTGTCCTGTATTTGTGTCGAACATGCGCTAACTATTTCACAGGCCAAGCGACAGGAGTTTGCGGATTGGATGCGAGGCCAGGACCTGCCAGCTAAGCAGTAATGGTTGAAATGGGTTAAACTACTTGCGATGGACTCTGTATATTATGCATTGTGACGAGTGTCTTAATTGATATGCTTGTTGAAGTGTCAGCTGATTCACCTTTGAGATGATCTTATCCGCCCTGGACTGAGTAATTAATGCACTCAACGACACTCAATTCTAGTTCGCATTATTTGCCGTAAAATTGAAGAATTCAATTATAGACCCCTCGCAATGTTTGTTGCAATGCAGGATCATGTGATATGCACTGGATCAACATTTCACCGGCATCGGATCCTCCATTTCTGAGGACCATATCAACGGTCCTCCTATCCCATGCTCGAAGACTTGGATGGTTTGTGCCCTTCACACCAAATAGGCAATGGATTAATGATCTCTTCTCAACACGGCTGGCCTTTCTTTACTCATGGGAAACACCATAACCTTGGACGATGCCCTGACCGACGACGACAACCTCTTGCATCGCTTGACTACCCTCAGAGACTGAAAGACTTTTGTTATGATCTCCTTACGCACAGATTCGACATTGAATCTCTGGTTTCGTTCCATCTTTGTGTGCTAGATCGCCAGGTTGCCGATGAGGCTGACTGGCTATTCGGAAGTTACAATGTTTGCATTCCGGGCTATATAGGTCGGCAATCACAATCAGAGGAACGTGTCCTTTTTCGCGTCCCGATGCCTTTCAAAATTGGCGAAGGCACCTTCCCTGGAATTACTAACGAAAAGCAGCGCTGTGAAGTCGCCACTTATATTTGGATGTGTGAGAACTGTCCAGATGTACCAATCCCTTCTCTCTACGGGTTCGCCTTTCCCAATGGAAAAGCTGTAGGTATTCCTACTATTGTTCAGGGCTACCTACGCGCTTTCGAAGTGCTACAACTAACTTTGCTCCTAGTTTACTATGGATATTTGCGTGGATTCATTCACAAGATGGGGCTGGCGCTTCAAACGAACTATACGGTCCTGGCTCGGTTACCCAAACCCCTGTCCGTATGTTGGTATAGGGAGCAACAATGTCATCAAGGACGGATACATGATCATTAGCTTCGTAAAAAAGGGGCGAATGCTCTCAGATACCTGGGCAGAATATCTTTTAACGGATAAGGCACGGAGACATACCCTCTTCAGTGATATCGCGAAGATCATGATTACATTGAGTCGAGTGAAATTTCCATGCATTGGATCTTTGAGCTTGGATGATGATGGTCTGATCAAATAAACGAATCTCCCCCTCACATTGCGACTGCAAACTTGAGAGAATGAAGGAATACCCACAATACCTAGTAGCTTGACATACCAATGCGTTGAGCCCTACATTCTGGATCTTTTAAATTGTCACGATAATCGAATACACCATCAGCCCAATGCTATCCATGATATCAACAATGGACAGGAGCAGCTGGCCGCTCTGATTATGATGAAGGCTTTCTTGCCCTACTTTACTTCTCGCCAATATCGTGACGGCCCATTCACGCTTTCACTCACAGACCTCCATCCAAGTAACATTTTTGTCGATAAACATTGGCACATTACGTCCTTTATTGACCTGGAATGGGCTTGCACTTTGCCAATTGAGCTCCAAACACCACCCTAATTGTTGACTGGTCGATCTATTGATGATATTGAGCACGGCCAGCATCTCGAAAAGGTTCAAGAAGCCATGAGTGAATTCATAAATGCATTTGAGGAACAGGAACACAAACTCCGGAGTGGCTCCACCCCCGCCCAAGCCGACATCATCAGGAAATGCTGGGACAAAGGAAGCTTCTGGTATTTCCAAGCGCTGCACAGTCCGAAGGGCCGTCTCCGTGTTTTCAACGAGCATATTCAGCGTATATTTTGTGAGGAACATTGCACTCAGCGAGTATTTGATCGAACAATTAGTCCATACTGGACAGCGAACACGGAGTATTTCATCCAATCGAAGATGCAGCTTAGTAGTGCCCATCCAAATGGGGCAAACAGCCCCTGCCGATCTCGGAACTCGTAAGTTCACTACATCGAAACAAATTTGTCGAATCAAGGCCGGTCCTTTAGCCCTATGGGTTCACTCTTCTAACCGCATATAGTAAGACCTGATTCGCGGCTGATAATACGAAGTCTATGATATGTCCATCTTGGAGCCATTAAACAGTGGCCCCCACATGGAACCGGTCCGTTCGACGCTAATTCACTTGCCTGAGCTTAGCTCGGTGCAAGACGGCAGGAGAAGATGCACAAAACTTGTGCGAAAGGCTTATGTCAAAGCTATTAAATGGCAGGTGAGAAAGAGAATTTGTTACGTTTTCACAAAGGCCATCTCGATTCAACCCGCTCCACCTCTCCTTAAGGAACCAACCAATTTATCCCTTTGCTGTGCGTGCGTACTCCATACTATTCTGCGATCATCATGGGCCTCGTCGCTGTGATCGCAGAGGCGGCCATGTTGGATTTGCGCGGCTTTGGAGCCATAATCCTTCTTTGTTTCGTTGTTGTGCGTATAATTGTGCGTAGATATTGGACGCCGATCGCAGATATTCCCGGCCCCATTTTAGCTTCGTTCTCGGCATCGTGGCAGGTTTACCATCTTTGGAAGGGCCACATTGAGGAAGAACTCATTTCTCTCCATAAGAAGCACGGTATGTTAAGTCCAATCTGCATTATCTAGGGTCAGTGGGGGCTTCCTCTCTAATTCAAGTGTCAGGGTATTTTATTCGGATTGGAGAAAATGAAGTCAGCGTCTCTCACCCCGACGCTGTCAAGCAGCTTCTCCACGCAAATATTACCAAGGTATGTTCCTAGATCGGGAACATCACAAATAGCTACTAAAATTTCTCTTTGAAGGGCTCATGGTATTCAATATTCAGCTTACCGGACTATAACTACGTCAACCAGATGTCTGAGCTGAACCCTCGCCGCCACATCGAAAAATATCGCAACATCGCTGCTGGCTTTGCCCTATCTAACATCATAATGTTCGAGTCGCACGTCGATGCGGTCTTGCAAAAGCTCGAAGAACACCTGGATGGGTTTTGCAATTCCGGCGAAGCAGTGGAATTCGACAAATGGTTTAGTTTCTTCGCTTTTGACGTTTTGGGCGAAGTGACCTTTTCCAAGTCCTTTGGTTTCGTCGAGACTGGCACAGATGTCAGAAATGCCGTCGCAAATACCAAGGCTTTGGCCTTATACATTGCGGCCATGGGCCATTATGTCTGGTTCCACAACTTGACATTAGGCAACCCACTGCTTAGCAGAATCGGGATTCAACCCTCATCTCACATTTTTGATACTTGTCTTGCAGCCATTGATGCAAGGAAGAAAAATACCGAAACAAGGAATGACATGATGCAGCGCTGGTTGGATGTTCGTGCTAAGTATCCGGATCGCATGGCAGAAAATGAACTCCTCGCTGCGGCTGTTGGTAACATTGGTGCTGGTGCTGATACTGTCGGGGCCACTGCCCAGGCGCTGATCTATTATCTTCTACGTCACTCGGAGTATCTTCAGCGGGTAAGAGAGGAAATAGATACGGCACAGGAACGAGGGGAACTTTCTCCCATGGTTCAGTACAATGAAGCCCAGAAGTTGCCGTTTCTTCAAGCTTGCGTAAGTTCCCTCCAAGCTGCTGTTTCAAAAATATCAGCAGTAAGATCTAGAAAAAACAAAAGCAATTGAAAATGATGTCGGAAAGTAAATTGGCTAACATTTTAAATAGCTCAAAGAGACATATAGGTACCATTCGGCGGTTGTTGGTGGTCTTCCTCGAGTTGTACCAGCGGGCGGGATGACCATCGGTGGTAGATATTTCCCAGAAGGAGTACGCGATACCCATACTACAACCCACCCGTTTGTCTTGAATATATCGGCACCAAAATATCCTGAAAGAGAGGACTAACACAAATTCTAGATCGTTCTCAGCATTAATACCTGGGTCTTCCATCGAAATCCCGAAATATTCGGTGAAGATTGCGATAGCTTCAAACCTGATCGCTGGTTGCAGAAAGACACCACAAGGCTCGACTCATTCTTGATCCACGTGAGTATCGTATGTTATTGCTCTGATACAAGCACTGACAATACTTTCAGTGGGGGGCAGGATACAACCAATGCCCTGGACGAAACCTTGCGCAATTCGAACTCTTAAAACTTCTGACAACATTGATTCGGGACTACGATATTGAGCTAATTGACCCTACTAAAGAATGGGTGTTCAAGAGCCAGTTCCTAGCTGTTCCATCTGGGTGGCCTTGCAAGATTCGCCGACGAATGGGCAAATAGCTAATCGAAAAGATACATGGATTAAATTGACGTTTTTGTGGGAATTATTAGGTTTCCAAATCAGATTATTACGACGGAAGTTCCACGAGGAAAGTTTGATGGGCGAGATGTCTTTCAAGAATGACTACTTTGGTAAGCATTGTTTCATGCCGCCAGGATTTATTCTTCCATTCCAACATATAAGTCTCTTACGTAAATAAGTTGTAACTATGGTAAAGTCTAAATTTCCAGTGACTGCGAAATATCGCAAATGGCCTCCGAGATGCCAAAATAGTCAGGCCGGAAGTGGTTCAATTGAAAAGGACTGCCTAAGACTAGACTGTCAAGAATGTAAAATGGTGTTATACAAGAGATTCGCGAGTAGAATCCGAACGGAGACTCAAGTGATAGAGCTGAGTCTCAGGCGATATTAGCACTTGACATCTCAGGCTTGATCAGTGGCCGTCGCGAAAATGGTGGTTGTGGTGGTTGTGGTTGTGGTCAAAGTGCCCGCAACACAGGTGGGCTCGATAGTAGAAGCAGGCACAGTAACAGTGGTGTGAACTGTCACGGTCTTGGTAAGTGCACAAGTGCTCTCGGTAGCAGCAGAAATAGCTGGAGTAGGTGTAGAAACCGAGTCGTCGCCAGATGCAGCCTCGGCTGAATCTAGATTCGAAGCTGGACTGGTAACGGCAGTGTTTCCAGACGCCACGGTCGCCTGCGAAGATGTAGAAGTAGGTGAGGCAGTGCTTGCTTCACGGACAAAAGGCGTACTAGAGGCAGCTGAAACAGGATCGACTGTCTTTGAACTGGAGGCAGCACGGCTTGACTGCACAATAGAGGAAGACGAGGCGTAGTGTGTCACAGCTGGCGCTGACCAGGCAGTAGTTGGAGCAACACTTATTCCCGACGCAGTGACGTTTGCCAATGCTGCATCGGGATAGGGAAGCGGGCCAGGCATGGTGTAGTTGACGATATAATCACGATACATGTAGAACAGAATACCAGGCTCATACCCATCGTAGACTCCAGGGATTTTGACCAATGGATACGGCGTGGCTGTGCTGTCACTTTCGACCTCAATTTGAGCGCAGTTGAAGAAAATTTCGGCACCTCCCCACTCTCCAGCGCCATGAACACCAATATGTTCGATTCTCACAAGGTATTGACCGGCCGGGATTTCGTTGGGTAGTTGGAAGGTAAAGTTTCCGACACCTGTCACCCCCCAAGTGACTCCATCACTAGAGAAGCTTTCCGGACCAAGCTCGTAGATCTTGAACCAATCTCCAGATCCGTCGTACTCGCGCACGTCTCCAGGGGCCTTGGACATGTAAACTTGGAGAGGGCCTGGGTGTTGAATGAGGGCGTTGAAGTCGGTACCAAAGCCGATCGTTTCACCAGCCTTGACTTTGTACACACCAGTCTTGCTTGCATAGTCCATAGAACCAGTGTTGCAGCGGAAATCGTCTTTCGAGTAACCACCCTTGAAAGGCATATAGCCTTGGGTATCCTCGCGGACGTACTCGTAATATCCCGTGAAGTTGCCATCGGCGATAAAATGAGGGAAGTAATAGTGAGCGGAGACATGGGGAATGGCCGCCAGGGCTGCCCCAACAAGAAGTGCAAAATTCTTCATAGTGAGCGAGAATTTAAAAAGAGCGTAGTGTAAGAGTCGCAAAACAAACGAAATGTATAATCACCACCAGGGCAGAAAAAAACTTTAACGAACAGGATGAGTTGAAGCAGATAAAAGAAGATGTAGTTGCGGATATTGGAATCTTATATAGCTTTCACTAATAATCTCATATAAGCAATCGGAAGGCCGCCCGATGACGGATGGATCAAAAGTCTTCGGCAAATATGGTTTGTCGAATATTTTACTCGGGATTCCCATGGCTGTTGCTTGGCGGTTTCAAATTGGTGAAGCTGCCCAGGTGGATTTCAAGTAACCGCCCACTGGCTGGCATAGTATGGAATATTGTTGCGTATTGTTGCGTCTTATGCAAACCTTGGTAGCACAATCTACTGCGAAAGGGGTTAAATTTATATGGACCCGCTTTTGACTTGGATGGACCCTCTCTAGCCCACTAACTTTCAGGTTTCAACCAAAGATGTCAAATTCCATATAACCCTTTAGCACGAATCAGGAGTCTCCGCAAATTTAGCGGAATCCGAGTAATGAATACTTCAACGATTGCCATGTGGAAGTCTCAACTAGGAGATAGTACTACTAAATCCTCGACCAATCATCAAAGACATAGAATTAGACATAAACGGGTTTTCAGCCGCCCAGGCCATGTCGGGCTGAGAATAGACGTCGCGATAACCCCGCAAATCGGCCCAATTCTCTCCGAACCGTTTCACCATATTGCAAGCGAGCCGCGTCGGCCCCGCCGGAGGTTCACAATGCAGGATCAGCCTTGTTGGAGACAATTTAGCCGACAAGGAAAGTCATCGATCTATAAGGTATACCTCTACCGGATCTACGTGTACCAAGCTTCATCGGAAAATTTCCCTCGGGGGAGTAACGAGTCTTCTCTTGTGCCTGAATTTGTCCCGTTTACCAAAAGTCAAAAGATCATCGCGATCATATGATTGAAATAAAAATCAGCCAAGTCTGTTATTTCAACCTGGATTCTTCGCATTTAGCCGTCCTAGATGTTTCGTATAGGCTTTTCCACTGAAGTCGTCGATCTTTCCCTCAGATGGATCTGTGCCAATTCTTTTTGCCAAAGTAGAAGACGGGTTGAAGACAAAAACTAGTTTCAGGTCTTCTATTTAAATCCCTTACTTCTCTGCTGAAAGAATGAAGGAATAAAGACATCATCCAGTTACATCTTTATTCTGATTTTAGTCGGTCATCGAAGAGTTACAATGATGTCTCGGCTGACTCTCTGGCTCATGCTTCTTACCTACGCTGAATTGATCGTTGTCGCATTAGGATCTTTCATCCCTCATGATGCTCGCGAACGGTCAAGTGAAAGCAAGAGAGCATCCTCAACCGTTTCTCAGCCAGTCATCTGGGAGGACCTTGCCGATATCGAAATCATTCGCGTCGATGATACCTTCTACTACAGTGCTAGCACTATGGCATATTCGCCTGGTGCTCCAATTCTGAAATCCACAGACTTGCAGAATTGGGAATATATCGGTCACTCTGTCCCAAGTCTTGACTTTGGCTCAGGCTATAACATGACGGATGGAAACACTGCATATGTGAAAGGGATCTGGGCAAGCAGCCTCAAATATCGCCCGAGTAACGGACAGTGGTATTGGATTGGCTGTATTGAGTTTGCAAACACATATGTATACACTGCCAGTAGTCCTACTGGTCCTTGGACTCAACATGCCGTTTTTGAGGGGACCTGCTATTATGACTGCGGATTGTTATTTGATGAAAATGATACACCGCAGGTTGCCTATGGGTCCACCAACATCCAAGTTGCCACACTGTCATCTGACTTGACCAGCCAAGTTTCAAACAGTCAGGTATTCAGTTACGACAAATATGTGGAGGGCTCCCGATTCTATTACATCAACGGCTTCTACTATATTCTCGGTGTGCAACCAGGTGCAGCTATCGAGTATGTCATCAAATCCTCGTCTCCTACCGAAGGCTACACTGGTGGGAATGTTGTTGCAAACGCCCCTTCATGTCCAGTCTCGAATGGTGGGGCTCCTCACCAGGGCGGAATAGTCGACGATCCTCAGGGAAATTGGTATTACATGGCATTTTGCGATGCCTATCCCGGCGGTAGAATCCCGGTACTTGCGTCTATTACTTTTGATGACGACAACTTTCCAGTATTGTCAGATGTCAATTCTTGGCCATCTACTGTGGAAGTGCCTCTCGATAAAAATGTACTCTCCTCACCAACAGGTACAGATGAGTTTTCTGGAACCACCTTGGGACACCAATGGGAATGGAATCATAACCCCGATGAAACTGCCTTTGATGTTGATGACGGATTGACACTGCGGACTGCAACTGTTACGGATAGTCTCTACCAAGCGCGAAATACCCTTACTCATCGTGTACTTGGTCCCGCAAGCGACGGCACCATTGAGATCGATTTCTCAAATATGAAGTCTGGGGACCGGGCAGGACTGGCGATGTTCCGCGATGTATCCGGCTGGATCGGTATCATCAAAACAGGCGAAAGTGCACAGATTTCTGTCTGGAAAGACATCACCATGAATTCTGATTGGACCACAAACTCAATCGGTGCATTAGAGACCTCGAAAGACATCTCCGAGACATCGGTGTTCTTACGAGCCTCGGCCGATATTCGACCAGGAGGCGCCGCGACCGCACAATTTAGCTATTCTACTGATGGTGCGACTTTCACTGATTTTGGAACTACCTTCTCCCTGAACACAACCTGGGAGTTTTTTATGGGTTATCGATTTGGCATTTTTAACTTCGCGACCGATTCGCTTGGAGGTTCAGTCGAGATCAAGAGCTTTGACCTGGCTCTTAGTGATTAGTCTCTTGAAGACTCAACCTCCATAGTTGTACTCAGCATGTAACTTGGACATCCGATTTTTTTGACCTTGTGTATAGTACCTATAAGATTTGCTTCCGCGTAGTCATGTTCTCCATTTATTAAGGTTTCGGAGATCCGGTCTAACCTTAGAATCTACAGAACAGTACAGAGAGACTTTTATATGCAACTCACCTCATTGAGCGAGCTGAATTATTTGAAGTACATAGCAGTAACCACATGTCGCTATTATTCTTTAGTTTGTTGCGAGGGTATTATGATAATTCCTTAACTCGGCATGAAGATTTACCTAATCGCCAGAGCCCGAAAAATAATTTCAAGGGAACCCGAGGACAATTACTATGAAGTTCGGTCAAAATTCCAATCGCACGCGATTTCTAATTTCTCAAATTTCAGGTCATTTTTTGTTCTACGGATAGCAAACAAAGACTTGGAACAAATGGTAGATCATGGTACGCTGCCTAAGTTTCATCAATGGTAAGAAGACATCGGTAGCCCGATGCTCCGTGTGTCACACTCTCGTCTTCTAGGGAAGTCAGTACCATGTTGATTTACTCCTCCTGAGCAAAGAATATACAGGTGAAATGAGCGAGGGCATTGCTAACACAATTTTTTCCGTATTTTTGTATACCAACGGCAGCTACTCAATTCACTTAATTGTCGGCTTTAACCTTGGAAAAAGCTCATTGTTGAATATTCGATCGGTCTGGGCAGATTGAGCCACCGCGAGTATTCTTCTTTGGTAGGGTCATTCTTTTATACCCGTCCATATTTCAATAAAAATGTTTGAATTAGTTGTTATTAATCATGTCTCACCTCCTTCGTGGGGGTTCAGGTGCCGAAGGTGGTGGAAAGTCATCTTCCAGACCCGGACGATTGGGGCCGAATGCGTAAGGAGCCGGCTGGCGGTCAGGAATTGATTCTGTGTCGTCCAACTCATCCGAGAAACCTTCATCATATGGTATCTGTATTTCAGTATCTCGGGGACCCCCAGGCATGCCTGAATTCTCCATTTTCCGGCCAGCTGTTACGTGTCCTCTGGGAAAGCCAGCATTCCGTCTTTCCCTAGTTGAACCATTTTGCACTGCATTGGTAGGAGATCCCCGGTTGACTATTTCTCGAGCGACATTATGGTGAGCTTCAAGGTCCCTTGGAGGGCTGGAGAACCTCGCGTCCTCACGGGGCACTCGGTAATTGTGTGGAATTTGGGTTGGCCTCCGCCAGGAGGCTGGGTCATCTTGCGCTTGATTTCGTGACCGGCGGTTCTCAAAAGGTGGACTCTGGTCGTTCAAGTTGCCCCTGCGTGTATGGGAAAAGTTTCGAGGCGAAGAATACATAGCACTGATAGCATCGATAGGTTTGCTCCCGTATGTGCCAGCTTGCCAACCCCGTAGACTTTGCTGACCCTCGCTTGCAGGATAGCCATCAGACATTGTCCGGTATGGAGATGACAAAAAGGGTAGCCAGTCAGCCTCATCCTCGTTCGACCTTAGACGTCGCAGAATATCTATCACAACATCTTCTACCTGGTCTCTGAAGTCTGGGCCGTTAGTGGGGTCAAAGGCAGTTCTCGGTCTGACCTCGAGTCTGGTCCTGGTTTGTGCATCCAGACTGCCCCTCGAGTGTCCCCTCTGCGACCAGTATTGCTTCCTTCCTTCAACCAGGCGAGCAATTTCCTCTTGCAGCGGATCCGATTCTCCCACCTTTCCGTTATGGTATCGCATATCATCATGTTCATGTCGTGCATATGCCGATGCACCTCTCATGTCATAGCCTGCTCGTGCCCTGGCCGGTTCTGATTGCGTTTCCAAGTCCATCAATTTCCTTTCTCGCTGCCATACTTTGTTAACTTCCTCTCTAACCAGGCGCTCTACCTCTTGCGCCTGTTTCTTTGCCTCCTTTTGAGCCGCTGCTCTATTCTGCTTTTTCAAAGCTCTCTGCTGATCCTTCTCGTGTTTTTGACTTATCCTAATATCCTCCAATTTCCTTCTGGTTTCCTCTTGCTCATATTCGTATTCTGTGGCGGAACGCGTAGCCATTTGAGGTGGTTGTCCCACCATAGGCATGCCTCCGAACGGTGGAAGAAGTTGAGGCTCAGGGTAGGGATAGTTTCCAAAGTACTGATGTCCAGGATCTCGGAAAAGGGTCGGGGGCTCCATGTTCACGGGGTGAGGATAAGGGCCCGGGCCCATCGGATACGGGTAGGTCGGAGGGGCATTGGGATGACTCATTGGATGTTGAAAGTGGGAATGTGGATTTTGGAGATATGTATTCGGTGAGAGCGCCGGTTGAGAGAATGGGACGAAGGGCTCGCGGTCAGAATAAATTGGACGACCATGCGCAAGTTGACCACCAGCCTGTCCAAAACTACTGGGAGAGTCCGAGCTAGCATAGTATGTTCCTTTCCGAGAGTCGCTCAAATTCGGGGGCAAAACAGGCTTGTGTCGGCGATGCCGATGAGAGTTAGGAACTGTGCCATGCTTTGGTTTCGTGTGCCCATTGCCTGATTTGGACTGCATGTCACCGCAATTTGCGTCGTCGCTCCAATTCTCATCTTCATTTGGTTCCTCCGCAGTGAATTTCTGGGCATCTTCCTCGTTCTGAACGCGTCTTGTGCGAGCAGGCTGCCCACGCTGGCCCTCCCGAGACATCGTCCACTTGGATCTATAGGAGATATTAAACCTTTTTGTTGATGCTGCTTGCCCGGGACACTGAACTTGTTGTCGTTTATCACTCCGGACGACTGATGCTCAATATTGTAACACACCGGCGTTGAGGGAGTGCAGAATGATGGGGACATTGGGGGGGGGGATGGCAACTTGACCTTTGAGTTGTTTTGTCATGTGCCCCACATAAATACGGGGGCAGAAGAGGCTCAGCTTGAACATCCATGCAAGATGTCATGAGACAGAGTTGAGCCTCAGCTGTGAGTCATGAAGGCTACCCCCAGCAGTTGTATACTGCGCCTCCGCCAAGCCAAACCAATGAGATCACAAACACGTGGGGGTGCATATTAAGTCTGAAGGTTGACTGGTATGGAGTGGGGCATCGTAGGAGAAGCGGGGCGAAAGAGCATGGATTATCCATCCACGGAGATGCAAGCGTGTTGTAGAACTTAAGATGAAGAGGAAAGCATGAAGCAAGTCATAAAGAGCCGGGAAATGTAGGAACTAACCGTCCAAGACAAATTTTTCTCAGCAGCACTCGATGACCGTGGTAAACTGAATAGGAGTTTACGAACAGTAATTCAGGCTAAGGCGGCTTTCGAAGACAAATGGAAGTTGAAGCGGGGTCAGAAAGCGAAACATAGGGTAATGTACGAAAACATGCGGACGTGATGGTCAGTACACAGGAGGCTTCAGACTGAAGATAACGGTATGCTCAAGATAGTATAGTAGTATTAAATTGATCTCATGCACTCAGAAGCGGAGATGGGCGCGAAGCGAGGCTGACAGCATATATGGCACCTAGGAAAGGACGTGGCTTACGTTGACTGGCTACTCCGTGCCATCTTCGCTGCATACTCCTGCCACTATGCTGCGTGCCAGGTGCTTTATCTCCGGATTGGATGTGATGGTACTATTGTAGTAGCAACTTGCAGCGGAGACAGGCGTATAGTGGCCACTTGACGGAGGCCACGTTCTTCAGTTTTCCTGGATACCATATGTAGATGAATGATTATGAATAACGATGGAACTTGAAACCAAAAAGCAAGCGAAGTACACGAAAAGGTAGGATGAAATGGGGGTAGAAAAGACGACAGAGAAAGACGCCGGTAAGGATTGCATGTGAAAGATCTGAAAAGGAATGCAAACTTTTTTTTATTCCAGCTTTTGTATTCTTATTATGCATCATCTGCATGTGCCGGTTCCTTGCCGATAATAATATGAAGTTATTAAATTGCATATCCCGTTGACTCAAGTACTAAGTAGTTACTGGTTAATACTAGTCAATACACCTGTGCATGCGGAGAGTCTCAGCCCCCGACATGCATCAACGATTCGAACTTCAGTCTCCTGGACCATTGAAATGCTGCAGTGATAAGGCAAAAAACTTTAAAAAGACTTGCAATTACTACTTCGACCAACAAGCTCGTTGTGGGCCGTCTGCCGTATCAACTCTAGCGAGCAAATAAGAGCAGAGATGTACTGGCATGATACACTAGCCGCCCTTGTTTCTCAATAAAACCCTCCCATCCCCAAACATATCTGGGTCAAATTTGCCCAAATCATCCCATTCTCCCCGGCAAAGCTCAAGTGGTGGGATAAATCGCATTCGGCAACTCAGATCTGCAGCTGTTTTCTATATTCCCTTGCAAAGTCTGAATTTCTGTTGGCAAATATGGACCCCCTCAGCATTACTGCAGCTACTATTGCCATAATCGGGTCCATATCCTCAACTTATAACACTATCCAGCATCTTAGAGGTCTCCCAAAGGCCTTTAAAGAAGTGGGTCAGAATCTTCCTCTCGTGAAGGAGACCTTGGACCTTGCTCGTGGCCAACTCCAAACCACATCCGATGAGTCGGTCAAGAAGGCAATCGAGCCTGTCATCACTGCCTGTCAAGAGAGGGCCATAGAATTAAAGGATATATTCGATAAACTCGACAAGGCGATGGAGCAGCAAAAGGATGCAAACGAGTGGTCTGCCCTTGTCAATCTCTATCGTAAAACGGTGGTCTATCTGGGGAAATCGCACAAAGTTGAGACGCTCATGCAGGAATTGCTAGACAACTTGAGATGCTTGGCAATTCACCAGCTATTTAAGGTGAACAATCAGGGGCTGGCCACGAAGCTGGAGAACGCCATCAATGAACTCTCAGCTGTGGAGCCGTCCCTACCAGACTCGGATTTCGAGACGAAGGAGGTGAACGTTACGCAGACCAACTCGGACAACGCAAGAGGGTTCGTTTCCACAGGTGGACATCAGGAAAATACAATGGGACATAAGTTCCATTCTGCCGGCAACATGAGTTTTGGTATGGATTTCATGAATATATTAAATAAGGGCTGAACTTGAAGGTGTATTTGCAAAAATGGACTGATACTCAGTTGTATTAGTATACTATTCCAACCAATGCAATCCGAATGGTGGTTAGTTTGCCCCACGAAGCCTATATACTATTGTGTAAATCATTTACATATAAAAGATGGTAATATCAAAGCAATGATTCTACGTTGGCTTCGACAAATTTCGCAACCGCTGGCATTCGATGAGATACAGCATAAGATGTTTCAAATTTCCAGAAAAACACTCGGTGCGGGACAAAGATTGCTTAATTCACGAAATTTCATCGATTGGCGAGACGATTGGAGCGATGGAGGGATTAGGAAGATGTGGTATTATGGCATCCGTAAGAAGATACTACCCAATTTTCCGATTTTTGCGAAAACTAATAGTATCAGCGAAAATCGGAAAAACTGTGCTTGCGTACGAGAAAGAATATTCATATGCAATAACTTTAGTTTGCAAGTATTAACGTTTAGACCCGCAGATCGATTATCATCAACCATCTCCAGACTCTTTACTCGGACCAACGAGATGTAGCCTGCATTTACATTTACTTTGACTACAGGAAACAGCAGGCCCAGACCCTGACAAATCTTCTGTCCAGTTTGCTAGTGCAGCTCCTATTTGGTCGCGATATTGTCTCAGCGGAGATCCAAGAGATATACGAGGCTTGGAACATCAGACACACCTACCCGAGTCCAGACGAGTACATGGAGATGCTGAAGTCTCAAATTAAAAAATTCTCCAAAGTCTTCATAGTCATTGATGCATTGGACGAATGTATTGACGATGCCAAAAATAACACTCTAAACAGCTTTTTGGGAGCTTTCCGAGCGCTACAAGGAAGGGTTCATATGCTCTTCACGTCGAGACCGAGTCTGAACTTTTCCAAATTAATAAACGCGAATCTTGCGATAGAGGTTATCGCCGATCCTAATGAGATGAAAGAATATCTGCGCCAATTTGTCGAGAGCCATGCACATCTGAAAGGGGTGGTCGAATCCGGGCAGAAGAAAAATCCTTCATTTTTGAAGAATGCTCTGGAAGTCATAGTGGAGAAGTCTCAGGGCATGCAAGTTTTCTTTCGGCAAATTGTCACTATAATGGAGTCTTGCTGACATTCATTCTCAGGTTTCTACTGGTTGATCTCCATATACAATTCCTTGGGAATACTCATAATCTGGATGGATTCATACGTGGCTTAGCTGAGCTCTCCAGGACGCCAGATGAGGTGTATCGGACCGCATTAGACAGGATCAGAATGCAGCAGCCTGGCTACCGCAATTTAGCCATTAATACGCTTAAATGGCTGGTCTTTGCCGAAAGAGCACTGACAATTGACGAACTGACACATGCAATCGCCATCCAGGATGCCTTTGCTGAATTTCAACCTGGGGATCAGCCCTTGCCCAATGCCGATTTCACTGTTGGCACTGAAACGGCTCTAACCTCAGCTTGTGCTGGTATTGTTGTTATTGACAACGGCAAAACGGTCCGCCTGGCGCACGATACTGCAGATGAGTTCCTTAGACATAACAGCGCAGAGACTTTTCAGAACGCCCACTCGGAAATCGCCGAGGCTTGTCTGCGTTGTCTCACCAAGATACAACCTAGACAATTCAGTGGAGCAATCAATTCACAGGATGAGTTGGGCTACGATTGCGATGAGTATCCGTTCTTCAAGTACGCGGCCGAGTACTGGGGCATTCATATATTGCATGGAGTCAAGGGGAGCGTCCACAAGCTAGCCTGGGAATTTCTCTCCGATAAACAGAGATTGAACAGGGTGCTGCGAGCTATGGAGAATTCTCCATCTCAACAGGAGAGAAGCGCCTCAGGCTTGCATATCGCTGCCTATTTCGGGTTGATTGGTTCGGTTCAAAAAGCGATGAAAAGGCACAAGAACATTGAGATCAACCCAAAGACTAATCGCAAAGAAACACCTTTGCACTGGGCCGTAATTCATCGCCAGCGGGATTTCTTCAAGTTCCTGATTGAGCAGGGTGCGGATTTGAACGCAGTGAATGTTGACAAAAAAACGGCGTTACATATGGCAATCATGGGCAAAGACGGCGCGGACGATGCTTTAGTCAAGACTTTACTATTGGTAAGGTCAGTTAATCTCAACCTCCAAGACTCTCAAGGATGGACGCCCCTGAGGTGGGCAGCCGCGCATGGTCAATTGAAAATAGTCGAGATGCTGCTGCGTGCTGGGGCTGAAGTGGATGCACGGGATAAGGATGGATGGACAGCGTTACGCTGGGCAGCACACCAGGGTCACAAGATAATAGTCAAGCTATTGATCCGGCACGAGGCATCGATCGAGACCTCCAGCGGTGACCAGTGGACATTGCTCAGGTGGGCGGCACAAGAGGGCCGGGAAGATATCATTAAACTCCTAGTTGAGATGCGAGTTGATGTGAATGCCACTGATGCGGATGGCTTGACGCCTCTACGATTGGCAGTCAAGTATGATCGGACAATGACCGCATGGCTGTTGATTCAGGCTCACGCAGACATCAACAAGCCGGATAGGGAGGGGGTGACCGCGCTTCACTCTGTAGCAGAAAGATGTCGCAGCGGCAATATTTCCCTCCAGATATTATGGCTTCTCTTGGAGAATCGAGCGAAAGTCAACGCGGAGACAAAATCAGGCCGGACGCCGCTACACTTTGCCGCATTCAGTGGAAGCCACTCGGCTGTGTGGCTCTTGCTTGAGAAAGGGGCAAACATCAACGCGCAGACAAAGCTAGGCCTGACGTCGCTGCACGTCGCTGCGTCTAGAGGAAGCGACTCGGTCGTGAGGCTGTTGCTTGAGAAAGGAGCAAATCCGAGACAAGGGGATGGAAACGGGCGTACAGCTCTGCATTGGGCCGTCGAGGAAGAAGAAATGAGAGTTGCAGAGTTGTTGATCAGGAGGTCAACTGATCTCGTCCACGCTACAGATCAAGAGAAACGGACCGCACTGCACTGTGCAGCGTCCATAGGAAACGCCCACATTGTTGAGATGCTTTTGGATTGCGGTGCACAAATCAACGTCCAGGATCGTAACGGCCAGACGCCTCTACACCTGGGAGTTTCTCAACAACACGAGGATGTTGTAACCCACTTGGTTTGGAGAGGCGCTGACTTGAATGTCCTCAACAAGAAAAAGAGAACGGCTGTCCATTTAGCGATGGGCCTGGAAAATGAAGCGATCATGGATGCTATTCGCTTATCTCAACAGGCCACGAGTGTTAATGGCGCCGACGACGGTGAGAATACTTCGCAGACAGTAGCGGCAAAGGCGAAGAATAGCAATGCGAAGTTCTCAGCTCGAGTGGAGGACGAATGAAGAATGCGGGAAAAAAAGAAAACAGCGTTGGAACTTGAAGACTAGTTGGACCCGCTACTATGCCGACCGTGCATTGGGCCTAGAGATACATTCATCCGAACTTGAAACCTTGAAGATAGATTCGGTCCGAGTCGGTAAGCCGAAAACCTTCAACTTGGAAGTCCCAAGGTTTAAATCAACCTCGGCGAGCAATCTCGGAAGCCAATTTAAATACTATAGCAAAGGAAAGGAAAGTGATTGAACTTGCAGATTTTGTATTTCATGTGCCAAGAGTCTATTTTGCTCTGAGACTTGCCTTGGTAGTGTGTTACCCTTTTGTAACGTTGTTGTGTAGCAGAAGTCCCCCGAAAAAATTGTTTAGCTTCATTGATTCAAATCTTCATATGCGAAAATTAGTTATGAATCACCAGGACAATAATATTTATGTTGTACAACAGTGCAATGCAATAGATCGGTGCTATACTAGATCGGTATGCCGTGTTTGGCAGTTCCGCTCTAATGTGACGTCAAGCTGCAGGCCCAACCCCCCCCTTTTTAGTCCTTTTAAGTGAGGAGCACAAACCACCATGAATTCTTTGTCTTCCTTTCGGGACACACTGGCAGAATAAACGGAATAAACCTTAGGGAAAGTATCCATCTAGAAATGGCTCGAATGCTTTCTCGCCGGGTGTTGAAGCCATATCTGGCTGAATTTCTCGGGACAGCCCTACTGATTGTCCTTGGAGATGGAGTTGTTGCACAATGTCTGCTTTCCGACTACCAGTACGGCACCTGGTTGTCCATCAACATCGCATGGGCAGCTGCCGTCTGTCTCTCCAGCTATCTGTCCGATCCCAGTCCCACGATTAACCCCGCGGTGACAATCTGCGTTGCTCTTGTGCGTCCATCTGCTGGCCAGTGGAAAACCATTCCCGGCAAGCTGTTAGCGCAGTTCTTGGGTGGATTCGTCGGTGCTGCGCTCGTATATGTCAACTATCGATCGGCTATTTTGGCTTGGGATCCCGAGTATACCATTCCTTGGGGATCGATCCTGAGCCCGACAGGTCACCATTCGGCGGGAATTTTCTCGACCTACCCTACTGCCTCTTTCTCATCAAACTGGGAGGCCGTATTTTCTGAAGTGCTCGGCTCGGCTGTGCTGATGTTTGGAGCTTTCAGTATCTCAGATCCTAGAAATGCCCAGCGATTCCCTGCCCCGCAATTATCCATGTTTCTGCTTCTCCTGAGCATTGGAGCAGCATTGGGCTGGCAGACTGGCTACGTAAGTTTTTTTTTTTTACTAGCCGATTAATACTGTGAACTACTTGAAAACTAACGAGTTTATCCATTTCCAGGCACTCAACCCTGCTAGAGATTTCGGCCCAAGATTATTCTCCGCTATACTCTACGGGCGGGAGGTGTTCACTGCAGCTGGCTACTACTTCTTTGTGCCTCTTTTCGCCCCAATTATTGGTTGTATCATCGGTGCGGCGACTTACGATAGTATGTTGTTTGATGGAGACGGTTCGCGTGTTACCGATACTCTGGACAAGGTTGAGAACCATGGATCTCTTCGACTGGAGTGATGTTTAACTTTGGATCCGTGCAAAAATCAAGACTAGACTTATTTGAGTACAACTAGAACTGGAATTGTCCTTAGGAACCTCAGGGAATAAACTCTTGTGGGAGCTGTGAGAGGAGGAACACGACGCGGCAGGAGATAAGGCGAAGGTGGGGTAAATATGCACGATCGGAAAGGAGCAAGTAGAATTTGAGTTACTCTGGATGGTTGATTTGATATTTAGAAATGATCACGAATTTAAATGAAGTGAGATCGGGAGAATCGCATGTTTTAAAGAGTGGTGATAAGCATCCAGTTCACTGAAATTGAGCATGGGATCTGACTTGGAGGCTTCTTAGAGATGGTCATATAAGGCTTTCTACTCACCACTGCCTTTCCCTTCCTCCTTTTACGGTTACAGGAGGTGATTTGTCTACCTAATTGTATCTGTTTACCTGTAGTTCTTTGAGAAAACGAAATCCTTTTTTTTTGCATGGCGTAACGTGGTCTTTCATGTTCCTTGGCTGTTTTTAATATTGTTTTTCGGAAGAAACGCCACAATACTAAGATTGATCTCATTCTTATTTATGTATTAATCAAACCCAAAGAAAAGTTTAAATTCAAGGCAAAATACTAGTATCTCGTTCAATAATTGAACCGTCCATCGACTGGGATCTGACAGTGGAGTGTTTGACCAAGTACTCCGTATGTATTTAACTATTGGTTGCCTAAGCCGCAGGGATCGAGTCTACCGGGCTAGTATTTAGAATGAAGATTGTGGGGTATATCAGAAGAATTGAATATGAACTCATTTGGATTAGGCTGGACTCTAGATGCTTAACTGAGGGATTACAGGATGGGAGAGAGGCGTTTAAGATATGCTGAATCAGATCCGGCCTGGCCAGGTGCTAGGTGCCATTCAATACATGGACCTCAGGGCCGATTCCACGAGGCTGCTTAGCTCTTTAATCCTTTAAGGATTATTCGTCTTGGTTCGTTCATCTTGTCTTTCAAGTCCTTGATTGTTAATCAGTGGATTTTGCCAATAATTCCTGTTCCGCTTGGTCGTTAGGTCAATGACGTAGTTGCAGCGGATGAACTCCACCAAGAAGAATCTATAGATATAATTGGGCGCCACCCACTTACAATTGTGGAAAACCGGGTTAGACCAGTTTCCAATGCTCCGTCTTTATAACCCCCCACGCTGCTGAGATGGGCCCCGCGCAAAAATGTACTGTTCTCATATGATTGTCGCAGGCAATGGCTGCTCTCATAGGTCTCGGTACGCATTCGCGTTATCGACTGGCGCATGAACGAGAATTCCACAAGTATGATTCCACCCCTTGAATGATTCCTTGAGGTTGGTGATGATATAGTATTAGTTAGTTCAAGTTCCTTCAATTAACTAACTGATTGTTCATCGTCCGCAGGTATATTCCGAACGAACATTCCTCGTCGCGCTATGCCCCATTTGACCGCGCCAGTGGTGACGGCTTCACTCCCCAGGCCTCCTCCGACTCCGCGTTGACTTCCTACGCCCAGCTAGCTGCAACCCGTCTGGGTGCCGAGCGAGCTTTTATTTCCCTGTTTGACTCCACACATCAACATGTCCTGGCAGAGTCCACTCCAAGTTTGAGTTTAATCGGGGGTCGCACAGCAAATGATACTGAGCGATTGATCTTGGGGAGCTGCATATTTCCGAAAGAGCGAGGCATATGTCGATGTGTCGAGTCAATGCCGAGCCATGAGCATCAGGTTGGGGATACAGGCAACCATGACAGCATCTTCGTTGCTCTGGACATGGCGCAGGATGAGCGCTTTGACCTTTCGAATCTGCAAGCCGGGCTATCGGAAGTACGCTCTTTTGTCGCGGTTCCGATAATCAGTCCACAAGGATACAAGATTGGTGCGCTAAGCGTAATGGACAGCAAGGAAAGGTCATCAGGGCCCGATCAACACTCTCGCCAGTTCATGAAGGATATGGCTGCGACTGTCATGGAACACCTGGCAATGAGAGAGGCAACTATCAAAAACCACCGAGCAGTACGCATGATCGTTGGACTTGGCAGCTTTGTCGAAGGGAGATCTACACTCCGCGATTCATGGCTAGAAGCACATGCTCAGCACCGGGCAGCAGAAACATCTGGTGAATCTACTGAGGGCCAGCTGAACATCGAGCAGCAGGATCTACAAGAGCTGGCAAAAGGAACCGGCAAAAAAACCCTTGCAATTCGACAACCATCTCGCGGAACTCATCGTTCTCGATCCAGCAGTCCTAAATCGGCCAGCTCTGATCAGAAAACACCACCCGACGTGGCAAAACCTCAATCAAATCCCGGAATACAATTTTCTCAGGACAAGAGCTCAGCGCGTGCTGTCCTGACAGGCAGTGCTTTAAAACAAGACGATCTCCCATCCAGTATAAGGAACGTTTTTTCACGCGCAGCAAATTTACTTAGAGAGTCCATTGGGGCCGAAGGGGTGATGTTTCTTGATGCACATTCGCAGCGCTTCGGAGATCTGGTCGATGAAACCAAGCGCAGGGTGTCCGGCTCCGGTGGTTACGACGATGATACCAAGGCAAGCTGCGACAATGATAGTACTGGTTCAGAAACCTCGTCTCGTCGATCTGTCTCTGACACCGATCAGGGTTCCGACAATGGTAATCCGAGAGTGTCTGAATGTCTAGGTTTTTCAAGCTCAAGGGTGTCAAGCATCAATGACGAGGAAAGAGCTGGCCGCGCAATAATGGTCCCAGAGCCGCTATTTAGCGCTCTCATTCACCGGTACCCCCGTGGAAAAATCTTCACATACAATGCAGATGGATCGGTTTCGGAGGACAGCGACCGTCAAGCCCAGAAAGAATCAGGATCCGACAACGCCCCCGCGCCTGATAACAAAGAGCGTCGTTCATCTAGCAAACCCAGACGTAAATCATCTTTCCAGCGACATGCTGATGACTTGATCAAAATCTTTTCCGGTGCCAGAAACGTTCTCGTTTTGCCTATCTGGGACTCAGACCGTCACCGCTGGTTTGCAGGGGCAATTATATGGACAAATGAGCCGCACCGCGTCTTCACCTTGGAAAATGAGCTTGTGTATACATCTGCATTCTCAAACAGTATAATGGCCGAAATTCGGCGGATTGATGTCGAGGTAGCAGAGAGGGCAAAGACCAACCTCGTCAGCAGCATTACGCATGAACTTCGAAATCCTCTGCACGGAATCCTAGGAACGGCCGATATTCTGAGCGATACGGCCATGAATGCACTCCAGCACGGGATGGTTCATACGGTTGAGTCATGCGGTCGTACTCTGCTAGATACCATCAACAGCCTGCTTGATCTGACATTTATCGATCAATACAGGAAAGGAAATACCGTTCAAAATGGAAAGAACCGAAAGAAATCGATGTCACAGAAGAATATGCCATTGGGTCAGAACCCATCAATCTCCCATGTTGAATTGGATACTGTCCTTGAAGAAGTTACGGACTGCGTGTTTGCCGGTTACTGTTTCTATAATCACCCACTGGCACCTCCCCCGGCCCTCACGGAGTCTTCATCTCGATCTGCTGGCCAACCTGCCAAGGCAGACCCTGTTGGCCCCCGAGCCAGTCAAGTTACGGTCATATTTGATATCGAGCCGAGTACAGAATGGGATTTCGAGACTCATCCTGGTGCCTGGAGACGCATTCTTATGAACATCTTCGGTAACGCGCTCAAGTATACTCCTTCTGGTTATATCTACCTAGGCTTGAAATCATCTTCAAGCTCTAGCTCATCACCGAAGAAGTCTCCCAGCAAGCAAAAGCAATGGTTCGATGTCACCATCACTGTGAAAGACACTGGAAAGGGCATTGGGCCGAATTTCCTGCAGAATGACCTATTCAGCCCATTCAGGCAGGAGGATCCGCTTGCTTCCGGCAGTGGGTTAGGGCTGAGTATTGTTCGCCAGGCTGTCGGTCTACTTGGAGGCTCCATTGAAATTGAATCAACAGTGGGACAAGGAACTCAGATCGCAATCCACGCACCACTCACGAAGTCAACTGCAATCTCGGATTCGTCATCATCGAGATCCATCACTTCCCTGAAAGCTCAGACCGAAGGGCGCACAATGGGCATTCTTGGATTCGGACAGACTCTCCGGTCGCAACGTGACACGCTACTTTATTCGTCATTGGACCGAATGTGCCGCGAATGGTTTGGTCTTGAGGTGACCAACATCTCACCATCGGAGGGGGAGAAATTTGATCTTGACTTCTATTTAGCTGTGCAGACAGAGTTGGATTGTGAAGACGTTGGAGGGAGAGACATATTTGGTCTTTCCCGTCATTTCGATTTGGGAAATGCGGACAATTCACCAGTGATAGTCGTCTGCCAGTCGCCGGAGGAAGCTCACCGCATGTATGTTGCTTCCAAAAACCGAAGCGATGCAACACTCTTTGAATTTGTGAGCCAGCCTTGTGGACCGAGAAAGCTGGCTCGGGCAATGAATATTTGCATCAAACGACGAAGGGAACAGCAAAAAGGACGACGCGAAAGTGACGAGCCAACCCATTGGGTAGAGTTGCCTAAATCTTCCCATCTACCGGTAGACATTGATGCCAGTGATCCTCCACAGGATCGGATGAATATCAACAAGCGGCCAACCGCAGATACCATGGGCAATCAGGACAATCGGAGCCCTATACAAAGCCCAGAGAGTATCAAGGCTGATCCAAAAAATCAAAATCTGTCGGAGCTTCCTGTCCAGCACGAGGAAGGGTCGCCGAGCAACAACACACCAGATCCCCATAAGCGGAGTGTTTTGCTAGTTGATGACAACAATGTCAATCTTCAGCTGCTTTGTGCTTATGCCCAGAAAGATGGTTTTACCTACAAGTCGGCTAGCGATGGCGCTCAGGCAGTTGAATTATTTAAGGCCGACCCTGGAGGATTCCAGGCCATCGTTATTGGTATGTTTTCATATTTCTTCAGCTTTCTTCTACTCATCCCGAGGTCTCCTCAATTTTCCTTTCATCAGTTAGGCTGACCTCACTAGATATTTCAATGCCCGTAATGAATGGCTTCCAGGCATCACGGGAAATTAGACGTATAGAAAAGGAGTTTCGAGCCCAGTTATCCGAATCGGCCCAAAACGCGCTTCCGCCCACAATTATCGCTGCATTAACGGGGCTTGATAGCGCCGGTGCTCAGAAGGAGGCTTTGGGGTCTGGCATTAACACTTTCCTGGTCAAGCCCCTTAAGCGAAAAGAATTTGAAGCTGTCCTACGACGCGAAAATTAGCGGAAAGTTCCATGCTATCTTATTGATCAATGACGCAGTGGTCACAATTCATGACTCAAGACCTCGGTTTCAGCAACACATACACGAATCACGTCCGCGGTAATGCGTCAAACAACAATATCCTGTACATAGACTATTGAGATTATCCTTGTTTCCTTCAGTGCCTAGATATCTGTTTCATATGATAACGAAGAAAAGTCCTACACAGGAAACCCTTATGTTCTCGATTTTGAGAATCAGAGAGCTAGTCACGCAGCTCTTCTAGGCGCCAGGATCACGATCTCTGGCCCTTGGAACCTCCAGTCTCTTGGCATATACAGTTCATCACTTTGCCGACGCGCAAGACTTGTCTCCGCACGATGGCTTAGGAGCATCTTACTACGCCGAATGGGGAAATAGTACTACGCCTAGTGGATCTGGCCTTACAAAAGTACATCTTGCACTCCCATCAACAAATTCATTGTTAATGAAATACTATCGAATCAGTTACCGCTGGGCTCGTATTCGATTCGTCAACAGTAAATTCCAGGTTTCGCAGCGCTGTGCCCATACATGCATATGCAAAGACGCTTGTCCAACATATCACTACAAGCCGTAACGCCTTTTCGGCACAGCAATAATGCCTTGATGAAACATAGCGTATCAGCTTTCCTGATTAAATGGAGATATAATCCTCCAGGAAAGTTATCAACCACTGAGATAATACAGCGTGTGTTGGAAGGCGGCACTGCGGCATGGAGCTAATGCGTACATAGAGCGCTATACAGGGATCTCAATGCATGGGGCCAAATTATCCATGGATTGCTACCTAGGTATTCTGTTATAAATTAGTATGGGTATCACGCGGTTTTCCACATTCTCTCCAACTCAAAAATCCAAATTATTTTCCCAAAGCCTTTTTTTGCCCCTGCCCCGGATTTTCGGATCTTTTTGATAATTTTCTCCACACTCTTGATAGATCTATACCAGTGCCAGCGGTATATATCGAAAAAGAACTACTAGTACTACCTAGGGTACTAGTAGCCATGCCGGATTCCTCTCAAGACCAAGCACTCAAAGGTCTACAATCTCCGAGTGCAAAAGTCCTCTTCGATAAAATCGATGAATTGCGGGCTATTGGAGTAGGCGGCCTCGTTGAACTGCCACAACTCATTGTCTGTGGTAAACAATCCAGTGGAAAAAGTTCCGTGTTGGAAGCAATTTCTCGAGTTCGTTTTCCAACAAAAACCAAACTCTGCACCAGGTTTGCGACGGAAGTGATACTGCGCCGAAGCCCAGAGCCCAGATTCAAAGTCTCAATTGACCCAGGGGAGTCCCGAACGGACGAAGATAGGGAGCGGCTTCAGAAATTTTGCCTCGAAGTCTTTCCCAAGGGCGATGACGATACCCCTTTCAAAGATTTAGTCGAAAGGGCACAGGAATGGATGGGTATTGATAATGCCGTCGAATCATCTACTGGATTCAGCGACGATGTTCTCAAGGTTGAAATCTCCGGGCCTGAAAAGCCTGAGCTTACCCTTGTCGATCTGCCGGGGCTTTATGAGGCTAAAAGCAAGGAGCAGACTACTGAAGGGATTCAGTTTGTTCAAAAGATTACGGAGAAATATATGCGAAATGAGCGCAGTATTATTCTGGCTGTTCTGAGCGCCAAATTCAATTATGTCCACCAGGATATTCTCGACAGAGCTGAGCAGGTTGACCCAGAGTTCAAAAGGGTCCTTGGCATCGTCACAGCGCCTGATCTCATGGCCTCAGGCTCCGAGGAGGAGGATGAATGGCTCGATTATATCCGGAATGAGAAAGAGCCGAAATTGAAGCTGGGCTGGCATGTACTGCGAAATAGAGCATATGCAGAGCGCAAAATTGACGACGAGGAACGTGACAAGGAAGAGAAAAAGTTTTTTGAGACGGGTAAATGGCCCAGTATTCCCCGAGCGCACGTGGGAATTGAGAGCCTTCGACACCGTCTTAGTGAGATTCTTTTCGATCAAGTTCGTCGGAACTTCCCGAATTTGGTCCGAGATATCCAGAGCAAGATAGCTGGTCATAGACACAATCTAGGGAATCTTGGGGCTCCAAGATCCACCATTCAGGAGCAACGATCATTCCTTGTTGATATCAGCACCAAATTCTCCAACATTGTCACTAAAGGCTTGACTGGGTTCTACAATGATGACTTTTTCAAAGAGCTAGAAGATGACGCTCCCATTCACGATAATCGACGTCGGCTGCGGGCAGTCATTTCTCGGCTCAACGAATATTTTGCCGATATCATGACAGCTCGTGGCTGTGGCCGTACGATAAAATATTGTGATTCACATGACTCAGAATCGCACTGCGAGAATCTAGGGAAGCCGGGATTCACCCAGTACATGGCCTGTTGGATCCCCAAAGACATCAAGGTAGAACATCTCATTGAGGAGGTGGAGGAAAGTTTAATCTTGCAGAGGGGAAGTGAGATGCCTGGTGATTCTAATCCGTTGGTTGTAAGAGAACTATATCGTCAGCAGTCTGAGCCTTGGGAAATGATTGCTACAATGCACGTTGAGACAGCCCACGATGCAGTAACCAAGTTTGTCTGTTCTGTGCTCCGATATCTCACAGACAGAAACACATTCTCGGCCATCTATAAGGATATACTTGCACCCGAATTGGAAAAGCTCAAGTTGTCTCTACTAGAAAAGCTTGAAGAGCTGACTTTACACTCGAAATATGGCCACCCACTCCCAGTTCGACGGGATTACCTCACTGAAATACTCAAGCTGCAAAAAGTTCGGCAGCTCCACGTGCTTAAAGAAAAGCTTGTTGAGAATGGAACAGACAATCCTGGACTGTTTAACCTTGACCAAATTGACAAAGCCGGTCATGAAACCCGAGATGTGGCCGCCATGGAGATCATTGACCAAGTTGAGGCATACTACAAAGTATACAATCCACGGATGGCCCATTAAGGTCTCTGAAGTAAAAACATAGACTAATACTTTGAACAGCTTTCTCGCTCGACTTTCATTGACAATGTCGCAATTCTCGCGATTGAAAACTGTCTTCTCCTTCCTCTTGAGAAGATTTTCACCAGTTTGGCGGTTAGCAAAATGGACACGAAACAAATTCAGTCATTAGCCAATGAACCAGCGCATGTCCAAAGCGATAGAGAAATATACACCAACCAGCTTGAAAAGCTAGAAGCCGGACTGAAGACTCTGAATATTCTCAGTCGCGAGGAATCATCCTTGGTCACTCCGATAGTATTTGGTAAGTTCGCGCTCCAGTCCATCCGAGTCTTGTGAATCTACCCAGGTAAGCTAATGATATTCTACTCTAGTTTCGAGAGCGCCGTCTCCCTTTGATACGTCGAGGTAGAAACTTCGCATGACCTCTTCAAGTTCAAATTCTCGGAGGGCGACCCCTTGATGGAATTCCTCGAGGGTGCCGATGATATTTCCCCTTTTATTCTACATGCCGTTGAATTTCCTTGAGACTTTTCGTTTGTCTTCATTCTCTTGTTCTTGAATTCCTCGTCGTCAAACGCGTTGCTGCTGATTTCTGTATCTCTTTTGTCGTTCTTGGTTATTCCGTCAATTTAGTTTTATGTGCCCGACGCAACTACTAGCAGTAGCAAACCTTGGAATTGAATAACACCAGCCTCATTCATACTGAGAGCATACTCGGCAGAAGCCCCGGTCAAAGCTTGCAAGATTGGAAGACAATCAGAAAACAAAGCCATTCTTATATTTTATAATGTACCAAGCTTTGAGGCTGGAAATTAAATCGGGACCCATCTTGGCATGTCTCAGACGCAGGTCTAGAATTTCGATCCGAGTCCACAACTTGTCCAGAAACCGATCGACTAGGGTGGCCCCGAGTGTAAGACATGCCGGGAACGAGAATCACTGCCAGTTGATAAAGTGAAATCCAATGCAGATTTGTTTGCTATCTAGAAACGGTATTGAGACCAGATTTTAGGGAAATGTAGTTCAAGTTAAGGTCGAATTGCTACGTATACCAATCCCCACCTCTTAACGCCAAAACGAAATTGAAGCATCCGGGAGCAGTGAAACTTTATGAGAATACAAAGTGTGGAAAAGAAAGCCGTGTTCAGCGGAAAAAAGAAAACATTGTTGCACTCAATGGGGACAAAGACCATATCCATGCGTGCTATGTATGGTAAGTCAGAAAGGCCAAGCCCGCGAACAAATGCAGAAGCAGACAAGAAACAGCCAGGTAGTAGACAATAGACAATAGACAGTAGGCATCTGGCGTCTCACATCGATGAAAAAATCGATTCAAGACACCGTCGTCATTAGTCGAGGCGAACTGGATGGAAATATGTGTCGTGGCGCAAATCCACTAAACGAGTGTTGGATGGTTGGTATTCGCGCATATAAACATGAAGCGAGGGTATGAGTGAGTGATGCAGTTAAATCAAGTAAAATAAAAACAAAAGACCCGTGTCAATTAACGGCCGTGGATGAGTATGATCCCAAAATTCCTAGTTGGGTTCAGGTCATTATCGCACTTTCCCAGCCTCACGTACAGCTTTCATGAAACCGTCCTCGTCGCCCGTAGCAGTGAGGATCCAGTAATCAGCCACGCCAGGATTAGAAACCTGGCCGCCGCCAAAACCTGCGGCTGCAGGGGCACTATGGCGATCCTTCGCTTTTTGGTTATTCGCGCCGATATGGCGGGGGCCCCAGCCGAGGATGTTTCGTACAGAAAGACGGGTTTGGTCATCTGACTGTTGGAAGGAACAGAGTTGAGACTGGATGCTGCCCATAACGGCGACTGCAGTGCGAATCATGATTCGGTCTCCTTCGAAAACCCAGCAGTCCCATACTCGAGATGCACGTTCAAGGTCGAGTCCGTTAGTGAGAAGGGACCTGAAGGTTGGCTCCCAGATCTCCTCATCGGACAGCTTAAGGGTGTCGCATAGGTGGGTGGCGACACGAGGAAACTTGTAGCGCAGGGTATCGGAGGCGAGGGTGTAGGTTCGCGACATCGCGCCGCGATCCCAGGTCAGGAATGCGACAGGGAGGGGGCGGTTGAGGGCATTAGCCATGGCGAGAAAGGCGGATGACGGTGTGGGGAATTGCAGGACAAGAAGTGCAGCGATAGTATGAAGGCCATGGATGTAGCCCACGTCACTTCGGTACATGCAATACGCTTGCAATACATCGACCAGGGTGTCTCGCAAGGGTCCGCCCTCCGAGAAGAGGTTCAAGTCGGGGAAGGCCTTTGAAACGTCGTTATCGATTGCATCAAAGCACTCCAGCAGTCGTTTATTGCTTTCACTTGGCTCAGTGTCGCTTTTGGATCGCAGGACCTTGGCACGTTTGAGAGCTTTGGTGAATGACTCTTCGCTGAGAGCTAGTTCGTTCCCAATGGCACGTCTCCACATCAGGCCTCGACTGCGAGGTGGAATTCCACGCCACCATAGTTCCCGAGTTCGTGGCTCACGTATCGCACGATCCCAGTTAGGACCGACCCAATCATCCCAAAGGTTCTGGAGAGTATCTCGGGTGGTATCCTTCTCGCACTTGGAGGATGCAGCTTGGGCTGCTTTCCGTTTCTCTGTATTGGTCGTTAGAAATATGCGGATCAGTGAGCCATACCGGTTCTACTCACCAGCTTCTTTAGATTGTGCCATCATCATCTTATACTCCTTCAAATGCTTCTTTTCTTCCTTTTGATCTTTCGGCGGCAGCCAGCTAGGGCGTGTTCGCGTCAAAACCTTCTCCTTTTCTTTGCTAATAGGCAAAGGGTCGATCATGATATTCGACTTTTGCACAGGAGGTAGTTCAATGGGTTCAGCGGCTCCCTGCGATTCGGAGCTCGACTTGGGCGGGGCCGTACCATTCTGCACATCTTCCTCCTGTTGACGCTCCTCTTCGCCTGCGTGGTGCTCCAGAGCTTCCGTGATGATCCTCGCTTCTTCAGAGAGATCCGAGAGATAGCTGTTGTAGGAATAGGCACGGGGGTTACGCGGCGAGATTTGGCCCCGCTCAGGCCCAGCTGAACTTGCCCGATGCGACCGCTGCATGCGAGCGGCCTTGGAGGCCGATCCGGGTTTTGGGGTCTTGTCCTTTGGTTCAGAAACTTCGTGCGAGATGGGAAGGGGCCGTCGACCAGGACTGGCGCCGCCATTCGGACTAGCGTTGCGGGATGGAGCGCGTTCTTGAACTGGGCGAGGAGAAATTGGAATATTCCAGAGACTGGCATCATCCGGGAGCTCATCGTCGGAATCGTGATATTCGTCTTCGAGGTCTTTCACAGACTTGCGGGATGCTTGCCAAGCTTGCTTCTGAGGGGGGACCCGTGCGGAGAGCGGGGAGAGGGCCAAGCTGGTGCTGGAAGCGGATCGACTGGACATTGGTCGCAAAGGAGAAGTCGATCGCGACCGTCGAGGCTGAATAGGTGTCAGTCCACCCGAATTGGCTGTGCTGCTCGAATCTCTCCGGTTGGCAGGTCTCGCAGACAAGGGGCCAGCCGACTGAGGAGTACGCATGGCTCCATTGATTTGATTGTGGATTGGAGGAAGAGGGCTTCGCTGCCTCGATTTCGGGGTTGCCGTCAAATCGCGAGTTGTGGCCGCTGGACTTTTGCTAGGCAGTCGTTGAGCCGATCGCGCCGCCAGACCGGACCGGCCGTAGGGGGTTGCTGGATCGGCGACCGGGAGTTCAGCGTCATCTTCTAGACCAATTTCTTCGAAATTGCCAATGTCGGTGAAGATGGTTTCGGGGCCATCGATCTGGGAGGAATGGAAAGAGGAGGACTTGGAGGATTTGGAGCCCGATAGCTCAGGCGGGGAATTCGGGGTCGAACAGAGGGTGGTCATGATCTCATGCGGTTCGGTCAAGCACGCAAGTTGTTCGCAAATGTCATCGGTCTCCCAAGATATCACGCACACAAACGCAAAGTCACACGGGATGGGTAGAGATCTTCGAAGCGGGCGGAAGGGGTCGAAATCTCACGCAAGGCTCGGGTGTCGTGTGGACGAGACGAGGGGGGAGGGGGCGGTGTTTTGGGGGCAGATTGGGGGTGGGATTCGTTCTGTTGTAGGAAACAGGAAAAAACAGACGATCAACGTGAATAGAATCGGAAGCGAATTGCAGGCGCAGGCGCACAGGCGGATGATAACCAGATCAAGAGTCGTTTCGCGAGAGAGTTTCAAAAGAAAAAAAAAGTAAGGATCAGGAGGCGTCGATTATGGGGGGGGAGAGCATAAGAGAAAGCCGGTCGGAGGATGGGGGTCGATTGAGAACGGAAGAGAGATAAGAGAGGGACTGGAATGGAATTGAAAAAAATGAAAATAAAAGACAAAACAGGAGAAACGAGTAGAGAGAGTGAGAGAGCGTATGAGAGAGAGAAAGACGGATGCGAAAGAAAGTTGACGATGAGAAGTGCAAGCGGAGCCTCAGGCTGGCCGAGAACGGGTCCCGTGATAGTTACTTTAGAGGTACTTACTAATGTATACATTGATATATGTATTGTCAAGTACCTTTAATGTACCCACCACTACTTGTACTTGATCAGGGCTCTGAAAGGGGAACATCGCCGTCGATCCTGGCGAATTCCTGATCACTTACGGAGTAGTCTGCGCATCCTCGAAGAATTCAAGTTCGATCGGAATTCCCCATGTTCAACAGGCACCCTCCACTCGGGTGCTCGTCCATTGCCGGTTGATCCGCGGTCTGCCTGCTGATGGTACGGACCTGATCAGGGGGTCCCTCTGATTGGAAGATACTACTGGTAGTCTCGGGATGTCAAGTCCACCTGGGCACTACTGGTAATAATACTAGTACTAGTTTCCAACCCACTTCTTCCACAGGGTCTTCCATTGGTACGGTCCGAGTCAATTTCAAGTTGCTTTTCAGGCACTGCCAATAGCACACTGGCCCTCCTACGGGGAAGATAGCCGAAGAAACGCCATGCTTTAGATAGCGGATGAATCCTCGCTACTTGCATTCGAGATACCTTTAGTACAATATGTTCTCTAGGGCTAGTAGTTGAAAAAGATCCATATCTGCAACGGCGTGGACCGCGTCGAAACTGATTATATATTGCCTTATATTTAGCAGACAGTTACCCCAAGCAACTGCCATCGCGACCGATTGCAGGTACCCAGGAAACTTGAGTAACGGATATAGCTCACACCTGTGCATGATGCACATGCACCATAGAAAGGGATGAATCAAGATCAACAATCAATGTCTGGAGTGTCTGGAGTGCCAGCCTGATCGAACGTTCTGGCCTAGAACCCATCACGTGATATACTAGTACTAGGGATGGCATCGACCGAGACATGCATTTGGCAGCTCTTCTGTCAGAGTTCTAGACATTCCGAGAGCCCTTGGCTCTTGGTCTGGAACCTTGGAATAAGATGGTGCTACTAACACCTAGGTAGTCAACGGGAAGATTCAAGTTTCGAACATATCAGTACTAGTACTAGTAGTAGCAGAATCTCAAAATGCGCGCAATACTTGGGTATTGGATTCATTATGTAGTAAAGTGTTACTAGTATTACAGTCATTATTCATTATGATCTACCTAGACTTCACACCCGAGTTCACCCCTAGAAGCGCCATTCTTCAAACAAAGCATTGCCCCTCTGAACAACGAGCGCCATCTTAACAGCCTCCCGATCCGTAACCGGCCTCGAATCCCTCCACTGCGCGTCTAACCACTTCAGCACAGCCCCGTATCGAGTCTGTTTCCGCTTCAAGACAAAGCGAAAAGCAGACGCCGCGAGAAACCTCACCTGCGAGAACGTGACAAAGCAGGACAGTGCTGTGGTCCCGGTTGTCGTTGATCCAGAGGACGACCGGCGCTCCTCAATCATTGCAATGGCCCGCAGCATGAGGGTGTGAATGGTTTGGATGATGATGGGTGGTTTGGGATGAGACCGACCCTGTAGAGATTTCATATAGCGATACATTTTCATAGCGACCGTGACAAAGCGCGAATATAGATTTCCAAGGACGACGGAGCGGGAGTTATGCGTGTCGTCGATGAACATGGGGTGCATCTGCTGTCGGAAAGAAGCGAGGACTTTTCGTCTTAGAGTGTGACCCGGTAGAGCGCTCGTCTCGACTGTCAGGGAGTTTGAAAGGGCGGTAGCGGCGAGGTCGCCGCCTTCCAGGGCGCGGTCTTGGTCTTGGTGGATTTCTAGGGTGTGCGTGTCGATGAGACAGCCTAGGTATGGGAAGCGGGTTGATCCTTCTAGGCGGGGGATGTGGGTGCCGCCTATTGATGCTGTGAAATTGACCAGGCTTTTGGACGGATTGACTACGACGCTGTAGGATGGGTCAACGTCGAGCATGGTGTGTAGGAACTGCATAGCTTGATTGACATCCGTAGTGACAAGTAGAAAGTCGTCGACGAATCGCATGAGGAGGGAGTCTGTAGGCTGCAGAAAGCCTAGGGAATGGCGTTCCAGGTCGGCTAGGAAGAAATTGCAAAGCAGACTGGACAAGACGGAGCCTTGGGGAATACCGTTTCGCTGTCGAAAGTACTCTTTGCCGATCTTGACTAGGTTGTTTTGAACATGTTGACCAAGGAGATTCAATAGCCAGTCAGCGTCTTGGATCTTTTGTTCGTTGTCATCGACGTAGACTGTGTTTGGCTTTTGAATTTGATTCTCACTAGCAAGGTAATCGGGTAGATGTTGTTGTTGCTTCAGCGGCGCAGCACGGCCTACCCATTTGCGAAATGGTTTGCCCTGGGCACCATTCACAGACGGCTTGATTTCAACATGCTTGGTGATCCGATAGGATTCCTCTGTAACCAAATCCGTGATGAGACGTAGAAGCCGCTTCTGGGGAATGTTGTCGAAACAGGCTTGAATATCCAATTTCACAAAATACAGCTTCTGCGAGATGGTGGGCTTGTTGTGCAAGATGGATGAACGACCATTAAGCCTTTCTTTGAAAGCTTTGAGGCGCGGATGCAAGTCACCCATGGATATCAGAGAAGACCCAACCTTTCTGGGATCTCGCTGGCGCTCGTACATCAACATATTAGATATTGGGGTGATGGTTCTGTTGATGGAAACATAGTACGCCCGTTTCTTCCCATTCTTGACATACTCTCGGAGTACCTTTTTTCCCAGATTAAGGATCGGCCGCACGCCTGTAGACTTTGGGAGTAGACGAAGTGACCCATATCCAAGATACTGTTTTCTTTGCTGACCTGAGCCTGAGTCTGGGTCTATCTTCTCAAATGTCTTCACTTTTAGATCTGCCAAAGGTTGTTCACTCAAATGTCGCCAAACGTCATGGCGAAAAAAGAAAAGTCGATTACGGTGGGTTTGAGACTCCGTGACGTAGAAGTTGGTGCGAATTAGGGGAATGACGATTGAGTCGAAGACATAGTACACAAACTCGTGCAATAGTTCTGTGCGTTTCTGGAAATCTGACAGGGAAACGTTTTGCTTGGTCTCGGTAGGTCGGCCTTGCAGCTTGGGTGGTATCATCCAGGGTATTGCGGTGACCTTGATGTTCTTGCATACGGAATGCAGACTGATATTCTCATACCGACGCATTTTGATAAATGCATCAACATGTTTCAGCACAATACTGCGATTTGACTCGCCCTCAACCCCATCCCCGAAGAACTGTAGAGGCAACACCTTTTGCAGCACAGCTCGACAGAAGGCCGAGACAGCAGCGGCAGGGGTCGCATAGTCTGTAACACTGGACCTGGGCGGCTGCAGTGACTGAAAGTTTTCTTTCTTATCCTGATTCTTCGGACCAATCGTGTCGCCTGGCTGGGATGTCAAATTCTTGAGTTCAAGTTTGACAGAAAGTTTAGTCGTCGCCGATGATTTAGACTGAGGTTGTGTAACCAAAGATTCTTCGGTAGAAGATCCTGGCTCTTTATCCTCAGGGCAGACAGGAAGTCTCCAAGGCCCATTTGACTTTATTCAGTGTTAGCCAAGCATCCTGAAAAAAAAAGACCCGTGAGAACTCACATCAACCGGACAATAGTGCTGAAGCAGCGCGCCATATGAACATCGACTATGGCGGACTCGGAGTTTTTGAGCCAAAGCTAGAGCTTGGCCTCGAAGGCGCCGAGGCAGTTTTGAAGATTGTTGATTTCTGGTACTTGTAGGTGTACGGCCCTGCCCAGGGCCCGACAGCCGATGGTACCGGTCATCGTCGTGTTTAGAAATTTCGTTTTCACGAAACTCATGAGTTTGTGGTTGGCTTTTGTTATTGCGGTCGCCCGAGACAGTGAGGACATTGTCTAAGCCGAATTGTCGAGGGAAAAGATATTTCATGAAATGGATCGTCTCATTGGTCGATTCCAATGATGAGAAGCGGTTGAGAACATCTGGGAAATAATGAGACTGAGGCTGACCGGGGTACTGAGAACAAACATACGACTGCTTCCTAGCCCAAAGGGCAACTTTTGCTTTGAATCCCCGGCTAGTCTACAATAAAGAACACGGCGACGGAGGAAGATTATGGTATTTGGGGAGCGTCTCTCGACGCGACCGCCGAGACTTGGATGCTTGATTTTCGACGACCCGAGGACTGCCGCTGGTTTCTTGGCCGTGGACGAAGTCAAATGGTCGATTTTCTCTAAGCCCGACAATGGGAGTCCTGTGGAATAAGTCAGTCAGTAAGCAATGAATGCATGGCCTTTGTTCTTGGCGGTCCAATCATACCGCTTAGTTGATAAAAAATACCCTTTGACGCATCCAAAGGAACAAAGATCCCGCAGTCAAGTAGAAGATGGATCATAATTTCCTCTCCATTCCGACCTAGCAGTCCCAGAACATCCGCCCATGGCGTCTGCTTCAATGCCTCAACATTTCGGTTACGGAATTGGATGGCTACACCAGGAATACCACTATCAACCGAAATCTCGCTCGCGTGTTGGAAGCCATGCGCCAGCACATGCCGCGGACCAAAATAAGCAGATTGATCTCTGAAAATGCTTGATATCACATAGTCAATGAGCTAGAATTTGCAGGTGTTAGCACGACGCTTCTTGTCTCAATTTGGGGAGATTTGAATGATTTGTCGCATCTTCTGCGGAGATACCTCAGATTGGGGGGCGACCGGCCCAGTGTCCGTGCTCACGAGAATGGAGCGCGATTGGGACTGGGTGAAGGCGCGATAGGCCTGATGGCGTTCGGAGGCGAGTTTCGGCGAGGGCTGCTTGAACACACCGACCACAGTGGTATCGAGTAGATCAACCAATGGGTGGGAGATGGGATCATTAGTGGCTTCCGAGTCCGACGCAACACCTAGAGAGGCGATGCGTCGGCGGCGAAGTTTTGAGGAAAGGGGCAAGCGGCGTAATAAATATTGGCGCAGGGTGAAGACATCTCGGTAGTACAGCGAGATGACGGGGTGGGTTGGATAGCTGTTTCGTGCGGCAGGGGTGAAACGACGGGGGGAAGTGGTTGTTTGAGGCTGAGAAGTGGGCCGGCCGGGTCTCTTCCGTTTTTTTGCCATTGAATTTTCACTGAAGGAATGGAAGGAGAAGTTGTTTCATAGATCTAAAGATGGGATGAGATGGGATGGGGTGTGATGGAGGGATAAGAGAATACGCGGATGGGATGCGCGTCAGGTGCAAATGTGGAAGTAGGGGGATGTGGTGATAAGGGAAGGGTGTTGGAGGGCTGTGGGTAGTGACTGTGGTGGTAGTGTGTGGAGGAGGTTATGGCCACGAGTATTACTGTTAATGCTACTGTCACTGCCATGTTGTTACCAGTTGTTACCACTCAAAAAGCAGTCCATTTCAAACTATGGAATTAGGATCTAAAAAAATCACAAAAATATGTAATAAATAGTCCAAAAAAAACAAAAGCATAAATCAAACGGAAATTAAGGCGATGAGCCACGGAACCAGCGGTCTGGCCAGCCCATTCGATTGCTATTGCGTCTCCACTGCGCAATCCACGTTTGTGCCTGGGTCAGGAACAGATTTAATTAACTATTTACTCCCGGAGAGAGAATATCGTGTAGTGTAGTATACTATAGTATATTATTCTGTATGAATATCTACTAAATAGTACTAATAGTACTAAATAATGATAATAATACTATAGATACATGCCAATATCATACTATGTATACGGAGTACTGCGTAAACAAAGAGTCGATCCGATGCTAGCGCCTTCTCCGCTTTGTCGACTCCGACTCGACTCTATCACATCCCCATCAACTTCGAGTTCCCCGTCTCTTCCATCACCACCTGCAGACTGCAGTTCGCATTTTACCTCTGCTATTCTCGGTCACCTTACAGAATAAGGCTAACAATCTGGCCGGCATCCGCTTCTTTCCTCTGCAGCACGCTATCATCCTCGCGCAGACGGATCCTCCCCCACCTGCCTATCACAGCCCGAGCTTCTGACTGGGGACAAACGTCAGGGCCACTAATTGTTTCGACTCTTCCTATTCGTCACCCTACACAACTGTCCCCAGCGCTCTTCACACAGCCGATCACTCCCTCCAACGCTTCCCGTTCCAAGTACTCCAAGTGCTTCTCGGTCCAGGCCGAGCTCTCTTCGTCCTTCATCTCTCGTCGGCAAATCCCCTTCACTTACTTCAACTACTCTCACTAGTTGCTCTGTCTGTCTCAAATATGATGCTGAATCGGGGTGCGCCACCCCAGCATTGCTTTGTTGCCTGAGTCGCTCCCCTCTCTAAATCCCCCCCAAATCTGCGACATCCTCGTCGGGCGTCCATCCCGGAACAGCGCATCGCATCAGTCCAGCCCACTCCCCACCGAGAGGCCGTCCGCCAGTCCACGTCGGTCGGTCTAAAGCATGCAAGATGTCTGGCAGTGGTCCTGAACCGCCATTTGGCTCCCGGAATCGCCAGCCGCCTCCGTTTGGGCGACAATCATCCGCCCCAGCGTTCAGCCAATCCCCAGACGATCCCCATGGCTCGTCAACTTTTGAGGTCTCACCGATGACACCCTTCCCTCACTCCACGTATTCCTCTCCTCTCCGATCAGGCCTCGACTGGCAGACCCGCGCGGCCACCGCAAACCACTTGCTGTCAAGCGGCCAACCAGACCACTCACACCATCACCCATCTGGCCGTGACTCCCCCCGACCCAGACGACTTCTACCGACAACAAGACCGATTGACAACGGAGGATCCTCATGTGACAAGCAATTTTGGCGATGCAACCGCGGATGCAAACGATGGTATGGCATCAGGATATCGCGACCTGAATGATCGGGTGTCTCCACTGCCGACAAACGTCCTGGATCCTTCGCGCCAGAGACGGTCTGAATATCGTTCCGTATCTGATTCGCCAACACTGGGTGCTCCCTTTCCAAAGACATCATTTGCTGCCTCTTCCCAGAGGCCTCGTCAACCGCGACAATCCTCCTTCAAAGACCTGGTTAACAAATTCAACAATACCTCGGACCACGTTCTCCCTCTTCCCTCCATCTCTCGAACCACTTCACGAACCGCAAGTCCTGCCGGTAGTGCCGACGGCTCTGAACGTCATCAGACCTTTCCTCGACGTCGAACTCTTCGTGATTCTTCTCCTCCGCCTGTCTCAATCACCAGTCATCCCAAACCTCCGCTCAATTCCACTCCTCAATACTCCGAGGTAGAGAGATTCGTGCCTGGACAACTCAACACAGCAGAAGGATTTCCTCCGCCTCTTTTCCAACGAATCCCAAAGTCTCATCCGCGACGACCGCTGTTCGGCGAATTGCTGTCGGTGAATACTGAATTAAACAATTTGGGATTCGGACTTCCTGCGCACTTGAAACGCCGAGGCTCGGACGGCAGTCTCCCAAGTCCGAACCCAGCGTTCCTCGACCAGTCAAACGCGCCGTCTGCACTTTCTCCCCTCACTCCAACCGCGTGGTATCTTGGACAAGCTCCTTCTCTCGAGGCAGTTCAGCCGGGAGCAAGGCAAACCAGCAACCACCGCAGAGTGCGAAGTGACTTGGTGGGAAGCACGCCGCGGGAACCCCAATCCCTTGCGGACCCTTGGGACCCCGAGATGGCAGTCGCCACGCCCTTGCAGCTGGCTAAAACTGGTCATGGATCACCAGATAGCCCCGGCAGTCCTGGAAGCCCGAATTCCAAGTCCCGCATTCCAGTCTCCTCGCGCCGCCTCAGTACTGGTTCCGGCCCTAATAGCCCGACTTCAAATCCGACCTTCAGCAGCCGATCGACAGGCATTCCTCTGGCCCCAAAGGGCACCAGTCGTCTTCCTAAACCGTCCTCTAAAGATAGTAGCCCAACCGGCATGGCGGCCGATGGTCCCACTTCGTTTGCGATGACGGCTCGTGGGCGACGGGATCTAACGATTGGCCGAACCCGTAGCCAGGTACCCGAACGGAACCAGCTTCTCCAAGCCTACATTGCCGCACCGCTTCCGAAAAAGTCTCCCCCATTGCGCAGCTCACGGCCCCGACAACCTGTTTCACATGGTCTACCAACTTCTCCACGATCCAAGGTTGGGGAAAGAGTCTCTAGTTTCCAAAAATCCTCGGAACGTGATACCGAGGCCCGTCCTCCCCGCTCCAGAGGTCGTCCCTTACCAGGATTGGGTAATGTTGATTTCGAGACACGTCGACAGCGAATTCAACAAGCAATCAATCGCACTGTTCAAGAGAATGAACGGAAGGAAGAAGCTGCCGTGGAGTCTCGACGTCGCGCCAGGGAAAGAGAAGCTACCCGCGAAGGAGTTGATTCACCCGCCGACGACGAGGTTACGACTCCTAATACAGCGACAACAGCCACCGCGCAACCGTTTGAAATGTCGACAACGCTTGTAACTGAGACGGTCGCGCCACCTGGGCCTTCCGAAAATGAGCCGCATACTGTCCCCCAGCTTCATCTCAACACCGCCATCAGTGTACCTGACAGCAATGTTCCTCAGACCACAATGGATTCGCCAACATTGGGTATACCGGAGGAGCTACCTCGAGCGCGACGGATTGTGTCGGATGCAATGGAGAATGGGGATCAGCCTCACTCTGCCACCACTTCAGACTCAAGTGGCACCCATGTGACGACCTTTGACCCAGAGCCCCAAGATGGCTTGCTGCAGCGAAAGGCCAGCGTATCTCATCAAACTATTTTGGATCATATTATGCAAATTCGCGAACCAAGCTCTGGTAGCGAGTCTTGCGATGAGCCTGATTGCAGCGTTTCCGACGCCGAAGATAAAGAGTCGATCCAGATCATGCTTCGCAATTCGAAGTATCCGAAGTCTGTGAGCACCGCAGATACCACAGGGGACCGATCGGGATCTACAATCAATCAAAGAAGGCAAGCTATGGTTCATCCAAATAATCGGTGGAGTATGAGTTCATGGTCTTCTTCTCTGCGCCACCAAAACTCGACTTGCGACGAGAGTGGGGATGAAATTATTACTACATATGCTCCTCACCCTGAGCACGAAACCGAGTCGACCAACCAGTCATGCTCCGCAACCTCATCCAGTCCCGAAACGGATGAAGCTGAGGACTACCCGTTCCAGGATATTGGCGTTATGGGGCCTGACACTCTTGAAGCCATGCAAACTCGACCCGCACAAGTGTTCTCAACCCCACCAAGCCTTGCTCGGCAAGGGAGATGGAACTCGCGTGCTGCCACCCAGCTTTATCTGCAAGAGCTAACAAGAGCTCAACATACGAGTATCCCAAGTCCTGTCCCCGAGGAGAACCGACCGTATGAACGTGATATCCGGGCCGATGGTCGTGTGAACTCTCTCACAGAAGATCCTGTTGTCATTCCTGGGTACCAAGAAATCCCCATAGATGACACATTTCGCCCTGTCGCCAGTCTCCGAGGTCCAGAAGATTGGGAACATGCTTCTCCATCAATGCATGACTGGCTGAAGATCCAGGCAGAGCATGAAGCAGCGACTCCCCAGACCGATGACCTGCAATTCTCACCAGAACAAATGCCAACTCCTCGCATGGGGTATTCCATCCAGGCTAGTGAACCTGGTAATGCCCAATCTGGACTTGGTCTGTCGCTTCAAAAAGACCCCGGAGAGATGCCTCGCCCGCCAGCAGAGCTGCCTGCTGAATTTAGCGTGACCTTGGATTCTTCTGCTTACCCTCCGACAAATATTACTCCAGCACTTCGAGTCAGCCATAGTGCTGGCAGTAGCGATGACTCGTCGTTCCGGCCTCTCGAACCCACCCAATCTCCGCAAGCAGCAGACTCTTCAGCTACCTCGCTGGCCCCTTCTGAGCATCGCGTTCACGTGGAGGCTCGCAAGTCGCCCTCCCCAGAACAAAGACGACTGAAGAAGCGTCGTCACATCATCAAAGAGTTATATGATACAGAGTACAAGTTTGGTCATGATATGAAAGTTGTCGACGACATTTACAAAGGCACGGCTGGGTCGTGCTCTGATTTGACAAAAGATGACATTCGAATCATCTTCGGCAACTCTGAACAGGTTGTGCAGTTCTCTTTTGCCTTCCAGGACACTTTGAAGAAGGCTGCTCGCAGCATTT